ATATCTTTACCATCTACAAATTTTTTTGCCAAATTACCAGGATAAAAAGCATAAAAAGAATAGTTATGAGTCCCCTGGTCGAGGCGTTGAACTGATGTCCGGTCATATCGGCGAATTTCAAGAACAGGTTAGGCCATCCCAACCGACCCATTTTTTTTCCAAAAGTGAAAAAAAAAAAAAAAAATTCCAGATTCACTAGTCAAAGAAGCAAGTACTTTAATTAACAAGCACACGATCGTGTAATTTATTAACAACAATTAGTATGATGTGCTGTCCTTGTCTTTAATAGCTTTTAATTTAACATCGATACTACGTTTTTTAAAGGCTGTTTAGACATTTGATAGTCGAAAAACCACATTTTTGGAGGTTTTTGAGTTTCTGAGTTGACTTTGTAACCAGGCTTTCTTACTTAGCAGCCCGGCCTTCTCTGGAATCCAGACCCCTTCAAGTGTTCACCGACCGACCATCACAAGAGACGGGGCGATGGGAAACCTGAAACATTTTATTGGGATGGCCTTAGAGCCGCAATTGAGGGATGATGTGCTCTTTGATTAAAAATATGCCTGTTAATTAGCCGGCGGTATTCTGAAAAAATATTTTGTCACTTTATTATAGGAAATTAATGCGAAGCTTAAAAATTCCCTTTAATTCTATCCAGATTTCTACGGTTAACCGGCCCCTTCGTGCGTTAATTTAAAGAAAGAATCACGAACAAAGGATCCATTTCGGATTTAACGTTTAACTTTCTTCCTCAGAATACACTGTCAAAGTAAAAACCGGGCAGAAGCAAAATGCTGGTACCAATGCACCTGTCTGGATCAAAATAGAAGGCGAAAGCGGAATCACAAACTCAATCAAACTTGATAATGATGGCAAGGATGATTTTGAATTTGGAGCGTAAGTACAGTGTAGTATTAAGACATTCAACCATTCGTTTATATATTTAACAATTATTCCTCAAGCCTGGATGGGCTAATAATAGCCCATGTTGCAAAACCCAAAAGGCCGAATGGGCTGTTGCCAAAGCCCATGAGGCCAAAGGCCGAATTTGCCCCATTCGAGAGGAATAATTGTTTAGTAAAATCCAACTATTTGGTCAAAAATATCGAGACAGAACAACTTTAGCTAGCAAACGAGATTCGTTGTTTTGGTTTTCAAAGCAATATTGCTAATATAGTATTTAGCTCAACCCCATTCAGGCTTGAAAATAAAACTAAAAGACGCTTTTATAATATCCAGATTTTTTTTACATCACTCCTATCTTGCTGCAAAAATAGTTGAACAGCGATATTGCGCGTTTTACCGTCCACGTGAAACCTGTCTTGCAACAAATCAGGTCGTTAACAGTTTTGAACGTGGGTAGTAAAACGTGCAACATCGCTTTTCAACCACTCTTTTTGTAGCAATAAATGTTGCAAAACAAGTTGCACGTTTTTTTTGCCCGTTTTACCTAAGCGTATAATAAGTTACAGCAATATTGTAATATAGTATTTACTTCACACAGAAAATAAAACTAAAAGTCCTTTTATCTTATCTTTTTTTTTTTAGCGAAGATACATTTTCCGTCAGTGGAAAAGACGTGGGGCGCGTCACTGCTGTCCAAATCTATCGAGGGGGTTATTCCTTAATCACAAGTCCAAACTGGTTACTACAATGGGTAAAATCCTCTTCTTCAAAATTAATCTATAATAATAATAATAATGAAGATTATAATAACAGTCTTACTTTCTGTCAGAATTTCATAACTTACTGATTTTATTTCGTTCCTGAGCATCTATTAAACACCGATCAATTTTTCTATCGCGATTAATGAGAAGTAAAGAAGTTCTTAACGAACCGGAAATTCGCCTTCTTCTGGGGTGGACTCAGATAAGAGAGAACTTGTAGTTTTTGACGTATGGGCCTACCACCATTTTTGATTTCCATCTGGCCCCAGGAGTTACTAGATTTTGTCCAAACATTGGACAATAGCAGTATCCACCGGTGGATCAATCACTTTCACGGGACTGTATTAGGGAACCAATTGCGCTATACAATGGATAGCATGCATTGCTCACCTTTTGAACATGGCCTTGAACAAGGCTTGTTTCAAACGTCGTGCTACTGCCGTGCTAAGCTGGCTCGACTTTAGAGCACGACTAGGTTTCAGACGTCGAATTTAATTCAGTCGAATAGAACGGTAATTGCCGAAAACAAAATACAAAAATAAAGAAACGGTTTAGCAAACTTTTAAATGTATTCTAATGTATTTATAATTTACTAAATGAGTTCGGCACGGCTGTAGCACGACGTTTGAAACCAAGTCGAGCTACTGCCGTGTAGTACGGCAGTAGCACGACTTGGTTTCAAACGTCGCGCTACTGCCGTGCTGAAGTCGAATTTAATTCGATCAAATGAATTTAGCTCGGCACAGCAGGAGCACGATGTTTGAAACCGGCCTTGCTCGAATGTGTCACCGAAATAAAAATAAAAATAGCCGGCAGATTTATAAATAGAGTCTTCTTTTTTTCAGGTTCAAGTAGACCCGCCGCATCCCCGTATTGGCTTCGATAAATGGATCGAGAAAGACCAATGGTATAGAGGAGGTAAGTGCTTGGGAGTTTTCCGTTTACATTGTAACAGAAATTAAAATTATTTAAACAATAAAATGGGTACTTGACTTGTTGGCCGGTAAATATTCGTCCAACATTTTATGAATCCTGTTTATGGGCAAAACGACTTGATTGTATTTTGTGCACTAGAAAATTCTTCTTTCTTGCTCTGGTCCCAGTTCGGTTCGAACAAAGATTATCCGGCAGCTAAACTGACGTTAAATTTTAATCCAGGTTCCAGTTTTCTAGGTTCAAAAGTATTTGGAGCCTGATGTAAAGGAAGTGAAATAGGGAGAAGTGTGACGTCACTTTTCCATGGTAGCAAAATTTCCGGATCACAACTAGTTAGCGTAAGCAAAGACGACGGCGAAAGGCAACGAGATCGGCAAACGATGATTGGTTTATATAAGCAAAACAACAACTTTGCACATGCATTAGGCCTTTTTAACATTTCTAAGCCGTCGTTACACGACTGCGACATGAAACTTCGTAATCTAATTTCTGGCGCCCGGCCGCTTTATGAATAAGTGAAAACAACACATTTTTCTTTTTCTTTCTCTCAACTTAAGTACGTTCCTTTCGGGTCCAACACTTGATAAATTAAATGAAATTGAACAAGATCGATTTTTGAAACAGTGTGAATGCACTTTTTAAGTGACGCCTTCAGCCTGTTGTCCTTTTGCTACCGCGGTACAGTTACTGTGACTTAACCACTTCTCCTCTTTATCAGAGCCAAACAATAGAACTGTAACGGCCGCAATATATTTTAGGGGATAAAGCAGATCTTTCCAGTGTATGCTCTTCTAAAATAACGCATTAAGGAACTGAACCAGTATGAGAGGAACAAAGAGAGCTGTCGGACAGGCATAGCAGTATAAAAACTGATCCCCTATCATTTGTCATTTGATAGCCTGTCTGCAGTCGCCTACTTCCCTAATAAACCAAAAGGAGAGGTTTTATAGGGGAAGAGGACACCGGGGCAAAGACTCAGTTTGCCGAATTCACATTTATGACCATTTAATTAATTTTTACCCTCATGTTTATTACCTTCACGACAGAAGTACCTAAATCTAGGAGGTGGGGTGGGGGGTAGGGGGCTACCTTGTTAATAGGGAAAAGGATGCTCGAAAATTAGAAATCGGAATCGGCCAACTGATTGGATTCTGGATTTTCCCATTGTCAGTCTCTTAGTTTGACCATAAGGCAACAAAATAAACATTCTTTTTCTTTCTTTTTTGATATAGATGTTTCTTAACGAACACCCCTAAGCAATACTTGTTTGGTTGAAAATATTGGCTTGTAATCTTGAACAACCAAGAGAAAAAAATCTGCCGTTTTACTTTAAAGCGAGACTATACATATCCCTGTCCAGTTATATGGGAGTTCCTCCATTCCCGGACAATTACATATTAAGTTTCTATATTATTTGATTTTTTTTACGGTTAATAATTGCATTGTTTTCTTACAGTGGTTCCCACCAGTGGTCCCAGGGGAGACAGCAGTTAACTTAATGAGTCCTCAAGAACAAGATAAACAGGGGCATAAATTAATCAGTACTCTCGATTTTGCATGCTTTTACTGGCGTCCTGTAAATTAAACGATTAAAAAAACGATCAATAAAACAAGGACAGTGGATCGTGATTTGTATTTGTCTTTATGTCCAATATAATCTTGTCGTTTTTCGTCCTGCGTAGCCAGCGTCGCAGAGGTAATTTATCCTCGAGTCAGTTATTAACGGCTCAACCTCGTTCCCAGGGTTCTCTCCTACCCGCCCTATGGAGGTTGGTAACGTGTCTGCGAAACAGCGCCGAGATCCTATAAGTTGTTCCGTGTCCCCAATGGACTCAAAAAATTGCCGAAAAGGGGCCAGAAGGGAGTTTCGAATTTCCCTTCATCCTGGGTTTGCAAAACAACAATGGCTTTTTTAACAGACCAATCATGGCACGTACTCAAATCCGGGTACACAGGGGGGGACCGAGAACAAGGATTTCAGCACTGGCTTGCAAAAGGACTTAATTAACCAGAGTTTATAGTTTCGTCCGTTGAAGCACAGGTTAGGTCGCTACGTCCGGTGCACCTTCTGATGGGCTAACTTTACATGAACAGTAGAAACCCTTGTTTTTAAGAAAATAACAAAAGTAAAGCGCGCGCTCTGATTGGTGAAATACCCACTTACTAAGCTAATGAGATGACGGTAAAGAAATATCATAACAGTTTTTTCTCACACTGAAGAAAGGTTGTAAACCAGAAACGTTTGCGTTTGTGTTTTGACACTTTTTGATATTTCTGTTTACCGAATTTCACCTGGTAAGGAACTACCAGGAACTAGGACTGAGCTCCAGTTGGGCTTCTGGTTGTAATAATTTCCGATCCTAGCGTGGGAACAGTGAACATCAACAGACCTCCTCATCATGGACCCAAATTTCCTAGTGGACGACCATGGTTAACTATAGGCGTAATCTTAGACGAACACTGCAATTTTTTCAACAACTTGATAATTTCTCTTCTAACGTCTTTGTTTAAAGTTCCGTAAATTATTGGGCTAAATGACGCAGAGCTTCCAGCCATGAAACTGTAAAATACATACACCTGACGCGGGGCAAAAAATGGTCCATATACCAATCCAAGTATGTTGATGATAACAAAGGGGAACCAGCAAACTGTAAAGGCTAAGATTATTGCAAACAATATTTTAGTGATTCTTATTTCTTTTACCGAGATTCGCCAAGGCGCATTTCTGGACACTGGTGACCCAACTTGATGCCTTAGTTGGGCATTGTGTCGCTTCAATTTGAGGTAAATCTTGAAATAGCAGAAAGAAATGATCATATATGGGCATAGCACATTAAGAAGAGCAGTTAGAGCTGCATGAAGAATTTTTAACTTGCTTACATCGAAGATACAGATGGCTTTACCAGGATGAAAGTAGAACCTGTGACCTTGAAGGACGTACGACAAGGGAAAGTTAGAAGCCAAGATCCACGCAGAGACAATGGAAATGCAAACGTTTTTCTTTGTGAAGCGAGTCCGATGAAGGTTTAATGTGAACATGACGAAGTATCGATTTACCGATATTAATGTCATGGTATAAATTGAAGCTGTCGCCAGCATAGCTGTTGCGAACCCTTGAAACTGGCAAGCAGAAGCGCTAAATAGCCAACTCCCTTCGATACCTACCACAGGAACGAACAACAACGTAAACAGAGAAATGAACAAGTCTATCACGCTCAAGGAAACTATGTAGTAATTTGACATTGTCCTTAGTGAAGAAGTCTTGAATATTACCATGACAATAAGAAGATTTCCGCAAAAACCAATCAGGCCTATTACAATTACTGAAATTACTTCGATGATAATCACCGCTGTACTTCTTGTCGCTAACTCCTCCACTAGTGCTGCGCGTGCATCCAGCTGATTTTCATCGACTGAAGACATCTTCAATACTTTTTTAATCTCGAGCTCGTTCACGTAAAACGTCAAGTTGATAAACAAACAGCAGCACTGTGTAGTCAAGAGTGCTAAAAAAAAGCAGAAAATGAAAAACATTGAAAAAAATATTACAATGGTTGACCAGTGAGGCATTGCCCGCTTTTGGACGTGTGATTTAGTGTTTCAGTTTTTTGTGCATGAAACTGAAATTACTGCCCAAGCTGAAAATACATTATTTGCGCTTGAAGAGACCTTTGGAAAGCTTGCTGCGGTAGTTTAAAAAACTGTCCACTCTTAGACATGTAATTTAAAAAGCAATTAAACTGCCAAAGCTGAGTACACAAACTTGCGGAAGAAATACTCAGATAATGTCGTTAAAGTGGCTGTTGTGCAATCTTATAAGCCAAACCTGATTTGATTTCGAGCCACAAAGTATCAAAATTAATATCTGCCTCTTTTTTCAAAACATAACATTCTTCTAAAACATTTCAACAAGCCTTGTTGTTCTTTCTTGTTTTAGTTTCTTTTCAGTCGAAAGAGCCCAAGAATCAGTTCCAGGTTCAGGCCTATAAGCAATTACCTGAAATAAGTCATTTTTATTTAATTTATTCGAGGTAAATCAAGCCGTTGTCATCCTCGGTACCTCAATGCCTGTTTTACATACAGACTCCTACATTTCAAAACAGTCCGTACTCTGGAGCTTTCTTAGAATAAGCATTTTTAGAATGGACAGATTCTTTCTTGACTCAACTTTAATTCTACTGGGATGGTTATAAATTGAAGCATTTAGACGGAATCCACCAGGAATGAGTAATTTTAATTTTCAGTGGACAAAAACCTTGTACCAGAATAATTTAGAGAATATATATTGCATTCTTTTTTACATTTTTCAAGGACTTAAGATGTAATATATCATCTGTAGTAACACCAAAGAAAATTTCTCATGGAATTCCGAGAAAATGAATGTCAAATTTCACAATAATTGTGATTACACAGTTAAAATTCTGAAAATTTCATGTGTAAGATTTAAATTCTGTGAAATTTGACATTCATATATTTTCTCGGGCTCCCATGAGAATTTTTTTTTTGGTGTCACTACAGATGATTTATTACATCTTTAGCCCTTGAAAAATGTAAGAGAGAATGCAATATTCTTTGAATTATTCTGGTACAAGATTTTTGTCCACTGAAAATTAAAATTACTCACTCCCCCATCCCAGGAAAATCCTTCCAGACCCTGAGAGAAACTTGTTTTGAGTGCACTCAAAATGTCAGCTTCTCAGTCTCCCTACCAGAGCACCTCATTTGACAAAATCTTTGCTGCCATAAAACAGGTTTATCTCATTAATTTCATTAATTTTTGCTTTTTTATATTGCTCGATGGAAACACTTGAGCTACATTTGATGGATTGAACAGCGAAAAAAATTATAAATTTAATTCAATCAAACAACATACATAATTACAAATAACAGCTGTCGATTACAAAGAGAGTTAGATCAGAATAAATTTGAATCTTTGCCGGACTTCAACGAGTGTCTGTAAGTCCCTATCTATATATATATACGAGAGTTTATGCGAGTCAAATGTCTGAAATTTTCCTCGGGGATTCTGCTGCTCTGTGTATGAGAAAAATGTCCCGTAATAGTGAGGCGTAAGTACTCCGCAGTGCATGAGTTGAAATTTCCATAATCACGCGGCCGCGATGGAAGCGGCAATGGGAGGGTGGAGGGTCAGGTTTAACAAACGAAACAAACAATTTTTCCCATGCATCACACAATTTCGTGTTAAATTACGTTGCCGTCACAGTGTGACGGCAACGTAATGTAAGTGACTGCAGCCAATATTTTGACGTAAAATTTGATTACTTTCATATCTAGCAAGAGGACATAAAGCAATCGTACACAACAACGTTACGATTTCCTTTCACGTTTCTGAACTCATACACTGTCCTTAACAGATTAAACTTCAGTAATTTTCGCCTACATTTTGTCAACAAATTGAACCAGATCAGATGAAATAAAGACACGATTAAGGACGCGAAATGAGCTCTTCTAATCAAGCTCTTTATCTTTTTATTTTTTCCCCCTTTTTTTTAACCTTAAGCACTTAAATGGAACAATGTTTTAGTAAGTGCAATCCCTTTTCTTAGTTCGTGGACCATCAACTCTAATTATATGTGGACAATCTATACAGTCGAGTGATTGTAAGCTCCTTGTAATTAAGTTTTTCAATAAAACACCTCAGTGAAATTAAAAGTTAATTTAAATTACAGTAAAAACGTGAGTTTCTTAACAACTAGACCTTCACTTGCTAGTTAGCTCGGCGATGCGGGGAGAAAAACATGCATTCAGTTTGGGTCTACATCAGTTTAGATTTATAAATATTTGAAGAAACATTTTTTACAAACAAGCATTCCCTTGCTATAAACATCACAAAAACGACAAAAAAGCGAGCTAATTTTATCCTCTGATTAAGAAAAATTTTTGATATTTAACTTATTAGGGTTTAATGTCCCGAGAGAGCTGCGGAAATCGAGCCTAGACGTGTGATTTTATGATAACTTATTTAGACAGAATTTTTCCTTCCCCGGCCACCGTGCTCCCTTGACCCAGCAAAAAGCCCTGACGTAATTGTGTTGAGCACTATACTAGTGACAGGGGAACCTCTTCGAACTTACACCAACAGAGTTGTTTTCAAACACAAACTGTATTTATGCATTCAACGTTTCCATGCATGAGAAGATAAGTCAAAGGACCAGACTTCACAAATAACAACTGAAGTCACTTACCTATTTCAACTTCGATATTGCCAAATGTATTGATCGTGATAATTTTGAACACCTTCTACAAAAGAAATCAAGATGATCTGCATCCGTTGCAAACTGTAATTGACGTTATTTCAAGCTTTTGAGGCCGTATTTATCAAGCTTTCTTAATCGTTTTATTCGAAGTAGAGCGTTGGATTACAGTGATAGTGGAAAATTTGTGGTTGTCAGATGTGAACTACATAAAACAATAATGAATGCAACGCCCACTCAAATCTATTTTACACCTGTCTCACGTCAACTTGCTGTACTTTGACACGACAATAACTATTTGAACTTTTTTTTAAAATATGCCATTTTTCGCTACCGCGTCAGATAGTTCAAGATGTTTTCCATTTGCTCATTATATAAACTTTTCTGAGATTTTTTTCTAGAAAGATTAAGGCGTGGAAAAATCTAAATGTGACCGTACGTGCGGTTGCCCATAACAACAATTCAATTGTCAGTTGTTTTATTACAATCTAACTGACATTATTACAACTTTTTGTTTTATATCGAAATACGCTGGAGGCTTTGGAGTCCATAACTAATTTATAATATACATGAATATGAATACACGAAATATTTCTTTTTTAGTGCACCTGACAATGTAATCATTTCCAAAAATAGAGAGATGTCATCAACGCTTTCAGTTTCTCCCCCAAAATCAAGCTTGTTACTTAAAACCATGGAGATCGAGTAAATAATTTAGATGGGAAGTCTTTCTTGATCAGCTAAAGTTAGACAGATTGATGCAAAGACCGAGCTCAAGGGGTAATTCTACTTTGTTAAAACCTGAATACAATCTGTACTGTTCAAAAGAATAAAGAACAAAGACAGGTGCAACCGGTTGAATTTGATCCTTTGAGGAGTTAAAGGGGCTATGTCAGCTGGAGAGCATGCGCTCTGAGGTTATGCAAATTACTTTCAACTGTCAAAATTCTATTGTTTTTAACGCGTGACTTTCTCCATGTGCGCTCTGAGGTTATGCAAATTACTTTCAACTGTCAAAATTCCATTGTTTTGAATTAACGCGTGACTTTCTTTATGTTCTCTGTCACGTCCAAGGTTCCGAATTTAGAGAGGTTAACAAGCAAAATGGGTTTGGATAAGGGATATTTCGATATAATTTATGGAACGTTTCTTCTCTGGTTATGCTAGATCAAGAATAAAATTGTGACGACAATTTTACTTGTAGTTTTGAAGTAAAAACGCATGCCATTCATAAAATAGAGCGCAAACAAAAATTCAACAACAACATATTGTCTTATTCAACAAAATAAATGGAAGTTGTATTTTACAAACGAGCTACTAAAGACGCTAGACCGAAGATAAAGACCAAGACTGTTTCAAATCATAAACAATTAGACTTCTCTGTCGCTACTGATTTTATAATTTAGATGCTGATAGAACAAGAGACCAAGTCTTTGTTTTGATCTTAGGGAAACATACATTATCGCGCAAAATTGTTCGATCGTGCCGAATCACTGGGACGTCGAGAAAAACAGAACCCAGTATCATTGGTATACTACTCCACTATAAGCAGTCCGTTGATAAAAAGGGAAAGTAAACTCTGCTATTTTCCAAAATTATGCTCGAACACAAATAGTTCAAAAACATGACATTTACAGGATCTAACTCATACTAAGGTGCCTCTCTAAGTCCGTTGAGAACAATCTGGACGAGCAAACGGTCGTGTTTATCTTTGCCGTGAATCGAGATAAATACAAGAAGGAATCTAGCGGAATTTTAGAATGTTTCCTTCGCCAGGAGTTTAGTTGCGTCACGAAACTCCTGGCCTGATGCTCTTGTAATCGTTTACAAAAAACGGCCGCCGCCAACTCGATAGCCGCTTCATTATATGTCCACATACTTTGAGCACAAGAAAAATCCAAGAGCCAGCAGCCTCTAAAATAACTAAATAGAAAGGTCCTGTGAACTATAGGGAAGATTCCATCAAAGATTCCATCACTCATTGTGGAGTAGCCGTCATTAACTCTGCCATTACAACGGTCGCTGATAAGAGGACACAGTAAATCCGCGTAAAAACATTCCACAGGCAAACAATTTTAAAATAACGCCAAAAAATTGTTCTGTAATCACCATAGAACGATTCTTAATACAAAACTTCGCTAACTATCGAACGATGGCTGAGATTTAGACAGATAAAAACAGCCTTCCAAAATCTCCGACACAACTTGAAAAAGTTGGGCCGTCTTTTTCAAGTTGGTTTTCATTGGCTCGCGCATGCGTGTTGGGTGACATAGCCCCTTTAAATAGCACCTCTTTGAAATTTAATTTAGCTTACTAGTTCACAATTCCTAAATTTTTGATTAAAAGCTACCCACTGCTCTTTGTTATACCTTGGCTCCCCTCGCATAATCATATCTTTAATCATTTAAATGATTATGTGAAAAAAAAAATATATATTTGAAACTATTTTTGAATATCCTCTTTGTTAGGAACAAAATATCTTTATCTACTATGACTTTATGCATAGGGTTCCTGCTTAAACTCTATATGACTCTGAAACGTTTAAACAAGAATGACTTCTTAGTTTCCTTACAAATGTTATAAGAGTTAATTTTAGAATTATTTTTGGGACCATTTAAACTTAACATACATCGAAATATTTTATTTCAAGCATATTTCCAGATATTGCAAAGCACTATAAAATGCGAAATCAAGTCATGCCTAGAGTTTATTCCAGCGGGGGAAGGGGAGAGCTGGTTTAATGCATTCAGTATTCGTATTGCAGAACACTTCCTTCTTCACTTAGAAAAGGTCTTTTTTATTCCTGTTTCCCCTCCCAATTTTGGTAACTGGAACGTTTCTTATTTAGCCTTTCTTGTTAAGTTTTAAAATTAATATGATACAACAAAATTTGGTGATGTCTCTGGCATCAGAAGGTGATTACATGTACCATCACAGGCAGCTCAAGATTGGTACTGGCGGACTTGCGACAGGATGTGAGGTCACAGTCATTTACAAATTCAAATATCTTTCACATTCTTAAACTGTTATATACTGAATTATTAGTTGTCTCCCTCAATATTATTAACTGAATCAAAATCGGATGATGATTTTAATCCAGTCACACTTATAAAAAGAAGAAAAACGATATCATCCAGAAGAGAAATTCCCAAGTAATAAGCCTGCGTTTGTTGAAATCAATACAGTTGATGCAAGTTGACCTTAATTATACTGCACTGAAAAAGTTTCAAGCAAATCTATGGTGAAATGATCTTGGTCTCAAACGTCGTATTTTTTTCATCTTTCAGCAAGCTGATAACCCCATTAATTAGTCTGATTCCTTTTTTAAATTATAATGGAGTGAAGCCTGCTCTCCCTGAGAAAGTCAATGCCGTGAAAAAGACCGTTCTTAATGAAAATCAACTCTAAGCTTTACCTAGGGCGTTTTTAATAACTTTTGCATGTAAAACAAAAACTCTATTAATAAAATATAAGAGAGGGGTGAGGCAAAGTTTCTCCGCTAGGATTGCCACCGAGCTGAATTTTATTGAGTCAGGTTTACAAGTGCAATTTTAATTCACATTATTCGTTGAATAAAGAGATCCAATTAACTTTTCCCCAAAGCTATGACCGGTGGACGATGAAAATGATCACCACTTTTAATTCCAAATCAGTTAACGCTGAACCGGCCAGTAACTCTCCTCATACCTGTTAAAACAGAAAAAAACAAAAGAAAGGGAAAAGTAAAAGGTGAAGGAAAAATGCAAACAACACGAATGCAGACAATATGTCTCAATTATATGTGTAACGGATTGTTTCCAAATTGAAAGAGGACGATGAGACAAGGGCCATTTTAAATTCATGATGCAATAATTTGAAGGGAGGGTCTGCATTCTCCGCTGTATTCAAGGAATATTCAAGCAGAACTGACTTAATATTGAAAGGGAAATAATTTAATCCCTGAATAACTGGAATATACGCTGATCACTGTCGTGTTGTAGAAACCCCTCCGCTAACGTTAACATGCCCAATGTTTACTTTAGAAACGTTTTGCTTCAGAGGGAAAGAATGCTTGTAAAGAAGAACTGAACATTTACAACGCAATAGGACTTTGTCATGCGGCGGCCATTTTGTCTCAGGAGAATTAAAAAGCTTTGTCTATGCACCGGTAGCCTCATAAACAAAGCCTTTTAAAACTCCCGAGACAAAATGGCCGCCCCCTGACAAAGGTCTATTTTCTCACGGTCTCAGCGGGTGGGCCGAAAGCTGTGTATGAACGGCTCACAGGATTGGTTTAGAAAACAATAGATAGCCCTAACCGAACAAAACTAACAATGAACCCCAACTCTGAAACAATAGAGCTTCGGGTCAACAAGAACCTATCAAATCATGAGAGGTTCTAAAGAGGTTCTGGCCAACAGGTCGCAGCCAGAGAGAAATAAAATAAAATAAATAAATAAATGGATAAAAATAGGGGAAGTAGCCTGTTCCAAGCGTTCAGATAAAGTGAAGAAAGATGAAAAGTAGCTGGGGAGAGGCGCGGGTCCCTCCCCATTTTTCGGAAACATCTGAACGCCTGTACTGAGTGTTTCAACCCATGGAAACAATTGTACTGAGTTTTTCAACCGGCCAAAAAATTTCCCCTCGTTCGTTAAATATTCCTCAAAAGTATATATGAGGCAGAACATTCTCCATAAGCATGCAAGTCAAGGAATAAATCTAGATTATCCTTTCTTGCCATAAGACAATGTTACTCTTTTAATGTTTCCTCTAGACTTTCCTCATAAAAGGATAATAATAATCTAATATTTATGTCTCTGTGTGAGGGGCATGTTGTGTGTAATGACTCTATAATTTCGGCTCTGACCTGCAGTCTTGTCCGCCTTCGCAAAGGCTGTAATGGCGTTTTCAGCAGTCAATTCGTCGGAATACCAGGATTGAAACTTGCCGTTGTCAGGACGTTTGCAAAAAGCTAAAAAGGGGAAAAACTGTCTTAATTTGATGACATGAAATTGTCATTTGGTCTCAAACCAAGTTTTTTTTATCTCTGTTTTGCAATTACGATAGTCTGAAACAATGGAATTTAACAACTTCAAACTAGAGACTTCCTGTAACAACTTGTCACAATAGTAGAGTATCTCTGGCGGGGCGTTCCGCCTTATAAAAATCACGTGAATATGTGAACCAAGAGATATGCGTCTCGGCAGGTACAACGGACCTATAACTATGGGGGGGGGGGGAGGAGGGTTAGGGGCAGGAAGCAGTCTACGGTATGCCCGCCGGGAATTATAGCAAAATCTCAGTTGATAAAGCAAAAACAATAACGCGCAAAAAATACAATAACAGTACGGAACTAAAACACCTGCATTATGAAACATAAAGAAGGAACCTAGGGAGACCGTCCTGGGCTTGAATGGGAATTTTGTTAAAAAGACTGCAAATTTTTGCCTCCGTTTGGGCTTCATTTACTTGTCGTTTAAAGCCGCACCTTTCGTGGCTCCACGCACGATATAAGCTATATAGTGTAGTGTGAACAGCAGTGCCAAGAGGTGACACAAGTCGTTCACATACCTGGAACATCGTACCCGCTGTACGGAAGAATTCCAGTCCTGAATACTGAATATTTACCTCCGTTTTAGTGGGTTCCAGTCCTCGCTCCAGCTTATTAGGCTGATTTTGCAACAGAACGGGAACTTCAGTTAACGATGACGCGCGCAAATCAAACAACTGGCTTGACCAATGGCATAGCGGCAAATTGAGCACCGGAAGTCGTGTTTAGTCCTTTCCGCGCGCTTTCCCGTCGTCAACTGACGTTCCCGTCCTGTTGGTAAATCAGCCTGTTTACTTCCGCGACGGGCCTTATGACACGGCACCAAAGTATGGCACAGAATCTATCCGATATGGAATGCTCCACTTTCGAGATCGACGCAGCGCAGCTTCGCTTCGTCACAGAAATCGCCCCGCTACAACCGTTCTAATGTGTGTGAACAGAAACTCTATCCGGTATGATTTTCATGGCGGCGTGTGAACATATTGACATTAAACAAAGTAAGATTGATTTTAATTAATTTGCTTAACGTCGCTGCTTCCTTCCATGTTTGTGAAAATACAGTTACTAAGCAGAATTTGCAGCCGAATAAGTAAATTTTACGAGCCTTAGTGCCTGGGCGCTTATTCAAAATTTCGGCTAAAAGGATGGGCACTTAAGCAAGAGGGGCACTTAACAGGTTCTTCTTTTGGAACCTTGCAGTCTTATTATACGATCATGTATACACAGAAACAGACAATAGAAACAGCTTTTCCCTCCTGTGTTCCTACGTTATACTATTAAAGAAAGTGATCGGGGGTGGGGGGAGAGGGGGGACTTAATTGATATTTTGGCCTGGTGCGAGGGCGCTTATTTTAGAAAATACGCTTCCTAATAAGTTATAACTTACTTCTTAAGTAAACTTGGTTGGGCTTTTTAACATCTTGTAGAACATCCACTTTGGGAAAATCATCTACTTGAATCTAATGTGTAAAAAATATGCTTTTTATAAGGACAGGGCAGTTATTTACTTAGACACCTTCAATCTGCCTAGGTAGATAATGAGATCAAGCAAGATCAAGTGAGCAAAAAATTCACAATTGTCTCTTCAAACACAGGTGGAATTAAATGCTACCCTGCGAGCAGAGTCTCCTTCGATCTTCCTAGAAAATATCCTCTTCCCAATATTTTCTAGGAAGATCGAAGGAGACTCTGCTCGCAGGGTAATTAAATGCGGGCAAGCACCAAGGTAAACAGGTAGAGTTTGATTCCTTTCGTTCAGTTATGACTGGCACCTTTAAATGGCTTTAGCCTTTAACGCTGGATAAGTTTAGATCACTCATCTGGATTCGAGACGACGAAAGAAAGGAAGAAATTATAAATTGAATTCTTTAGTATGACAACACCATTTAAACGGTGCCTGCGAGAACGGGGGAGCGAGAACTTCTATTTTACAAGTCCTTCAAAGTCGGGTTTGATTTCCAAAAAAAGGGTACCGTAGTTATCTTTGCCGCCAAAATATAATTACAAATTATTGAATGAGGTAGAGTAGAATGTGAAGAATTATGCAGATCAGGATGTTATCCACCGAGAGGCTGAGGGTCGACATGCATCATGAGTAACATCCCCCCCCTTCCGCGAGATTTGCATGATTTTTCACATCCGACACGAAAACAGAATTCAGTAATTGTCTGTTTCCAAATCAATATACAATCGATCAACCACGTTTCCAAATCAATATACAATCGATCAATCTCGTTTCTAAGTCAATATACCATCGATTGCTCGCATTTTCCAAATTTGGTCAACGCCAGTTGGTTATGAAGATTTAGCGGGGGGCTTTGAGCTAATCAGAAACGGTGATATATTTTGAATGAATAAAATGATAATTATAACACTCCATACCCAATCGACGTACCAATCTGCCCCTTTACCACCATCGTCGCGCTTGAGGTAAAATCGTGCTGGGATTCCTATGTCTTTACCTTGTACTTCGAATTTGTCTGGGTTCCTACACAGGAGAGTAATGATCTCATTTTTTTAATTGTCACGCGACAGTGCGACCTTTCCTACGGCCAAGGAAATCACATGAAAGGTACCTTTAAAATAACTAATATTTATAACTTAAGAAAGGTAAAAAGAACACGCTCTGATTGGTCAATTCTTAGCCATCTGCCAGTTGTCCATGCGCCATTTGTGCACTCAAGGCAAGTTTTAGCGCTGCACAGCTGGCAAATTGAGTAATTCGCATCTCTTGATTCTCCTCTCCTATTTTTTCCAGGGTTGGTCCGTAAATAATTTATTGACTAAGCCTATTGACCTCGACTTGGTCTCGGTTTATAATAATGTGAAAAAGAGCGTGCCCAAAATATCCTTCTTCAGTACTGAAGCACATGTACCAACTCTGCGGTATGGCCAGTACCTCACACTTGCGCATAACCATATCTCCCCGGCCGTGACAGCCGTGGACAGCTGTTTCGTCCTCATTAGGAATCATCAGCATGATATGCGCACAGCCCCAGGCGAGAGGTGTCAATTGCGATTACGAAACAGTTGTCCATGACTACCACTTCCGTGGTGATATCCTTGTAGCAGGAACAAGGTTGTTCGCTTGCGTTAGGTACTGGCCATCCCTCGGAGTTGGAACGTGTGCTTAAGTGCTAAAAATTGGTATTGTTTGTCAAGATATAAATATATCTTGACCAAGCAGGCTTTGCCGCCGTTAACAAGGCGTAAAAGAGCCAAAATTAGAGAGTTTAAGCTTCACATATACGGCAAACGGCAAACGTCAGATTCCAGTAGAGAATTTCTCAAAATAGAAAATGAGCAGATAAAAACAGTTCAAAACAATTCTTATTGGATAAAAAATTGCGTGAAACTACTAATTTATGTGTAGAAATAATGAACAGTAAACGACAAATAATGGGAAAACTTGGTCACGTGGTACAAATTCGCGTTTTCCGTTAGACGTAACTGAGCTGCTTAACCTCGACTGGTCATAAAGCGTCAATCGTACGTGAAACAAACGGTAAATAAGGCTATCATTATTATAAGTATTGTGGAAAAAAATATGTTAGCAGTGTTACGGAAAACACAGTTAACAGAGTTAAGTTTCATCTATTTTAATATTTGCAAATTACTTACTGCTTTCTTTCAAAGCAATTTGTATTTTTATTTGGACCGAGTGCTTTGGCACAATCCAGTTCCATGTATGCTGTTTCTCCTTTGGTACCGAAAAGTTTGATCCACACTCTTGCATCTGTCCCAGCTCCCCATTTCTTTCCAGTCTTAACACTCACAGTATATTCTAATGAGAGGAAAATATATCTATTTTCAGTTTAAAAACTGAATCATTGGATAATAATGCAATTCTAGAGCTCTGATTGGCTTAGCCATCATGGTATATAGAGAGAATATTACACGGTGGCGCGAAGATATGAATTTTATTTTCGAGTGACAAAAAAATATTTTACTCACTCGCTGCGCTCGTTCGTAAAATATTGTTTTTGCCACGAAAAAATAAAATTCATATCTTCAAGCCGCCGTGTAATGTTCTTTTTATTATATAGACAAAAAGACATCGATAAAATAATGGAGGGAAATGACCGAAATTACGTCATCGATAAACTCACGTGTGAGATTATGGAAAATAAACCACTCAGCGGATGTAGTTTTTATGAATTTTACGAGAGGTATATTTTCCAGTAAAACACTCGTGTCTATATGATATGAGCCATTATACCATGCGCCCCAAATATGATAACTGTACGCGTCTTCTCAAAATTAAAAACAAGCTGAAAATCGGTTGTTTTCCAAATAAAGTTGGGAAGAATTCTCGATATTCGGCAGGCGTTTTTATTAAAACAATTATTCCACTCGCGCTTGTTGGATATGAGATGATTATAGCCAACGATCGAGCCGCGCTATCTATTATCTCATATCCAACGCACTGTACTCGCATACTTCTATGTTGCCTTCTGTTGATTGGTTAGAGTTTGACCGCAAGGGACGTCAATACGGTACTTGATTAAATTGTGCAAGTTTCACGTGTTTATTTGTCAACCTATAATCGATCTTAAAAGAAAGAAAGCAGTAACTGATTGAATGGAACAGTAGGTTGCCTTTATAGTCAATGCTCTGAAACATTTCCTTGGCATTTGTATGCGCAAGAGCCATAAGTGGACAGAGAAAGATTCTTAGGGCGTTGGCCGCGATCTGTTAATTTCAGTTATTAGTTACCTTTAGAAGGGTTAATATATTGCTGGGACGTCCGTACATTTTAATCTATTGAAATGCCATCAAGTGCACACGTGACCGCCTTAAAGCAAACAATGCAAGATATTTTAAAGGCGACAGCTGAATATTCACAAGAGCCATTTTCATTTTATTATATAATATGGCTCAAAGTATGCAAGAAATACATTTCCGAGTGGCTCCGAAGTTAAGTTGCACCTGTTGTACTTTTGAATTGGCCATCTCATTTTTAGGGAAGTTTTCATTACACATCAGTTCGAAAATACGAATTTTATGTTCGCGGGGAAAGGAAAATATCTCCTTTGCCATCACTATCTTCTAGCCAGCATGTAATATATATTCTCTCCTTCGCTTTAGAAAAAAAAAAGAAGTAAAATATGCCATACTTCTCAGACTGCCTTGAACAGCGCCACAAATTACCAGAAGGAAGAAAAGTAACCAAGAAAGCTTTGAAATCATTTCTGTGGAAATAATAATGATAATGATAAACAAGCAAATAATTCCAAAAGGACACAAAAAATTACGATCATTGAATTGAAAAAAGCGGTGTTCTGAAAGACGTGCTGGCTCCTAGAAGACATTTCTTTCCAAGTTTCTTTGCAACGCTTTATCGTAAGACGAATCACGTCGAGGTCTCCTTATCATTCGTAATAGTTATTCGGCTGCGTGGCGCGGGGGGAGGGGAGGAGTAAGGGAAGGGTGGTAGAGACTTTTCCTGCGCGGATTCCGGTTTTGGTCAGACAAGTATTTATCGCTTCGGCCAGCTTCGAACTCATCATTGCACGCTGCGCATTGTACCCAGGGTAAAACTTCTTTAGGCTTTACAAATTCTGGTAGTAAATTAATTGAAAGAATAAACGAAATTTTACCGCTGAGAGAAACGTTTTAGCTGTCAGTGACAAAATTGTACATAGACAAAGCATAACATCTTTTACCTTAATCTCCTCAGAGCTGTTTGTTAGTGTCTTCACGTTGAAAGTTCTGAAAATATGTTTTTTTGGACTGACAGCCACGTATTCATGTCAAACACTGCAGACACAAGGTGTCGCATAACCCGCTAAATAACCTTGCGTGAAATGAATAATTACATAGAAATTGACGCTAAAACCACTGTAACCAGAAAATTAAAGAAGGAACAAATAAATTCATATTTTTCTCCCTACTATCACATTGTATTATACAAATAATTAAACAGATGTAACCAATAAACCAAAACTGACTCGCAAGGAAAGTTTGACGGTATTTGAAGATATCATAGTTTGGTTATGAAAGTCTGGCGTTTTATTGATGTCCGGCACCAGCCAGAAAACATCTACAGATCTACACTTACCCTACAATTATTACTGAAGCTTGAGATTTATTGCGACAAAAATTGTTTATTAATTCAGGATGTCCTCTTGTTCAACGAACTCAACTGTAAATAGCCAATGGCAGGTTAAGTTCACAATTAAATGAGTATCTTTTGAGTTAGTTTCTTCGAACATAAATCAAAAACAAAAATCTTTCAATGAATTTCAAAGTGCTACTGGTCCTCCAGCAAACACAAGGGGGAAAGAGGGGTGGGGGGGGGGGGGAGGTAATTTGACACCTTGGGTTATTATTCAGTGCTTTAGCTTCAATACGTTGGTTTTTCTTGGTTTTAGTATCAGTAAAAAAAAAAAAAGATTCTTCTTTGCTGTTTAATTTCAAAGTATTGAAATTGGAAAAAAAAGAGGAAATCCGCGGGGTTTCTGCAGTTCCTTAAATTAGTACTTTTTTCACTCTGAAATCACGAGGATACATTATTGCATTATTGCTATTCCAAATTTTAATGGTCCTGAATGTACCGTTTTAATATAATATATTATTACGTATTTTGCACTCAGCCTTTGTCACTACTTTTTTTTTTCTTGTGTACCATCTTCAAACGTCGATCGTCTGTGATGTACCACCAACCAGGAGAATAATATAAATTTCGGAACTTAATATCCCCCGGGTCCTAAATCAAACAGTTCTATGAAGTTTCTTACGTGCTATTCATAAACCATTGATTTTACTATGGCCCGAACAACAACCTGCAAAACCCTCGTTCGAATGGTCAGTTGATTTTGTTCAAATGGAATAAACGTACTCGTCAGCAAATTGCTCCAAAAAGATGAATTTATTGTTTATACTAGACTGAATTTATCTGTTAATAAAATTATGTTTCAGACTCAAGAAATCAAGTTTTTAACCCTTGGAAGGATGTCGCCGATCCTCATAAAACACTAAAAGCTGCCTTTCAGTTCCAGATAGTTCACACCACATTTAGTCAGCCTGGTCAAGGAAAGCACCTGTCCAGGACACTGCATCCACCAGCTGCCAAATTTGTACATTAAACACTGCTGTTTTCCTCTTTCCCCAAATGCTTATCCTGTGGTCATTTTTACCTTGTGACAATATGAACTTGAAATGTCTCGCAATAATTTAATTTAAGAATAATACAAAAAACTTTCAGCCTAAAATCTCGGCAGGGAATTTTAAGAATATTCGATTCAGCCTGGACCGATCGAAAAAAGAGAGTGTTATGAAACTGTAAAACTTCTCTCTTATATCATGATTTGACTGTTATCAGTTTGTTAGCTTTTTTGGTCCTGACTGTGCACAAAGTTCAAAAGCAATCTTATCATTTTGAACTTACTAACCAATAGAGAGACCGACTTGAATTTCTATATTTAGTCACAACTTGTGAAGAAAAAATGAACCTCGAGCTCTCTATGGCGGGTACCCGCGGACGTGTTTTTCGTCGCGCGTTTTCCATCAAATCGGTGGTTTTTCAACGAAATCGTCGCAAATCTGTTTCAGTCAAGAACTGACTGTTTTACGTGGTCACGTTACAAGCGACCTCGACGTCGTTCCGCCAATTAAGTTTACTTAGTTCTTCTCCACTTCTAGACGCACTTGGATGGAAAACATGATCTCCAACAGACAAAAGGACAAGGCCATCTTGGTTATGAGTCTTTACGTAATCCTGCTCCATTGTATCTCCGCATAATGTTCTGCAAATTTCAGTAGTGCTAATTATGATCAAAGAAACTCAGCTCACAAACGCCTTGCATTGCCTAAGCCTAGGACTGAAGCCTAGGCCTGAAGCGCAGCTATTCCTATAGCGGTGCCGCCTTGTGGAATTCTCTGTCTGAGGATCTAGGGGAATGGAACTCACTTGAGTTTTGTTTAAAAAAGCTTAAAAGCTACTATTCTTCTTTGGGCTCCCACATAGCAATCATGTAAATCAGTTATATTTCAGTATTTTACTTTTACTTAGTATGTAAGTTTTAAACTGATGATTTCCCTTGTATAAATATATTAATAATATTTAAAAGGCTCAAACTTTGTCGGCGCCTTTGGTATGTAAGGACGTAAAACAAAACAAAACAATTTTATATCTATGGCATATCAAAGAAATGTGGATATAGAATGTTTCCAAAGGACATCACGTCCCCCAGTGGTTTCCTAAGACAATGAAACAGTGGCCGCGTTGAACTCCCCCGACCTGTCCGGTGAGAGTTGAATCTTTATCTTGTTGTGTAAGGACTTTCTTTTGTTCCAATAATTTGCACCGAGTTTCTGAATTCCCACAATGAGTTACAATGCAATCAGGCCAGTCGTGTCTCTGGTTAAACTAAGACTTTGGTTCCCACGGTCTCATACTCTTTGCTTTCAGTGCTTCCCGGCATAACAGAATTTATGTTTTGGTTGTCTAGTGAGACTATAGTAGGATGACCAAACAAAGTAATAGCATGCAGCTAAAACCGAATAAGTGGTCCATAAAGAGGAGATCCTTTAGTGGTTGCTAATTAGACTTGATGGCCGGGGCTAATCAGGTTGGACACCTTATGTTTATTACACAACGCTATACCCGACGAATAGAACCATTTATGCAAATTTATAATTATTGCATGGGCACATTTTTTAGAAAAGTGCATGGAAATTAGAGTAAGAGACAGTTGTGCAGGGAAAAGAGTTGAACACAGGGTCTAGCACCAAAGTACAGTGATTAAATATAGGTTATCAAAGCACTATTTTAAAATCGGGTAGCTTTCAATAAATCTATTAACTGAATCAATGCCATGTAAAGTACGTTAAAATTGCGTAAACCGTAACCGGTGTCGGCAGTTTGCCCTTGATGGTGTAGTGGATAAGGATGTGGATTATACAGCTATTTCGAGAAAGGCTGTCCGAAAAAGCGCATCCGACAATCTCGAAAGGTATTGTGGGTGATTTTGAGTTCACTGTTCTTGAAAGAAATTTGAAAGAATGGCACGAGAGGCCATAGACCATAGGCCATATGTTTGCTAGTGCTAAAGGAAAGTAACAATAGAAGATTCGACAGCTACAGTAGTGTCAAGAACGGCGTATTGATCATATCCCATACTACCTTTCGGGATTGTCGCTTGCACATTTTTCCGACAACCTTTCTCGAAATAGCTGTACATCAATTGATGCAGTTTCACTGGTCCTACATACTAAGTGTTTCTTCCGTTTTCTTTGTGCTTGTCTTATTTACTACTATAATTTATAAGACTTCTGTCATGTATTTTGAGTAAAGATGACACTCGCCTGCTTTTGGGGTATCCATTCTAGCCACAACCGTTTGTGAAAGGGTAGGTTTGAGACTGAGAGTGTTCCATTTTTAAGCTTGTTAAATTCGGAATTTTTTTTTTACGGAAAGTGCCGGACTGTAATTTGTTTTTCAATCGCTACTTGAAAGCGTGCCTTGTCTTTAAGGTACCTCATACTTAGTAATCTTTTTTACTGGGTACAACTATAAATTTAAGTATCAGTAAGACAAATTCTACAATTTTATGCAGGTCTTTCCCTTGTTGGTTTTGGGATGTCATGGAAAGGAGTTTGTGCATTTCTTTATGGCTCTTTGTTCATGCGCTCCTGCAAGCGCACGGCATGAACATCCCCACAGAGACCATTCACTAACACAAAATTTCTCTCATGTTTTCAACTCGATGCAGTTAATACGTCTTTATTGAAATTTTAAATCAGTTAAACCTACAGTTTGTACAACTGTACTCATGATTTAGTTAAGCTTAACAGGTAGTCAACGGACGCCACGAACTGATCCAAATCAATTGTCGCCATGCCGACCGGGAGCACTGGGCGTTCCTGTAAGAAGACAATTCATAGTTAAAAAGCTTGAACTAACAGAAAAACAAGAAATTATCCTAACTTCTATTTCCAAACGAGCAAACATCGTTAAATAATGCTCACTTCCATTGTTGAGGGTTAGCATTAAAAGTATTTCCCATTGACACTGCACTATTCTGGGATAATTTCCGAACAAGATTTCTGTTCACATCAGAGTAAAATTGAAAATTGCCATTCTCGGGGCGTTCAACTCATCAACGTTCCAGTAAGCCTCAAGGTCCAACCCCTTACCCTTTCATATATCTTTTTCGACAAAACGTACGGCCCCCTTGTTGGTATACCTTCCATTGAAAATTATCCCTTTTTTCGAATCCACAAACCCAGACGTAGTGTGTGTCCCCCTAATGTTGGTATAAACCCCATGAACTTCCATTAACAAAACAAAGAAAATTTAACTGAACGTGGCCCTTCATTTTTTGTTGAGTTTTGCATTAATCCTAATAAAGATAGTGTCTGCCACTTCGGCCAGGAAAGGATACGTTCAGTTGAAGGCATCTTAGATTTGTTTTGATATATTTTTAAATGTCTGTTCGATATATTTTTAAATACGTCAATGACACTATTTATCAACGCATAAAAAGGACTGCTTTATAAGCAGATAATCTCACACTCCCAATATAAACTAAAATAAGCACTTACTTGCGGTGTACCACTTGAATTTTTTCAACCAATTGTGGAAACCCACCTTGGGAAATGGTTTTACTTCAACCTAAAGTGTGAACGAAATTCCTGATATAAGTAAAAACAATAACATCAAACTGAGACAGCCTCCTCCTCAGGCGCTTCCTTTTTCGCATGGTAGAGGCCAGCGCGAAACGCGAGTGACTGGTGATGAACCGCAAGGGACCATGTGAAGACTACGACTGGGTACGAGGCAGGAACTGAGAGCAAATGTATATTTGCGCAACAAACGTTTTTATATTGACTCAATCTACAGGGGCTGATCTTTTCTAGGGAAGCTCTTATCAAGTTATTTTTACCCTCAGAAGGCATGTTGATTTCCATGCCTTACGGTTGAATGAAATTTAGAGTCTTCAACTTACCCACTCGACGTACCAATCGTCATCTCCATTGCCATCATCGCGCTTGAGTTTTACTTGTGTTAAGATTCCTATGTCTTTACCTTCTATTTCGAATTCGTCTGGACGACTGCATATATACAATGAAAGACAAATTTACAAATTTGTTATTCTGTCCATAATGTCCGCTGACACTCATTTTATTCCGTCTGCTAACGCGCGTAGAGCACCACAGAGTTTAAATTTTCTAATGCTAGTATTGATTGGAAAAATTTTCATCAAAATTGCTTAAATAGGCTATGTTTAAACGAGATAACGGTCCTCTCCTTTTGCAGATTAATACACTCGAAACTTAATGAATGATCACCGGTCCCGTAAGCATCTGCTTTATATAAGCGGCCATCAATCATACAAAGTACTGAGCCAAAAGAACAAAAGTTGAACTACAGTCTGTGGAACCTCTCTAAAGCGAGCACCCAAAATGCGAAGCCTCGGTGGCCGCCTACGGAAGGTGACCGTTTACAAGATTTGAAACCAGGGAGTCTCTTGCGATTGAAAAAGCCCCGACAGTCTTTTAATTTATGATGGATAAAGAGGATTTATCCTCTTTTATAACAAAAGTGCTTTTCATGCCGGCTGTCATAGAAGAAAATGTAGACAGGCATTTCAAGTTTTGACATTAGGTAATTTCATACAGCTTTCGACTTAAATAACACTGCTAACAGCGAATCATTCTCTCTAATTGACACTATATCTCATAATGGCGGGATAATCACTCACTTTTTTCAGATTCGCGAGTCATGATTTGTTCTATCTGTTTGTCACCGCTTTAGTTTCTATAGGGTGAGTCTTAACCCCACCGAACGCTCAATCTTATTCCCTTAATTACCACTGTGGAACTAATGAAAGCCCACTCCACTAGTAGTCTACTTAAACAGCGGAGGGAGGCAGATCGCCATTGACTAGCCTCGGCCTAGGAGCAGGTGTTCTTTTTAGGACAAATGAAAAAAAAAATTACCGGCGCCCGGCGACGCAGGCTACTGATACGATCACTTACTTTCCTAGTTCGAAACAATCTTTACTGGGGCCGCACTTCAAGGCCGAGGATTCACCCAGTTGGATTTCTTCTGTTTCTCCTTTTGTACCAATCAACTTGATCCATACCTTTGCATCCGTGCCAGCAAAATATTTATCTCCAGTCTGAACTTTCACAACATATTCTTAAAGGAAAAAAAGCATATTCAGACTTGGTTACAGTCTCACCAGAATGATTGTGTTTTTATTCTTGACATCAACGGACTTGATAAAAACAGTCGTTCAAAGTTTACGTGTAATCATTTGTAAAGTTCACGAGCAATTTTTTTAAAAAAGAAATAATTAACAGGTTGCCTGGTTATCAATGCTCATAATAGACAGTTCCTTTAGGCAATTTTTATTTTTAAACTTAGAAGACGACGCATACGCAAATGGCCTAAAGGATTTTGAGTCCGTCATCTTACTTATTCGAGGATATACTTAGGTGACACTGATATTTGTCTCACGCATGATGTTTAAACGTGCTGCTGTATATAAATCCGTTAATCTTAATTCAATTTTGCGCCACGTTATTTCACCAAATTCAGCTATTTATAAACACATCACCAAAGCATATTAAGAAATTCAGTGGGGCTAGCGGCTATTCACTATTTGATTACAGAGGGCAAGAGTGTGCAGATATTTCCTTTTATCAATGTCCTCATACTTTTGACGTTTCTTCAATCAGAACCCGGGTATTTCGTGTCTCGATCCCCCATTTACAAATAATGAAACTTCCCGATGGACAATTTTTTTCCCCCGCCTCCATGATTTTTAATCGACCCCTTACCACAAACAATACCCAGCGTACGCTTCCTCATATCGGCCCGGCGCGGGTAACTTATAATCTGAAGATACGCCTTACTTACTGAGTCGTGCCGGATCAAGAACGTAAGCACTGGTTTAAACTAAGGAAAAGTCTATTTACACCTTACTTCTGCCTTGAACAGCATTGCAAAATACCACGAGGGTGAATAGTAGCAACGAATTCGAATTCATTCCTGTGTAAAAAATAATAACAAAAGCAAATTAAACAAAACTTGGCATTAGTAAGAAAAACGGTGTTATGACCTGAATTTCAGAATGAAAGATCCCTTAGCTTACACTGATTATAGAAAAATAGGAAAGGATGTTTAATAAAGGTTGGGTAAAGTTGGGACTGGTCAAGATTACGAATAGTTAAAAGAGATAGAATTTTCTTTTTTCGAATAACGGCCAAAATAATTTTGTTGGCTTTTGAGATGAAAAAGGAGGAGGGGGGGGGGGGGGGGGGACTGAGAGAATCCCCAAATCCCCATAGGCTATGTAGTTATGCAAATTATGGTAATAAAATTAAATAAAAATAATAAAGTAATTAAAAAAGGATATTAGCGGTCATCAAATTACTTTTTGTACCTTAATCTTCTCTTCGTGGCTTGTCAATGTCTTCACCTTAAAACGCTGAAAACATATGTGTTGAGTTGAGTTGGACGACACCACGTTTTTATGTCAAATACTGACAGCTAGGTGTCACGTAACCCGCAAAATGACCCAACACGAAATGAAATAATAATGAGATAATCATAGTCGCACAGACCGTGACCAGTTACCAGAAAAAAGGTGAATTTATTAAAATGTTTCATTACTGCCAAATATTATCTCATAATGATAATTGGAATAGCTCGAGTTCAAAAAACAATTATAGCTAATTATGATAGTAGAGGAAGGTTTTACGCTAGTTATAAATACAATTAGCTTTGCTTAAAAACTCGAAATCAGTAGGGAAGACAAATAAAAAGTACACAAACTCTGTTACAGAGGAGTGAACCCAACTTGGGTAGCTCAAAATTGATTGACCAATCACAGATCGCGTTGACAGTTCTTAGCGATGTTAAGTGCATAAAACAAGGCACCGCTCCTCCCCGTGTAGACACAGTTCACAGTCCCCTATTTTTCCGTGAGATCGTTGAGATATAGCACGTCTTACCGTTAATGGCGGCCATCTTGATTTTCAAATGTACCGAGGGGGTGAGCGTCGGGGATTATACTTGTAGCTCTAGGGGGAGAGGGGCTTCTTCCCAAACCGCCTTCCGCCCCCTTACTAGTTTTGAACTGATCCAAGATGGCAGCCTGTAAAGCATCGCGCTCGATCTCGGCGATCTTACGGGAAAATAGGGAAATGTGAACAAGTCTAGTCCCCACGTGTCCGAGCAAAACGCCGACACGACCGGGGTTAGTAACAGGTAACTTGACACCTTGTTTCAAAAGTAGGACCCTTGTTTTCAATCAGCTCCAAATTAGGACAAATAAAGTTGCGAAACTGATAGTTTTAACTTCGATAAATTTGTCATTTTACTATTAGTAGAAAGAATAAAGAGATAAAGAGCGGTTGCTTTTGTCAATAGCTGTCCTGCTCATAACCAACTTCCGAAAAGCAAAAAAAGTAAAATTGGAAATCGAAACTGAAATGGAATGTAATGTAAGAATTGGTATCCAGTATGTAAATTACCCTGGATTCTTGTTGAGAGGAATCAAGTGACGATTTTTTTTATGTCCTACTTGGTCAGCTAACGTTTAACAACCATATGCCAAGTGCCTTAATCTCTCTCAAACCTTTTCGACCATTAGAATCTGAAACTGACAGTCGGCGGGGGCATGTTGGACTTCAGGCTCCTCAATTAAATGTGTACTTTCTATTCGATTCCATTGTTTTCAGTATTTTCTGTTTTTAATGGCAAGCCATCAAAAATAAAAATGCAAACCATTCAATACAGGAAGCCGGGCAGAATCTAGGAAATGAAAGAAGATAAATATACAAAACGACTCGCCAAGACTCAAGTCTGTGCTGACATGCTTTCCAGTTGCACCATTCTCCAACAGCTGTTCAAGAAAATCGGCTGATCGATGTGACATTTGTGTCAGTCTCTTATCGCTGCTAATGGCTTCTTTTGGCAAAGGATATAATAATACCGTGACTCATAGAACCGATCCGACTTATAGCTGTAATAAATTCTCAAAGCTGGGTTGGTTTCAGAAAGTATACGTCAAAGTCAAGATGAGATTTTTAATTCTCTTCCCAACAAACCTGAATTTTGGTGTTAACTAAGTGCCTGTGGAATTAACGCCATCGTCCTAATCGTCCCACCTGTTTCCCAGGTAGGGGAACAAATATCATTAAGGATATGTCTTTCCCAGGTGGGGGAACACATATCACTAGGGATATGTGTTTAACAGGTGGGGAAACACATATCATTAGGAATATGTGTTTCCCAGGTAGGGAAACACATATCACTAGAGGTATGTGTTACCCAGGTAGAGCAACACATATCAGTAGGGATACGTGTTTCCCAGGTAGGGAAACACATATCACTAGGGATATGTGTTTCCCAGGTAGAGAAACACATATTACTAGGGATACGTGTTTCCCAGGTAGGGGAACACATATCACTAGGGATACGTGTTTCCCAGGTAGGGGAACACATATCACTAGGGATACGAGTTTAGCAGGAAGGGGAACGCATATCACTAGGGATACGTATTTCCCAGGTAGGGGAACACATATCACTAGGAATATCTGTTTCCAAGGTAGGGGAGCATATATAACTAAGGACATGTGTTTCCAAGGTAGGGGAACACATATCACTAGGGATACGTGTTTCCAAGGTAGGGGAACACATATCACTAGGAATACGAGTTTAGCAGGAAGGGGAACGCATATCACTAGGGATACGTGTTTCCCAGGTAGGGGAACACATATCACTAGGGATACGTGTTTCCTAGGTAGGGGAACACATATCACTAGGAATATGTGTTTCCCAGGTAGGGGAACACATATCACTAGGGATACATGTTTCCCAGGTTGGGGAACACATATCACTAGGTATACGTTTTCCCAGGTAGGGGAACGCAGATTACAACGGATACGTGTTTCCCAGGTAGGGGAACACATATCACTAGGGATACGTGTTTCCCAGGTAGGGTAACACATGTCACTAGGGATGCGTGTTTCTTAGGTAGGGGAACACATATCACTAGGGATACATGTTTCCCAGGTTGGGGAACACATATCACTAGGTATACGTTTTCCCAGGTAGGGGAACGCAGATTACAACGGATACGTGTTTCCCAGGTAGGGGAACACATATCACTAGGGATATGTGTTTTCCAGGTGGGGCAACATATATGACTAGGGATACGTGTTTCGCAGGTAGGGAAGGTGCTTCACAAATATGAACATGCAGATCATGATTAAAACAATTTCTTTTTCTTTTTCTATTTTACAACTTTTTTAATCGTCTACGTTTTTTTGCTTCTTTCGTTTAATTTACAGGTGGCAAAAATCTTAAAGTAGCCGGTGATAGCGCCGGTGGTCGGCGTATTTTGACAACCCTGATTAGACGTTGAACAATGTACCAATGTAACGTACGCCACTTGTTGTGTTTTGAAGTATATAAAATTGATATTCTAGTAAACTGAAAATTACCTTGGTACAAACTGCCCATCCATCTTTCTTTGGGTTCTCAATTTGTTAACTGAGATGGTTTCGTACTGTTTAGGAAAGGTCATGTGACCACTGACATGGTGGCGCAGTGTATGATGACACTTTTACTATATGAATGGGGCGGCTGACCATTTCATATAACTAAGTGTAATTTTGACCTGCTCCAACTAGCTCCAACTCGCCCATTTCTTATTTAATCTCATAAAGCCATTTGAAGTAGAAACAGACCATAAAGTTCCGATAACATTTATGCAATTTGCGAGACTCGCGAGAGAAACAATTTCCTAACGGTTCACTACGAAAAATTGCGTTTGAAGTCTGGACGAAAGATTGAGGTTTGGAAACATGAAGATCATTCAAAGGATATAAAGGCAGGAAAATAGCTTTTCATCACTATTGTTTTTAAAGTAAGTTAGTAATTGACAAGAACTTTTAAATTTGAATTGTTGGGCTGATATAGTAAGACATTAAATTCTACAATATATTCACTTAAGCAATTACTAAATAAAAACGCGAAAATCATGGAGTAGCGTATATTGTTTGCTATCAATACAAATCTGAGTTTTATAGTCTTTGTTGCAATAAAAAGCAACAGTTTTTTGACAGGTGAATTTTAGTCGAAAGAAAGAGCAAAGAAAATAGATAAACTTTAAAGTTAAAGCATGTTCTGGTAATTCACGTAATCTGCAGTCTTAAATATTTTTCGCTCTATTTGAACAAGCAAGCTAACAGATTGTAGGCTATCTTTATCTTTATCAGCAAGATGTTTTCACGTTCGTTTTAGAATGTTCAATAAATGAGTCAATTGATCGAAATATTTTCTGCTTCTTTTTTGGAGCATTTTTATTTACCTGGATCAGATTACTGAAGGTTTTGTATTGCTATTTTTATATGTTGTGGTTCAACTTTATCCGTCGATTAAATTTTATTTCCATTTTCGTTTTTTGGTCTGGTAAATAATGTTTGATAATGAGGCTAAAACAAACGGAAATAAAATTTAAATCACGGATAAAATTGAAACACAACATATACGTACATAAGATTATTTGACCGGTAACGTTTTTACACCTCATTTCACCTGCTGATGTTATTTAATTTTTACACATTTATATTTATTTACCAGAAACATTTTTCTTTTTGCTGGCGCGTCACCAAGGAAGATCGTGACGGGTTTCTCAACACCTTCTTTTCTTTCATTATTTGACATTTTAAAATACCTGCTTGCGGGTCAACCGTAATGCAGTTAGACTTGAGGTTGAAGACACAAGTCAGAACAGAGCATCGTTAAAGGTACACAGTTATTTTGTTCTCCTTTTAATTACTTTATTAAGTCTTCGACTGTAAGCCTGACATGAACAAATATTACGTACTTCTCTTTTAAAACATGTTTCAGTTCTTTAATTTTTACAATTGTACTTTTAGCCCACTGGAAGAAAGTGCTTCGTCCAAAATTAATTTTCATTGCATGCCTGCCCCCCAAGATATTTAAGAAGTTGAACAACAGAGCAGTTAACACCCCACCTGCAATCCGTTTTAATCTTCTTCATTTTTTCTTGTTAATTTTACACAAATACTTAACATTTAACTGTCTTACTTAAGTTTTATTTTTTACATTTTTGCTTTTCACTTCGCTTTAAAACGATATATTTTTCACACTTTTGCCCTATGTGTCTCTTTTTTTAACATTATTTGTTCATTTTTTGGCTTAAGCATTCTGATTCGTATCAATTTTGTCTTAATGTTTTGCGTAGTTTTATTTGACATAGCATCCATTATAAACGGCTTGTAAACTCGTTTCATATCCCTTTAGAAGCTAGCTATGCGTCGAGTGAGATTTGACAAATTTTGTCATATCCTTCAATAACATTGAAGGAATATGAGACGAACAGCTTTTTCTGAGATGCAGTTCTTTTTCAAAATAGAAACATGTCGAAACAGAGCGTTTTCACTCACGCACAGACTGTATGTAGTCAGCTGCAATTTATCGGAACAAAAGATGAAATGCGTTACGTAAAGAAAAAGTTCGAAAGTCCCACAGGGTTGGAGCACCCACCAATAACACGTCGTGTCAAAAACCTCTATTCTTGGTTTGCAACCAAGTGACAAGGCGGCCATGGCCGTGGTCAAATTAAAACAATTAACTAAACAATTATTGGACAAGGTTGAGCGAAATATCGCGATTTGTCAGTGGCGAGCAAATAACTCATCTGCGAGACAACAGTGACAAATCACGATATTTTGCGATAACCGAGTTCAATAATTGTTTTATCATTCGATCACCGAATTTGTTTTTTTTAATGAATATCCTCGGATGCCATTTTCACGCAAGAACAATCACAAGAAGGAGAAAAGCGTGGTTTCTTTTGCGCATGAGCAGAATAATATTTGCAGCCAAACACAAGCTTAACACAGTTGGACGACATTGCGCATGAGCAGACCATTATTTGTAGGCAGTTATTGGCAGGTCATGTGGTGGGCTCTCGGCCAAAGAAAAGAAAGAATTTGCTTCGAATGATAAAATAATTTTCTCTCCAAGAATTGACATGAAAGTAGAGTTTAGTTCCCAAAGGAGCGAAGTTCTTTTGTTCTTGACTACTGGGATCTAGGTCTTTCCCGAACACACATAGAGTCAATAGTGGAGTCTTGTAAGAAGACGTAACTTCGTTTTTAACTTTCATTTCAGTGATTTGATAATAATGAAGACTGCGTTAATTTTACTGCTATTCCTTTTGGAACCTGTTATCGCACGCCAAGGTATGCTTTTACACGTCTCTAAAAATAACTGCGACAAAGTTCAGTATATTATTTTATCTTTAAACTGTTTTCTGTTTTTTATTTTGGTCAAATCATTATATTTAATTATAATTACTCACCAGGTGAAAGCAAAAAAACTACTGAAAGTCATAAAGTCGTAGAGAAAAATTATAAGCACCTCAAGGATATTGAGAAGGTGATTATTTCAATATTATTCTTAACTTATTTGAGAATATAATCTTATTGCAAAATCATCGTCATATATACGTGTGGATATTTTGATAATCCTGCAAAAAGCACAGCGAAAGCGTTGAAGCAGAATCTCCTAATCATATGTCTTTCTGAATTTAAATTTGAAATGAAAAGACATCCTTGTAAAAATGCGAATCAGTCTAAATTCTGGAAGTATTAGATGGAGTCCTTGGCGTCCATTTCAGTAAGCTCTGAAACAAATACTTGCTTAAAATCCCAAACTTTCCGCATTGTTAATTGAGAGAAAAGAAACTTTTTATGACTGATTAACTCTTCCCAGGAACAACCAGCTAAAAAGGCAGAAGCAAAGCAAGATTCTGAGAGTAAAATATACGTCTACGGAGAAAGAGCTGACGAAACAAGGTCTGATGGAAATGATAAATTCGAATTGTTAAAAACCGAAGGCCAACCAGGATGGATGGAGAAACTTTTGAAAAAGGTATCATTATATTACTTTTATATATTGTAACCTGGGACTGGAATCCCTAGTGGCGAAAGGGTGAGTATCGGGACGAGCGGGAACTGGGTCATATTCTGTGCAGCAGGAATTTCTGGGCTCCTGCCTATAGTTGATACCTTTTTTAAGGTAATACTTCTTCTCTGTCAAGCCTCGACACCGTAATTCTCAACAAACTACTGGCTTAACAAATACGTATATATATATATTTTCAACTAGTTTTGATGGTATTAATAAAAAAACTAAAAATCGTCTTTGCATGTTTTTTTTTTACCCAATTTGTAACGGTAACAGGACTGAGTGGAGTCCAATTCGGTCTGTAATCATACGAGTGATTAACAAAATCGGACGACCGTGTGGCGGGAGTCCGATTTGTTTAATCACGAGTATGATTACAGACCGAATTGGACGACACGAAGGTCTGTTACCAATAGGCCACCTGCACTAAGAGGTCACGTGACCAATACTTCCTTTAAACAATGAGTTGGAATCTTGCTGATGCCAAAAATTGTTAGAGCACACAAAAATTATCTCACCCCCGAAATTTGAGAGGAAACGCATTTAAGGGAGATATTTTATGGCACTTTGATTTTTTAGCAAAGTATTATGATTTGTATTGGCCGCCATGTTGGAGGGCATGCTTTTGCCCTCCAACATGGCGGCCAAAACTACTTCTTGCTTATATCTTAATCAACGTTTCATAGTTACGCTCAGATGCGCTGCATACGTTATCACATCATCTTTTCAACATTTTCCTTGAAGTTTAAGTGCAAAATGTGTGTTCAGAGAGAGGTAATTCATAATTTTAAAAGTCACATTTTGGTCACGTGACCATTTACGAACGGTTTGAAAAACCAAATCACTATTATTATTACTAATCGTTTTTCGAAGGCAAAATCATATACCTTTCATTTTCAAAAAAAGATGTCACATGCCTCTTAGTGCAAATGGCCTATTAATCTAACTTTAACAAAATTTGTGATATATAAGGCTCTTTTTAAAATCAAAACACAAGAAATTCCAAGATTTTTTTTGTTAGCAATGAAAAAGAAAAGCCATTTCAGGGCGCGCGCGATGGCGTGTACTTTCCAATTGCTTAGACGTGACGCGTACTGTCCCATTAAACTGTCCTATTAAGGCTGAAATCAGGGCAATTGATAACCAATCAGATTTGAGAATTTTATTATAGTTATGATTAGGCATTTTAAGGCTACATTTGTTTGTTTTAGGACCAAACTTGTGTTTTCAGAAAACATCCTTATGGTACTTGGCTTAATTAAAAGAGATGATAAGTTGTCACTGACAAATATCAACCTCGTCCCCAGGGCTTTTCCCTTAAAAAATGGAAAAGGGAAAAGCCCTGGGGACGAGGTTGTGACAAATAAAAGATAAATCAGTTAATTGATGATTTTTTCTTGGACAAAATTTCCCAGTTCAAGTTAAGAAAATTTATCGTTTTTCCGCAATCATTTCAATCATAGATTTCTGTCAATTTGGAAAGCTGGTAGAATTTTACAAGCATTAAAATAACATTTTGCATATATTAAAGATTGATGGTGATGATGATTTTTTTCAGGCAAGGAAACAGATAAAAAAAGAGCAAAATGATTTGGTTGAAGAAAACAACCCAAGAGGAAGCCTCAAGGACTCTCCAATGGATGACGCAAGTTCAGTGTCCAATGTGTCACGCAGATTATTTACTTATAGTTTTTTTAGATTTTATAATTTCTTTCCTTGAAAAAGCATTTATTCAGCATCTCAATAACTTGCGTCTATAAATCTAGTGCATTAATCCTATGATGATTGGGCATTTTGATCGTTTTTCTCAAGACAGTTTCTTAGTTTCACCTCCTAATCGTCTGGTCCTCGACCATCGATAAAGCTGCCAGGGATTAGCTAGGGATTCCCTGCAGTAATGGCTCACAGTTAGTATAGGCATGTCCCAATTGCGCTGTGCACTTTTTCGGCACTTTTCCCAATTTGGAGCACTATTTTACATTTCCAGCACTCTTGAGCACTTTCTTGACTTTAGAGCAGAATTTGGCCATTTTTTGGGGAACATTTAAGTGACTTTTTTACAATTTTGCACATGTTTAACGTTTTTAGTAAGCCGAGTCATTCTACTATCTTTTGAATAATTTCACCTTGTCGCCTGTGTTGTCATGAAAATGAACAGTTATCCTTTTAACTGTGGGAATAGTCGATTTTGAAAAAAAAAAACATTGGTGTTTCACTTCTAGTTTGGTCACAAAAAATCGAGGATTAAAGCTTTGATAAAACTACGAATATTTATGAACATCTGCTAGGAAATAATTGAAAACTAGGAGAAAGTTTCGAGCACTATTTCGAAGGTATTATAAGGTAGCCTTTTTTTTATAGTTTCTACTGCCAAGATCCGAAATTGTCAAAAGAATGAGTGAAATTTATATACGTTATCGGTTATTACAACTGCAAATGCTTTATTTGCTTTCGATTTCAGAACCAGATGATCCAGTTTACAAATTGCAAAAAGCAATTAGTAACGTAAGAGGAGCTGATGGCGCTTCGAAAGCTCTAACTGGGCTAAAGGAGCAGTGGAGCGGGATCGCATTTAGGGACAGAGCGGCTGTTTTGGCGACTCTACAAGTTGCAGCCTTAAACATTGGAAGCTTTGCCAACGCTGCAGATGATCCTATTGGTGCAATACAGGGAGCAGCCATTATGGTTGGACAGTTTGGAGCACTTTTAGGTCCAGGAGGACAGGTCGCTGCCATTGTTTTAAGCTTCGTTTCCGGGTTTCTTAGTCTTTTTGGAAAGGGAGGAAAAGAACAGAAATCTATCGGGCAAATTGTGCGAGAGGAAATAGATGACGCTCTGGCTGAGTTTTCTGAGCAAACTCTCACTAACCAGGCAAGTGGCGTCGTTAGAGCATTCACAGTTTCCAAGGTATATGTGGACAGCCTTGCTGAGTCAGGAAAGAGGCTAACCGTTGACCAAGCAAATTCACTTGAGGTGAATGTGCCGTTGTATTATGGCATGCCCTTCATGGGAACACTGGCATCTGAGATAGATCGGCTTCTTAAGGCCAACGAGGTCGACGACGCCAAAAAGACATTGAAATACATTGAGTTGTATGTAAAGATGGCAATTTTAAAGGATGTTATTATGCAGGAGGTGGCCACTTTGTTACCAGAGGAGCTTGAACCCAACCGACAAGCGCTGCTTACGTCTTTAGAAAGGCTGCGTCTTCTACACAGGGACCTTTTAAGATTCCTTCGTGACGGTGGTGTTGGTGTTGTGGCCTTGAGTTACTTCGATCCCGATGTTTACCCAATCACAGATTCCTTTATGACCTCCGTATTGAAACTAACAGATTACGATCGCTCTTTGGCCGGTTCAAAATGGTGTCTGACTCCACATATTCCCTGTCAAAAGCTTTTACCAATATCCAGTCACTCCTACGGTATTGACGAAGACGAAGTAAGATTGAAGATGGATCCTTACTACGTATCTAGACCTTCAAGCAAAAGCAGCTGCATCTGGAAACTTATCCCACATGGAAACAATCTCTATACTGTTGAGATTGGAGATGGTAAATACCTGTCGTTAGACCCTGAATCTAAGGGCAAAGTGGTAACGTCGGCCAAGGCGGATCTTTGGGAAATCGACGGTGTTCATAAGAAAAGGTATGAGTTTCTTCTTTGTTCTGTGCCATAAACTTTACGTTACTTAAGTGTTTTCTTTGTCTTTCTGTAAGCTTACGGAAAGCCAATTGCAAATGATAGTAAAATTCCACTTCAAGTTAAGAAGTTAAGAGGATGCGCGATTCTAAATATTTAATGCTCAAGCCTTTTCGAAATAATATTCGTGATAATTAATCAATAATCGACCAAGTTTGATAATATTTCCCATTTTATGTTTCTGTTAGCCTGCAATGAGGGGTTAGTTTTAGGGACGAGAGAAATCTGTTTGATCACGGTCTTGGACTGGCAAGAGAGATCCTGACTCAAACTTACGACCTACAGCTGTATATCTTCCTGTGTTTTCAATCGAGATCTCAAAGATACTCATTGAGCGTGTTGTTCGACTCTTGATCACATGATAGTACACTCCCTGTCCGTCTAGAAAATAAGCCTCTTTCCTTACAACACTCTCAACTGGTTTTCGCGCTCCTCATCAAACAACTTCTGTCTCACTCATCAAATTGCCTTCAGTTTCATAACATCGATAGCAGACTTAAGAAAGGCTTTTAGACTCGTTAGACCACAATGGTTTGTTTATTATGTCAGGAGCGTAGCGTCCATGCGTGCACATACGCCCGTGTGTACAGCTGACGGAAATCTGTAAAAAATCTATTTTATTATTACCTGAAAGTATTTTCATTTATCATTAAATCGGGATGACTGATAAATTTTTGGCATAATATTGGTGTCTTTGTGTTAGTAGTTCCTTTATCCTTTTTATTACATGTATACTGTTGAATCCAAAATTTAAAGAATAGTCACGATCGTAATTTGCAGCTTGAGAGAGACTCTTTTAGTTCATTTCTACGTGATTGCAACGTTTGGTGAACGTTTGTTAGCACTTATTTAATTCAGTGATTTTAAAACTCTGTCAGATATAAGATCATTCAAAATCCATAGAGAAAATATTACTAATTTAATAGTTAAGGGTGCAACTTGTAGCTCAACATGGTCGTTGCTGATGGAAAAATTGTCATTTCGAGTTATATTACGTACGCCTAGTTGTAGATTTTCTACTTTGCTTGTGTAAAAATGATATCACGTTTGCTTTGGTCTTGACTTGTTAATGTTTTTAGCCATTGCTGACAACAACAGAGTCGTAAACGTCAAAGCTATGTAGCCATCAGAGAGATTTACGTTATTCATGATCATGATCATGAAAAGACAGTTCAAGCTGGAACCATGTGAAAAGTTCTACGGCGTGCCCATTAAGGGTGTATGATAAGTTAGTTACAAGTGTGAAAGGGCTATTCCTTTCCTAATACCTTATATATGATTGTTAAAACATTCAAATCCTCGATTATATTTGTCCCTTACTGCAACATTTCGATTACTTGTTCAAATTAGAAATTAGAAATTAGAAATTGCATCATAATACAAGTTTTTTCTTTATAAATTTATCTTTTAACTAATGCCAGAATCCGTTATAAATGGGGGAGCGAGGACAATGAGCGATGGAGTGACATGCAGCTAGAACCTGAAATGGGAAAGATTTCTACGTCACTGTTCACTTCTGTTGGAAAAGTGATATTTAGATTGACAAGTACCGACGTCGGATATGTTTGGTCCATTACAAAGGTATGTCGCCTGAAGAAACTAACATACACCTATCAATGTTAATCTGAAGGGAGGAGGGGGGATGCCGGGCCAGGCCCGGGTTGACAAGAATAACGAGCTCGTTTAACTCAATTTCGAACTAAAATTTTATTATCTGGAAACGCCTTCTTTGGATTATTTCGTATTCTAAGGGGCAAAAATCACGGTAAGCATTGACGCCAGCAGAGATTTGACTGAGCTGAGTCTGCACTCAGTGATACTGACTGGGGCCACTCGCGTTTTCTCTGGAGGAGAATAAGCTATTACAAGACTCGTGGACATTAAGGCTTTACTAGGATTTAACGTGCATACGTACTTACGGGCTTTCACAGTTTCAGAATAAAGCTGATACAATATTATAACCTTAATTTTTCAAATTGCTAATGATTCTGGATAATAGAGAGGTTAATATTCTACTCCTTTCACTTTTAGCAAGTCCTGGACGGTTATGCCGGCTACAAAAATGAAGAAAATGATGAAGCTAAATGAAGAAACAACAGCAAACTGATCATCAAGGCGAAGAGAACAATAAAGATAAAAAGGAAATATTATCCGCATTAATACTGGGACGTCATTGTAGTCTGTAGTCTATAGAGAATAAAAGCACTGAAAATTATGCCTCCATTAAATTATAGTTTCCGAATTACGGAACGCAAGGGTATCTCTTGTCCACTTCACCCCTCCAAGTTTTAACCCATGGTTGCCCTTGATCGTCCCTTGAAAATCTTTGTGTTCGTGTTGTGTCTTTTGTGTTTGTCATCGACTGTTTTTGCTTTTGGAGCAATTTTGGAGCCCTTTAAGGTTTCCTACATTTCGATTTTAATAAAGAAATAAAATAAAGGACGAGTGTAAGGCCGGTCTGAATTTAGCCTCTCACTCTTCCAAGAGGCAGTAAACAGAGAACTCAAAATCCTTGAAAATGGCTCAAAATACCACATCAGAGGTAAAAGGACGACAATTTACGGTAAATAAGGCAACGCAACGGGTATTTAGCATTGATCCATACATATAGTTAACGACATGCCGCTTGTGATGGAGCAAAAGGTAAACTCAGTAGTATGTTTACTATGAAATTACAATACAGTCGGTTAGACAATTAAACAGACTGTGTGGGCTCCCTATGGCCAGTGCCACTGCGAACTGGCAAAATTTTCGGATTTCCTTCAGGTACCTACCTTTGACATTTGATATATTTTGAGGTCAAATGCCCCAAGACCGTACATTGTAGCTGTTTGCCTCAACCCCAAGAATTCAATCAATAATTTTACATCAATTCATCTGAGTGTCTCTACATCGTTGTTCATCGGAAGACGTCCGTAACGCTCTAGCCTCACGCTGTAGAGTAGGCGTTTTTTAATTGAAACTCAGAGGTACAGGTGGACTACTCCGAACTCTCTGGTAGTATTAACCTCCAAGATGGCAGGATAACGTTCACATGGCACCGGAAGTAAAATTTGACAGGCGGGCACTTTGTTCACACGGAGCCGTTCAATGTTTTCGTTCTGTTCATACGGTACGGAAGAACAAGGCTTAATTCAGTTACCTTGGGTTGAAAATCCTTCAATAACAATGACCGAGACCAGGTTTTATGAGCCCGCGAGACTATAAGCACCCCAGCTAAACTCTTGTTTTCACTAAAACCGCTGGACACCAACCTGGTTGAGCTGGTTGAGGTCATTGTTATCTAACAGATCTAAGGCCCGGTTCAGAACCAACTACATTGAACCGAACTAATACATTGAATTAAGTACATGAAAAGTTCGGCGTCTGAATCAATTAGCAACGCCTGTTTCAATGTGGAACGGCTGAGCCGTTCTTTCCGCCCAGCCAGGCCGGGAATTTCGCCTTTGGATCGACTTTGGAACGCCTTTGATTCAGACGCCAAACTTTTCATGTACCGAACATAATGCACAAATTCTTATAACGTATTTTGTAAGCAGTTTGACCGAAATGAGCATATTTAGTTCGGCTGGAATTAAGATCGACGTCTGAATCAGTTCAGCCGGTCCAAATAATTTGGGTCGGCCTTAATTCGAATCAGGTCCGGCTCATGAACTAAAGTTCGGCGTCTGAACCGAGCCTAAGGGTCTTCCCTGTGGGTCAGGGGTTTACCATCTGACCATGCGCAGATTACTACTTAGAAAATCCAAAATGGTGTCTCCCGGCATTAAACAATTTGACGGTTATAGTGTCCACACCTCTCCCCTCAAACTTTTCGACCCTACACGCTGACAATTAATTTTACCTGGATGTTTTTAACAGATAGCCGTCTAAATTTTTGGGGATCGATAATACTTATTTCCCGTTTTTTGTTATGCCTGTATAGCACAACCCCATAAGCATTTCATTAGTTTATTATTGACTTCTGCAAGCCAACCAATAATCATTGGTCGTTGATGTATCCGTCCTCGAACAGTATCTGGTTTAAACCCTGCTTATTAGTTTAGAGTCCTTAAATATACATAAGAATATTTGGCTGGTGACGTTACACCTTGTTTCACTTGCTTATGTTATTTAATTTTCACACAAATGTTGTCAAGACCTGCTTTCTTTTTGGTGGCGCGTCACTGAGGCGGATCGAAATCACTAGTTTTTCAATTCTGGCCGACGCGACTGGTACACCTTATTTCTGAATATCTGACATTTTAAATTACCTGCTTGCCGGTCACGGCGATGCAGTTAGACTTGCCGAGGCTGAAGACCACAGGCCAGATTTAAAAGGAGATCGATAAAGCTAAGGTACTTAATGTTTTTCATTTCTCTTTTTATTTACTTTTTTTATCTACGATTTTACATTTAACATAAACAAGCTTGAGTACCGGTCTTAAAAACATTTTCATACATTTTACAGTACATGTACCTACTCGTAGAAAAATTGGGCGCTTGGTCAAAAGTTATTTTATAGAGGCTTGTGGAACGGCACCGCGGTTTTATTAACATCCAAGCTCATTTTCCTGTGTTACCTAAATACTACTTTTTTATGTTTATTTTACATTTTTGACGTTCATCTATCGCTTTAAAAGGAAATATTTCTCCACACTTCTTGCCCTTTTGTCTTTTTCTCTGGCTTACGGCATCTCGATCCTGACATTTTTTTTTTTTGCATTTTTTTCTCTTTCGGTTTTGCGAATTTTATTTGACTAGTGCTTAACAGATAGTTCAACTGAATATTTTCCTGGGCATTATAAACGGCTCTGTTGCCGGTAAACTCGTTTCTTATCCCTTTGAACAGCCGCCCTGCGTAGCGTGAAAGTTCATAAATTAATTCAAAGTCATTCAAGAACATTGCCTCCTTGTTAAACATAATTTTTTGTGACATTACTTTATTACTTACAAACACATTTGATCAGTGACAAGCATAATAATTTTCTGGGAAAAAATCAGAAATCACCCTGTACATATACGTAATACTGAGAATTAACACTTCTTCATAAGGGTGGCTATTACAACAGCTTTTCTGAGAAGTAATTCTTTTCCAAAAATTATAAAATAGAGCTTCTTCACTCTCGTGATCAGCAGTTATGCAAATTTATTGGAAGAATAGAAAACAATTTACATAAGAAACAACCCCCACATGATTGGTAGGGAACACCAACATTTCCACCGTTTTATTGTTTTGTTCTCCAATATGGCGGATATGACGTCATGTGAAAACTCTTTCTGGGGGAAAAAAAACATGAAAAGGGGAGTGGGATACAGGTCTCTCCCGACCAATTCGGCATAGAGCAAGAGCCTGCATAGAGTCAATAGTGGAGTCTTGTAAGTAAAAGTAACTTTCTATTAACTTTTTTACCCGTTATTTCAGTGACCTAAAAATAATGAAGACTGCGTTGGTTTTACTACCATTCCTTTTGGCACCTATCATCGCTGTTCAAGGTAAACTTTTTTTTAACACGTCTCTAGCCTCTAAAAATACTTGAACTGTTACCAGTGTCTTCATGGCTTTCTTTTTCCTCTTCTTTTCTGCTAATAAATTATAATTTATCGCCAGGAGAAAGCAAAAAATCTGTTAAAAGTCCTGAAGTCATAGAGAAAAATAAAGAGCACGGCAAGAGTGTTAAGAAGGTAGTTATGTTCAGTTGTTAACTTTGGGGCGATATATAATTTCAATATCATATTTGTAATTTTAAAACCTAAAAGCAAAATCATTATTATACGTGTGGATATTCTGCTAATCCTAAAGCACATCTGAGCGAAATCGTTGGCATACTGTCAGAGAATCCTATGCTTTCCGCCACATTGGATAACGTCACTGGCCAAGCGGGGCAGTTGCAGAAAGAAACTTATTATAAATGATAACTCTTCATAGGAAAAACCTGCTAAAAAGACAAAAGCACAGCAAGATCCTGAGAGTGAAATCAACGTTTACGAAGAAGGAGCCAACGAAACTAGGCCTGGTGGAAAAGATAAATTCGAATTGTTAAAAACCGAAGGCCAACCAGGCTGGATGGAGAAACTTTTGAAAAAGGTACCATTATATTAATTTTATGAAAAGTTGAATCTCTACTCTGTAAACTGGAACTTGGAAAAGCGTGGAAAAGAGCGAGTAAACAGCGAAGGACCAGCCGGAACTGGAACACATCCTGTTAAGTGATTTCTTAAATAATTATCTGCGAAGCCTCGACACCGTGAACCTTAACATTCTGGCCTTAAAAAATAATAAGTAACTCATTTTTTTTTTCAAATGGTTCTGAGGGTACAAAAAGAGGACAAATTGTAAAGTGAGAAATATGACACAATAAGTTTTGATTTTTTTTTTCGTGGACAAAATTTCCCAGTATACGTTCGTCTATTAGGCCTGTTTCAAACGTCGTGCTACTGCCGTGCTAAGCTGGCTCGACTGTAGCTCGACTGCAGCACGACACTAACACGACTTGGTTTCAGACGTCGAATTTAATTCGGTCGAATAGAACGGCTGTTGCCGAAACCAAAATACAAAAATAAAGAAACGATTTTAAATAGTAAACTTTTAAATGTATTCTAATGCATCCATAATTTATGAATTGTGTTCGGCATGGCAGTAGTGCGACGTTTGAAACCAAGTCCGACTACTGCCGTGTAGTACCGCAAAGCTTGCCTCGCTACACGGCAGTAGCACGAATTGGTTTCAAACGTCGCGCTACTGCTGTGCTTAAGTCGAATTTAATTCGATGAATTTAGTTAGGCACGGCAGTAGCACGACGAGTTTGAAACGGGCCTTATTATTTTTCTTTTTTTGGTCAATAGAGCTGGATCTAAACATTTACAAGCATTTTGCACATATTACAACATAAATTTCTAGATTATCATCAACATTAATTTTGATAATGATGATTTTTTTTTTCAGGCAAGTAAGGAGATAAAAGAAAAGGAAAATGATATGGTTGGAGAAAAAAGCACAACAGAAAGTCTCAGTGGAGAGTCCCATTTGGATGGTGCAAGTACAGTGCCTAATTTGTCATACAGATCATTTACAGTTGTCATGTTCTTTTAGAAGATTTTATAACTCCCGTTTGTAAAAGAGGGAAAATGTATTGTCGTTATTGTATACGTAGTACGTACTATTTCATGAACTGGCGTCTTTTTAATCTAGTACATTTTATTAATCCTCTAATTGAGCTCGTTGATCGTTTGTGTCACGATTGAGAGTCATTTAATAGTTATTGAGGAACCGATGTGACCTCCACGAGTTTATCCAACGGATATATAAGCTTCTATTCAAATTTCACTACCCAATGGGTAGAAATGTATCTGGTGGATAGCGTTATCCAGCTTTCAAACAACTAGGGACTGGAAGTTTCGACTTCTTAACTGAGGCCAAGATCGAGAGAATGAGGGGTCTGCCGTGGCGGAGTTGCTGCGCGGGACTATCTATACCTGAGTAGTACTAACCGTGTGGGTTGTTTTCGAATCTCACTCGTGGTCGGTAATTACTGATTTTGATTTTATAATAGCCCACGTTCAATATATTACAACTCTAGCATGACGCCGAGGCTTTAGGGTCAAAATTGCAAAGTTTTCACGACCCCATTGACCTGGCTCTGAAGAGACTTGAGTACAAAGAAAACCAAACCAAATGCAGAAAGCCTTGCAATCATGTTAGAATTTTAATACATCAAACGTGGGCTATTAGGGCTCACAGTGTGGCTAACTTACATATTTGACTGCCTGTCATGAAGCTTCCTCACTCCACACAAAGGAAGAAAGTTAGCAAAACACGGTTGAAAAATACGTACATGCAAGCTGCGAAACACGATCGACACCTTTGGGCACCATGAAAACAATACAAGTTCCTTAAATATAATAAGCACATACTCAACAATGATCATGAACTTGAAATTGTCAATTCTGACAATGAGGAAACTGTATATACGTTATCTAATCTTCAGTGCAACTGCTCTCTCTGTTTTCCATTTCACAGAGCCCGATGACCCAATTTACAAATTGCAAAAAGCAATTGGAAACGTGAGAGGATCAGATGGAGCTTCGCAAGCTCTAACTGGGCTAAAGGAGCAGTGGAACAAGATCCCATTTAGGGATAGACTAGCCGTAACTATGACTCTACAAGTCGCAAGCAGACAAATTGGAAACTTTGCCAACGCGGGAGATGATCCCATTGGTGCAATACAAGGAGCAGCAATTATGGTTGGACAGTTTGGAGCACTTTTAGGTCCAGGCGGACAAGCTGCTGCCATAGCCTTGAGCTTCGTTTCCGGGTTTCTTAGTCTTTTTGGAAAGGGAGGAAAAGAACAGAAATCTATTGGGCAAATTGTACGAGACGAGATAGATGAAGCATTAGCTGCGTTTTCTGAGCAAACTCTCACTAACCAGGCGAGTGGCGTCGTTAGAGCGTTCACTGTTTCCAAGGCATATGCTGATAGCCTTGCTGGTTCAGGCAAGAAGCTTACTGTTAACCAAGCAAAATCATTACAGGTGAATGTGCCACTGTTTCATGGCATGCCATTCATGGGAACGTTGGCATCTGAAATAGAACGACTTCTTAACGCCAACGAGGTGGACGACGCCAAAAAGACATTGAAATACATTGAGTTGTATGTAAAGATGGCAGTTTTAAAGGATATGATTATGCAGGAGGTGGCCTCTTTGTTACCAGAGGAGCTTGAACCCAACCGACAAGCGCTGCTTAAGTCTCAAGAAAGACTACGCCTTCAGCATAGGGAGCTCATAAGATTCCTTCGTGATGGTGTTGTCGGTATGGCGGCTTTGGGTTACTTCGATCCCGATGTTTACCCAATCACAGATTCCTATTTGACCTCCGTATTGAAATTACCAGATTACGATCGCTCTTTGGCCGGTTCAAAATGGTGTCTGACTCCACACATTCCCTGTCAAAAGCTTTTACCAATATCCCGTCATTCCTATGGTGTTGACGAAGACGAAGTAAGATTGAAGATGGATCCTTACTACGTATCTAGACCTTCAAGCAAAAGCAGCTGCATCTGGAAACTTATCCCTCATGGAAACAATCTCTATACTGTTGAGATTGGAGATGGTAAATACCTGTCGTTGGACCCTAAATCTGAGGGCAAAGTGGTAACGACGGCCAAGGCGGATCTTTGGGAGATCGACGGTGCTCATAAAAAGAGGTATGAGTTTCTTATTTTTTCCTATGTCATAATCTTTGCGTTTTTTTCAAAACACTGAATGAATGTATTAAGTCAACTAATTCAAGTTAAATCTAAAATATGTGATGGTATTGGGGTGGTGGTGGAGGGAAAACAATAGAAATGTGATGGTGATGGTGGTAGAGCAAAAAAAAGGAGGAATGTAGAAGAAAAAAAGGAGGTGGAAAAGTGAAAAAATGTTTTTGGTGAAAGATTTGCGGGCCAAGAATCAGTGAGCCTGAATTGGAAATGAAAGCGGCAGGGGAAAAAAACCTGCACATATCCAATGCACCTATTAATGTAAAGCCGGCAAGGGGGTGGGGGGGAGGTAGGGCATGGGGTAGGGATTTGACATTTTCCAAAAGTTTGCAGTCAAATTCCCCGCCCACGGGCAAATCATTCCAGTGAAATGGAACCAAATTTCTTCACCCCGGGCTGCACATTACACTGCCAAATATCCCGAGGCTGGATCCAAGAAAGGCACAATATAAATATCTCCAAATAAAAATCTGAAATCTTTATTTATATTACGTTGCTGCATCACCAAGGTCACACGCAAGGGAAGGGAATTAAGGGAAGGGAAACATTTGGGGAAACATATGTTCGGTCTCAGTCTTTTTCGTCCGAGTTGGCAGTCAAATCCAGTAAAAAATATCTCAACGTCGGGCGAAGAAAGAATCGAATATACCGCCTCCCTGGGAGAACAAGGTCAGTAAAATGCCCTATCCCAGGGCCAACAAAGGCAATCAAATCCCCACCCCATGCCCTGCCTCCCCACCTCCCGCCGGCATAACATTGATAGGTGCATTACGTTACGACTCAGAGATTTTTTTTCACAGGCGAGTTAGTGCTTTTCCTTCCACAAATAAGTCATACTCTTACTTCTGATTTTGGCAAGCCTAGGCAAAGCTTTAATTTTTTTGTTGTTGTAAGGTTTTCACGTGAAAGTATTGTAATGAAAAGAAATTACTAACACGTGACCTTATCGTAATGAGAATCCTCCATATTTAACGTTGCAACTTTAGGAAATCCCAATCACCCATTGACTATTTTCGAATTCCCCATAATACACTGTGTTTGCCCCCCAAATTTTGCATAACTTATTGTCTTAAAATGCTCTTGGGAAAATGCAATACTCCCAGGAGCATTTAGAAACAATGGTTATATCGGGTAGACTTAGTTATAGCGTTTGCCACAGACGTTTCCTCTTCTTGTGATGAAATGTCACTTTAATATTGTTAGGAATCTCAAGTTTTCTCTGTTGATGGAAAATAGTAGTTTCGAGTTGTACTAGTTTATAGAATTCTACTTGAGTAAATATAACAGACTGATATCACGTTTGCTTTGGTCGCGTGTAGCAATTGCTCACAACAATTGGAGCGTAAGCATCAGAGGGTGCACGTGTTGTAGCCAGCGTTCAGAATGGTTTAAGTTATCATAAGAAGAAAATTCAAGCTGAAGCCACCTGAAACTAGCTAGAATACGATCTAAAGCATTGTCATCAAGGATGCATCGGATAAGTTAATATTATATTTACATGTAGATAAAAGGGCTGCGGAGAGAGCATAGAGAGCATTCATTTTTCTAACATCTACCTTTGTTGAGACCTTCAAATCCTCGATTATATTTGTCTCTTACTTTAACATTTTGATTGCTTTCACAAATTAGAAATTGCATCATATCACAATCTCGGTGGAAATTTTTTCTTTAGAAATATATCTTTTACAAAACAGAATCCGTTATAAATGGGGGAGCGAGGAGAATGAGAAGTGGACCAACATGCAGCTAGAACCTGAAATGGGAAAGATTTCTACGTCACTGTTCACTTCTGTCGGAAAAGTGATATTTAGATTGACAAGTACCGACGTTGGATATGTTTGGTCTATTACAAAGGTATGTCGTCTAAAGAAACTAAGAAGGAAACGATCTAACGACCGTCGAAAGGCCTATTTTTTTATTCTAGCGAGTTTTTTGGAAAGTAAGTTGGTTCAGCGGCTTCATTCAAGCTTAATGTCTATTGCTTGATCTGTGTCTCAGGTGATCGCGAAATTAAAAGGCTGGCAATTTCTCAATTGTTTACCAACAACGAAAAAATCTCCCCCAGTGTTGTAATAGGGTTCATAAACTTTATACCACTTGTGTTTCCATAAAAACATAAAAAAAATAAAAAATCAAATTAAAGATTGGGAAGCATAAGACGTAATTAAAAACTGACAAGTATCATTTCAAGTGTGTCGATAGTTGGCGTGTCACAGGCTTTTCGTGAGAGCTGGCTATAATAACTTCCAATTTGCCAAACTGCCAGTGAATCTGGATGAGGGAAAGGTTGCTAATTTACTATTTATACTTGTAGGGAGTCATGAACGGTTATGCCGGCTACAAAAATGAAGAAAATGAAGAGGACATGGAAGTTGAATAAAGAAGGCTGCCTTAGCAAACTCAGGATCCTCAGGGAGAGGAACAAAAAGGAAAACAAGAAAATATTATCGTCATTTTAGTCTGTAGTCTACATTGGTCGATAAAGAATAAAGGCGTTCATAAAAATACAAATCCTTTATTAGTAACTTTCCGAAGTGAGGAACGTAATGCAGGGTATTTCTAGTCCTCCCCACCCCGCCCATTTTTTTTCCTATGGTTGCCCTCGGTCATCCAAAAAGTTTTGATCGTTTTCGATTCCTCAAGGTTCCTTTGATACTTGAGGTCAAATGCCCAAGACGGTACATTGTTTGTAGCTCAGAGACTTGCTTCGTAATCAAGAATTCAATAAAATGCTTTTTCATCGATTTAACCGCTTTCACATCGTTGTTGATCGGAGCACAACAAGTTTGGTGACGCTCGAATGCTAGGCTCCAAGCAAGATAGTACTGCAGTCGTTCAGTAAAAGCGCGCAGTAGTTGGGGAGAGATAGTGCTCCATAGCTTCCTTTTTCCCGCCACTGCCCCCTTAAATCTCATACCACGCGCGCGCTTATTCACGTGCCTTTCACTTACGCGTCATCCCTACTCGAGGAAATGGAGGCCTGGGCACCAAATTAAGTGGTATCGACGTTCAAGTATCAAGGGATCTTAAAATGTTTGAAGTTAATGATTAATTTTAATACTTTTTGACATTGCCTGGCATAGGAAATGAGAGTATGTTGCTGCTTTGTTTGCCGTTTTCTGTTGTTTTCGAGATTTTAAGGGAAAGTTTACTCGTACACCGTACGAATCACCTGGAACTGCTCAATAACCGTATCATGAGTCATACTATAATACGGCGAATAACCCTAACTGGAATATGGCGCGTTTTGATATTGCGGAAACTATTGATTGTTGGTTGCTTTTTTTCGGTGTCGGTTGTTATTCCGTGTCTTTTCAATCTTTTGAATTATTTAGTAATTGTACTCTCCCGTAGCCTGCGAGCAGGCACTTGTGCAAATAAAGCAGGCTAACCCTTTCCCAACACTAGCAAATTAAACTACTACTAAACTAAGAGTATGGGTTTCCTACGTTCATTTTAACTACTCCATGGAAATCAGTGCATTTACGACAGTTTTATCCAGTAAAATTTTCTTTGAGCTGTTTTTATCTGCCTTTAAATTTTTTTTTTATTTTGAGAATTTCTCATCTTTAATCCGACGTGGTTTGCCGTTTGTTTATGACTCTAAATGTCTCTACTACCATCGGGGAAGGGCAAGAGATCTCCGAGTACTAATTGGTGGTCTCTTTGGAGTGGTCAGCAGGTTTTGTTGGGTGGGAAGAGACTCATACTTTTCACTGTCCAAAATCTATTAAACATGTTCCTTTCAGGTTTATCCTCTATACAAAAAAGAAAAATACGTGGAACGGGATGATATGGTATGAAGAAAGAATAGATCGACTCGTATGCCAACAGATACTTTACATGGCCTATAGAAAATACAATCTTCTTCCGGATAAACGCGTTTCCTTCACTCCGGGCGTGACAGTCCCTCTTGCAGAACGAAGTCAAGTAATAAGATGGCAACCCCTCCAAAATTATTTGTTAGGCTACATTGTGTCAAAGTCATCAGAAAAACTAGATAGCAAACTCAAGCATTTTAAGCCATGGCCAGAGCCTAATTTACATAGAATCTAATAATGATCAAAACCATGTAAAAATTTACCAGAATTAACCTTCCAAAATTTGGCAACCTCGGAAAAAATTGCTAACACTAATTTTCTTGTTACGTAAGAAACCAGATATTTGTGTCAAGTGACCAGTTAAGGTCAAGTCCATGAAAAACGAGAAAGCTAAAAATGTGATGGCGAGATGCCACAAAGTAGATATTAAATAGAGTATTTTTGTTTTTCTATTGTTTTTCCTCGTATGAATCTGGCCGGGATGGTTGAGTAGCATTTTTATTTAATTAATGATCAGAAAAGCAAAATAGACACTTCATCTGTTAAATTTTTTTTAAGAAATTAAAAATTCTTACCGTTCCGGCCACGGAAAAACTTCGTACGGTAATACAAACATTTATAAGTGGTTGAGACTTAGGTGTAATCAACCATATTCCTACCCTATTCAGAATTTCCTTTTGAATATTGACCACATCGGTTCAACCCTAATCAATTCAACGCCTAGAAAGAAAGGTTCTCGAAAGTTTTTAGCAACTTTTAGAATTAAACGGCCTTAGAAGAAAAACAGCTTTAATCAGTTTCTTTGGCCGCGTTGTAGGCGTCGCTCGAGCAAAAGAAAACGTTCAATGAATAATGAATTAGTTACAAGTCATTACAACAATTCGCGAAAAAACCAACAGGCATTACTTACACAATTAATTGGGTCAACAAGCCAACTTTAGTTTTCTTTCTCTTTCGCTCACTTTTTTCTGCTGATTTGTCTTTCTTTTTTACAATCAGTCTTGTTGCCCATAGTAATCGTCTTTCTTTTGCACGGAATTGTAGACTAATTTTGGCTGGCAGCAAAGGAACAATTTAATCTTCCAAAAAAATATTTTAAGTAGGTAAAAAGCGAAATTGGCTGTGGTTTTTCGCCCAAAACGTTACCTTTGTTCGAGCTCGTTCGTGAGCCGGTAACTCTGTTCTGATTGGTCAGAATATCCAAAACAAGTTATCGGTAGAAAAATCTATCTTTGCTGATGTTATTGCTTACCAACTTATTAGCTTAAACGGAAAGCTAAATGAGTTCAGGGAGGAAAATATGCATCATTCATTTGATGAGACTGATGAAAGTTTTATTTGCCATATAACCTCAGGCTTTTTTCCATACAAGCTCTCATATAGACTTGCCTACAAGTGGAGCTCAAATTAATTCGCGAGCGGTTGACTTTTTGTGTTTTCTGCGGCCGCAAATGAGCGAAGGACTTTGAGAAAGTCGAGCTCTCATATTAGCTCATATTACGCTTGGGCTGCCTGTGTTGACAATTCGTTTGCAGGCCAGGATGCCAAGGAAGGCTGGGCTACATTTACACTGTACAAAATGGCGGCAAGCGATCTTGTAAGGTACGTATCCTATGTTTTCTTCTCATTTAGCTTTAAAAAGACCTATGTTTTCTTCTCATTTAGCTTTAAAAAGACATAAATATGATTAACTGGTTGACGAAAGGTTCCCTTCTTATTTCATTTTTGGCAGAGAAGGGAATGAAGCTTTCGTTGATGACGATTTTGAAGTTGCTGTAAAGGTAAACGGGTTCAAAATAATACGCTTTCCGTCACTATGTTATTTAATAACATAAGCTGCAGTGCGATGTTGACGAATGAGAGTGAATGGTGCGTACTATACATATCATGTAGTTATAGTAAAATAAAAAATAATAACGTTGAAAAATAACAATATAAATTGTAATGAGGTAGCTAAAGCTTATGTTGTGTTGCAGAAATACACTGAAGCTTTAGAACTAAACGCGTATGATGCAGAGACCTACCTAAAACGAGCAGCAGCTTACATGAAGCTTTCAAATAACCAAGGTATTTGAAGTAATGCATCAGTGTACACAACATGTACTACGTATGTAGAAGTCTTCTTTGTTTATGAATTCTAGTGAGGGGCATGGTAATAGATAAGACAAACCAGCATGCAGAGAAAGTCGTGGCATAAACACCACTTGTGATATTTCAGAATTGTCTCAAATTTCACTCGCATAAAGGCCTGTCAAATTACGCATTTAACAATTTAGAAATATTACTCGTGTTATTTATGCCATATATCTCTACAAATCATGCTATTACCCATACTAATTGCTGGATTGTGCAAATTACCACAAATGTATGACCCTTCTTAGCCTGGCCTCGGGCCTGTCACATTTGCTTTGCTAGGATTTCAGCTGAATATCTTCACAACATTTTTTTGTTAATTATATTTGTAGCTGCTGCTGCAGATGCTTCTTCAGCTGTTAGTCTGCAACCACAAAATTGCAAGGCACACTTGAGAAAAGGGTATGGAGTTGAGTACATTCTGTACATTTTTATTTATTTATTTATTACATAATAATATAAAAGTACCCTCTTCACTTATATTTCGCTGTAGTCATTTCCTATTATTGCTAATGACCTTAGGACCATGAGTTTGAAGATCCTTTGTAAAGAAATTTGATAATGATGAGTGGAAAAATGATTGGTCTTGGAAAAATTGTAGTAGCTGAGGTCAGCACATTGCATTTTTTATACAATCTCCCAAATTGTATTCAGGTGGTACTGAGTAGCTGAAAATATTTGGACAGAATGGACAACTTATTCATTACAGCAAGATTGAAAAAAAAAAAAAAAACAGGTCTTATCTTGACATTCACTGGCGACTGCTACTGACATTGATAGTAACTAGTTTTCACTCTGCTCTTTTGTCTCTGATTGCAGAATTGCTCTTTTCCATCTCAATGATTTTCTTGCTGCCAAGCAGGTTTTTTTAGATGCTTTACAACTTGACAGTGAGTAGGGAAATAAAGATGACTGTTAAAATAGGCAAAACATATGATGGCAAGCTAACTAGAAAACCTAACAGTTTATTTAGCGCCCCAGCTCGCACTTTTATAATTTCACCATGAGCTAAATAAAGAATTACTGTATTAAACTCCCGTAGTAGCCTGTGAGAGGATACGTGTGGGGATGACACATACAGAGTTTTCTCTTGCATACTCTCATTGTATTGAACTCTAAAAAAAGCTAAAAATTACTGACAGGCTCTCTAGTTGTGTTTTGGTCTTTCATCTCTTGTATATTAAGGGTTGTATCCCATTATTTTGGCTGATGATAGGTCGCGTGACTGGCCCGAGCTGCAAAGGACCAATAATAATATATTTATTGGTGATTTTTTTATTATTATAAGTATCATTATAAATTTTTGTCTGTGTATGTGAAAGACATTACAAGACATTACAACCACTCATGCAAAACAATGTGCACAAACACCTCTCAACTTTCCAACAGAATCTTGTCTATTATACTTGCTGTTTGTGAGCCATTCAGATTTAATATGCATCCATTTGAATGAGCTGGGTAAAAACAATGTAATAATACATTGTTTCTTTTTTACTATTCCCATCTTTTTTTTGCAGAAGAGAACAAGGAATTAAAGATGTGGATTAGAAAGTGCGATGCTGAGTTAGACTGTAAGTGTTTTGATAAAACATGCAGTCTTTAGGTAAAATTAATCTTTTCACTGTTTTTTTTTTACCAGGATGTATGTGTTACAGGTCAAAATGAAATTCAGGTTTAAAGTTTTTAACCTATGTTGATTATCTATTTCCTTTGTTTCCTAGTCCTAAATATTCATAAATTGGGCTCTTTAATATTAATTTATTGCTAATATTTATGTCTACATTGTACAAGCACTCTGCAAAATAACTTGTTTAATTTTTCAATTCACATGCATTTGTTAATTTCCTGTTATTATGGCATATCTCATTGTAAGTGTCTCTGTCATTTTAACATAGTACATAACATTATAGTTAGCTAGTAACCATCAAATTTGTTGTTGTTGAGGATTCCTCTTGTACAGATTTTATGACAGGATGAATGTAACAGTCTTTATCAGTTCTTCTTTCAAGTCATTCTCTTGTGTTGTACCTACATCTTCTTTGTTGATGTTGTTTTTATTAGATGAATTTTGTTTTTTATCCAGTGGCAGAAAAGGAAACAAAACTTGGTCCAGCTTCTGCTCAAGAGGTATTTTCTTAGTAGTTACATGTACTTATAACTCACAGTATTGTTTCATAAAAGTGAGGTAGAGTTACGAGCATTTTATCTCTGAGACTCTTCGATTCCTCTATATACAATTTTTAAGAGAGCAAAACATATCTGTTCAATGTAGCTATCCTATTATTCCAACTTTACATATTAATTTACTGGTAATGTTATTAAATAATAAAGGCATGTGATTATACGAAGAAAAATCAAGTCATGGGTAGGATATTTCATGGTATACATCTTGTGTCTGTCACTTTTGATTGCTTGTTGGCAACTAAGGCTGGCAGCTAGAAAATTATGTCCGCATTTGAGGGGCTTTAATGACTAATGGTCTTTTTATCTCACTGGCTTTGAATTAACCAACTTTGAACATAAGAATTGACGTTGACACAAAACATCAGTAATGATACATGTACCAGGGTTTGTACAGGTTATGGAAAACCTGGATTGTCATGAAATTAAAGAATTCATTTTCCCGGCCTGGAAAGTCATGGAAAATTTCAGTTCTGCTAGATAGATTAAATACTGCAGATGTCAAAGCATGGACAATGTAAGATAAAGGCGAGTAACTAAATGACGTGGATTGTAGTGGACACTAGAGTTTGTGTCTGTTGAACTGAGTAAGGTCCATGGATACCTTAAAACAAGGAAAGTTTTGAAAATACTCGAAAGTGACCATTGAACCTAAGGTCATGAAAACCTTGAAAAGTTCATGGAAAAAGTCATGAAAGTCATGGAATTTAATGAGCTCAAGAGAGTACGAACCCTGTAATAATGCATGTATGTACCAATTTTTTGTTCATTGTAGGTTGTTTTTGGTGTTGCCACTGAAGATTTACCAGCAACTCAGAAAACGACAAATCAGACAGCCAACTCACAAGGTGCAGTTAATGGTGAACAACCTGTCTCTGCAGGTGCTGACTCAACTACGTCATCTGTGGCTGACACATCTGCAGCCGTGTCTACTGCCACTTCTGAGTCTCAATCGCGTCAGGAGCAACCTCAGGCAAAAGTGGGACCTCCAAAACCAAGGTAATGTTTTAAAATAGAAAAATAGATGGCTTTAATTACATGTAGTTAATTATTGCACTAAATTTTGTGATCTGTACTTCTTTATTGCTGTTTATCAGCACTGTCACAAATGTACAAAAAAGCACTAAAAGCAACTGGGCACCAAATTTAGTGAGATATAAAACTGGAAGAGTCTGACAATTTACTATAAAACTGAGAAGACCGCTACTTAACAGAAAGAACATTTACACGTAAATGACATGTGTAGCAAAATACATTTTAACAAGGCACCAGTTGACTAACTTGGACAAGAGTATTTAACAGATAGAAATAAACTGTTTAGTTTTTGAAAACTGCTTAGTCAGAGCAGTTTTTCAGGTTTGATGCTTTGATATATAGCTCAGCAGAGTCGAAAGTTGTGACAATTCAAAGTCATTTGTGTAGTGTGGGGCAAGTTTGTGCTCTAGTCGTTCAATTGTCTGTAAAATTTTGAGAGTTAGAGGAGATTATATAATACACCATGTATCTTGACAATTTTTTAACAAATCACTTTCAAATGTGGCAATTTAATTATTAATTAAAAACTCTTTCCCTTAGTAGTGACATTATATTTCCTAACTGGTCCTTGTCAAAAGTTGAAAGAAACCCTAGAAAGGTCCATTGCATGGCTAGTTATCCATTGACACCTTTTTAACGTGTTTTACTAGGTATGACTGGTACCAAACGGAAACCCATGTTATTATAACCATTATGATAAAAAACACGAAGCAAGAGAATGTCAAAGTGGAGTTTGGTGAAAAAACAGTAAGTTGAACCAGTATGATTATAAAGTCAGGTAATGGGAAGCCACTCCAATGGATTGGCACAATTAACAGATTAGAGCCAGAGATTTCTAATATCCACAATCACTGCTTAAAAATTAATGGTTCTGTAACCTGTCCTTTTCATCTTTTGAGCCTGCATCTCTGTGGTCAAAGTGATCAAGAATGAGAAAGTCTCAAGAGATGTTTCAGAGCAACCTTGAATTTTCCGGAAAAAAAAACAATGTTTCATAATTAAGTTGGCTATGAACCCACTTTCAAAGTGGCAAAAAATGCTGTTGTCTTTTCTCATAATAATCAAATTAATGATAATTGACAAAAAATAATGATAATAATGATAATGATCTAATGTAAAGAAATGGTCATGCAGCCTTTTTATGAATTATTATTATTGTAATTTATTATTATAATTATTATGAGGACAGAGGTCAGGGTGTTTAGGGTGTTTTAACATGTGAAAATGTTGCCACAGTTACATTAGAAAAATGACCAAACTTGTTTTTCCTTGGCTTTTAATCTCATTGATCCAAAATATTTTATAAGATGTTAGTACAATATCATGAAAAATTAATCATATCAAGAAGGCCCAAAACATAATTATTTATTGCATCATCTTTATGACTGTAAAAATTATCTGTTTCCATTGCATTATTTGTGGCATAGATATAATTTTTTCGTTCTTTATTATTATTATAATCCTGAGATTATGGAGTTGTGCTACAGAAGAATTTGTCTATTACTATCTCTGATTATTTTGATTAAAATTGCATTTTAGTTGAGTACAACAGTCAAGCTTCCATCTGGTAGTGATTTCAGTTTGGAATTGGATCTTGCTCATGCTATAGTTCCTGCACAGTGTAAAACAAAAATCATGACAACAAAGGTAAAAATGAAAGTTACAATTTCATGATGTAAACAGTCATGATTATCAAATGTTGGCACTTGTTGATCAAAGCCTGATGGCGAGATTCCAAAAAACTATCTGAAGATCAGAACTGTACTTGCACTCACTCTTACACATGCTGTGACATAATTTTTTGGCAGTTTACACTAAAGGAGTTGTAGCCACAACACAACTTGTACTACTGTAGTACTGCTGAGGCTATAGACGTGCTGTATTATTGTTTACTTGAAAGTACCACCCCCTGATTGATTCATCAGTGCCCTCCCAGAGCAAAAATTATTAAACAAGCTAACATTTGTTATTTTGCTGTTCCAGTTGTTTATAAACAAAACAATGGAATTTATTTATTTATTATTATAACATAAGTGCCTAATTCCATTTTGAAGAAGTGCTGGATTAAGAAGTACAAAAATTAATGTTTCATTTTTGTTTTCTATAGATACCACTTAACTTATTTCTGTTGAGGTCAGGGTTACTGAACATGTCCTTTTGCAGATTGAACTAAAGATGAAAAAAGCTGAGGGAATAAGATGGTCATCTCTTGAAGGGGAAGATGAAGTGAAAGCTAAGCCAATTCCTAAACAAGGTCAGTCTTGCTGATACAAAACCTTCAAACTTGTAATCATTGTCACAAGTAAAATGGCACAAACAGACAGGTATTTTAAAAAATGGTCAGCTATACTGTAAATTTCTTATGGTTTTACTGTGAAAAGCTAAAAAGCGTGAATGCAAGAAATATTTTAGCCATTTTACGGTGAGGAAAATTAATAGCAAATAGATTGATCAATTTGAAGATTTTTTGGTAGAATATCCTGTTCATGCAATTTCTGTGGCTGCTGTTTAAAGGTCTTTTTTGTGTTTTAAATATATAGGACCATATTTTAATTTCAGTAAACTGTAATAAAGAGTTTTGGTGTCTGTTTCCAAACAGTCTGTCTGGTTGCATAAAGACCCAAGCATGACACCTTGTTTTTTTGAACTGGGACTCATTGGTTCTGGACAAGGACTCATGATTTTTCACAAGATGAGTCCCAGGTCTCCCCACAACTATTTGTAACAAAATCACTGTCTATCCGAGATATTTTGATAGGGACATGACTGTACATACATCAGTCCATCCAGACCAATGATTGGGAAATTAAAAGTCACCGTTTCTAGCTAGTGTGGGATCCTGGAATCTGATATTGCCCATCCATGTTGTGGCCATTTGACATCACAAAAACCATAAACATCTTTTTTTTTTCACTTCAGAGAGATCTCAAAGTGACATTTCCACAGTGCACAAATACCCATCATCAAGACATGTTGGTAAGGACTGGGATAAACTTGCAGCACAGATAGCAAAGGATGAAAAGGAGGAAAAACTTGAAGGAGAAGCAGCTTTGAATCAATTATTTCAACAAATTTATGGTGATGGAAGTGAAGAGGTTCGTAGAGCCATGAACAAGTCATTTGTTGAATCTGGTGGAACAGTGTTGAGCACTAACTGGGATGAGGTTAAACGTGGGCATGTTGACTGTAAACCGCCTGATGGCATGGAATGGAAAAAGTGGGACCACTAAAGGAAGTCAGGACTGTGAAGTGTGAATGGCTTGTGACCATGCTTTTCCTAGTTACAGTATGCATGCATTAACTGCAATCCAAGACTTCATCAAAAAGGCAGTTAAACAGCAGTGGTGTAGAATGGTACTACATTCATGATTTTTAACTTTCAAGTAAGCACAATGTTAAAAAACACAAATTTCCTAAATTTCATTTCATAAAATTAAAGTGCTCAGGAACTGTCATGATATTATTTACAGTACCTAAACCTCTGGGAGAAGCCATGAAAAGTCAGTTCTGAGGAATGGTTTTTACCCCCCACTCTACACCACTGGTAATGATTGCTTGGAAAGCTCTTATAACGTTTTACTCAATTTAACTTTAGCAGACTGTGAAATGATGAGCAGATAGAAGCTGATGTTTCCTGACTAATTTGCAGGTTTTGTTGCTTCCCACCTTACTTTACTTGCTATTTTACTGCAAAAAAATAATGCTTATGCAAAAATGTGAATGAAGCTTTAGTTCTGCTATAAAAGAAGTTTGACTTTTTAATAGCAGAATAACTATTTGTAGAGCCCAAAGTTTGTGAATAAATTATTATTGAAACGTTCAGTCGCAGCCTGGTTCGATTCATTTGTACATAAATATTTCCATAGTCAATGCAATACTTATTTTGATCAGCACTGCAACATCTTTTTCAAAGCCCTTCTTTCTTTTCTAGCCTGGGACCAGGCTCCGCTATGGGGGGAAAATGGCAAAAAATGGAGTGAAATGGCAAAAAAAAAAAGTGAGTTGAGTCTGCTGAGCAGTAGGCTGGAGATGAAGAAAGGGTGGCTTTGCTTGCCAATTTTTTGGGGGGCCTTTTTCTCAACTGTGGAGCCTGGTCCCATGCTATATTTTTTCTGGTTATAAGCCCCTCTGTTTATAAGCCCTCCTAAAGCCCCTTACAAAGATGAACAAGCCCAGGGCTTATAAGTGGCAGATTATGGTAGTTGGTAGCTGAGTGATGATATTAGATAATTATGATGATCCCAGAAGAGAGAAAGTAGAATGATGTTGTCCTTTTACATGTAATTGATTGTTTCACTCTTTTCACAACAGATAGCATCATGCTCTGATAATGATGATAAAGGCCAATGTTTACAAAAAATTCCTTAGTTTGTTTACCATTAGCAGACATTTTTATTGTAGAACTATGGTTTGTTTTCCATTAAATACTTTTTTGCTCAAAATCATGACTATGAGCTACAGGGCTACAGGAAGGGCAGAGAACTGTTCTTCACCTAACCCTTGTTTCAGTCCTCCTGAGTTTACTGTTACTGGATTAAGGTATGATAAACACGGGATAAACATAACTTCCAGGGAAAAGTGTTCAGCATTGTCAGGCATGCCAATTTATAACATCTATTTTGTACAAAGGAACCTCTTTAACATGTCCACGAGTAGGCCTTGAAAGCCCAGTCATCTTTACAAGGTTTTCAGAAAAGACAGCCTGCAGGTATGTTCCAAAGGACTCTTCTATGGCCTAGCTACACTGTATACCCCACAAGAGAACTTCTTTTCACAGGCTAAGAGAAGAAAAAGACTGGGTTTTCAGGCCTGGGTCGTTTTCTTTTTGTTGTTGTTTTGAGCCAAAATCCACATAATGTAGTCGAAATGAAGTGACTGTATTAATAAGGTGCTCAAGCAGCAGGGTTTCACTGTATCATAATGCAGTTCAACAGGTTGTCTTAACCCTTCAGTGTTGCATGAACTGTGTAGAAAAGGAAACTCCTCCATTCACCAAACATTAGATTGTACTGTTTTCCTTGCAATTAGTCAACCAACGCATAGCATGAAGATGTTGGTTACTTTCTTTCTTGCAGCATGAATCAACAGTATCAAGACATATGTCAGGATGATTGACAAGTGTGTATATCGATGCTAGGCAATCATGATCATATTCTCCTAAATTTGTACAAACTTCATCCTATAAATCTGAAGCAGTCACTTGCTACTTTCCACACTTTTCCACCTTCAGCAGTCAATAAAAAGTTCTGGGAGAAATGTTCTGCTTTGTGGCCATCAAACTTGACCAATCCCTCGACGACAACCAGAACTGTAGTCTGGCCAGGAATGGCTTGGTCTGAATGATAATAAAGAACAAACGCTATTCTGGTGACTATCATATTTTCTTATACGAAAGCAGGGGTATTTTGCAGAATGCAGAATGCTGAATGCGAATGACTCTGAAGTTCAGTGCTGAGTGAATCAAGTTTTAGGACGGTTTCCCAGTATAGTGAACCTAACATGGAACCTGATTCACTCAGTTTCCTACCCTTAATCACCAAAATTCTATCTATATACCATTTATTTGCCTCCATCACAATAATTGATGATGCTTGCAAATTGGAAATTGGCCAGTGGTCAATATATACTGGTAAATAAATAAATAAATAAATAAATAAAAGTAATAAATAATATAAATTAAATAATTAAATGCAGTTTGCGAATGCCGTCAAAGATGAGGCATTTACTGTCTCGTTTGGCAAAACGTTCCACTCAATAAAATTATTGTTCTTGGGAAGTAGGGGAATTCATAATAGTCAGTGAAAGTGAATGGGACTTCAAAAGCTTGGTTGTTGACATGACAACTAACTTGGCCCAGTGGCTTCAGATATATCAATTGCAAAACAAAAGCTTCACTCGTAAGGATTCTACTGAAAAAATGTGACGGCATTACATGTGCTAGAAGACCTACAACCACTTTTTAAAATTTTCTATACATTTGTCTGTAAGAAAGTCCCAGGAAAAAGTACTCGTCAAGGTGACATCGAAAACCATGGCAAGGTCTATTGTACCAGTTTAAAACAAACCAAGCGGCACGTCTCTGTACCATTCCAATTTCTTCACATTTTCTTTGGTATAGGGATCTTCAGGGTCATTCGGCAAGGTATCCCGTTACTTTGTTCCATGGTCAGCTCATTCCAAGCCAGATCTTTCACTTAATAGTCTGATTGTACCACAATGTAGTCAGACCTTTTCACAAGTCTTTAAGCCACGAACGGAAACAAGGGCGTTACCTCCTATTTTTAAGCCAAGACGCCAAAAAAGCGTGCTTCACATAATTTAGGTTATAACTTATATTCCTTACATTGCATGCAGACGTTCTGATTAACTAAGGGTCGGTTCAATCATATGTTTCATATGGGTACTTAAAAACATAGTTTAAATACCTGACACAGGCTGGCAGTCCAAAGAATATAAAGTGTGCTCCGTAGCAGGAAGATTGTTAAAGAAATCTGTGATAATTTCTGGGCCTCCTTTTACTACATTCCCATTCCACACGATCGTCGTGTTGGCCGAATACAATTTTGACATTAGCTGTGTGTGAAAAAAAATCAAAACAGTTTTATATAAATTGGAAGAAAAAAAAGTAACAAGGGAAATATAAGCTTAAAGGAAGTTTACATCTTTACCAAGAATCATATTAATTTAGCTACAGCGTTAACTCACATGACGTCTTTTATCGAATGTTTCATAGTAAACATTGCTAAATTCTTCGCCCGCTTGTGTAGCTTGATCGACTGCATTTCTCAGAGCCTAGTTAGCAAAGCAAAGGAACAACAACGTTATTATTAGACAGAAAGTTAATTTATCTTCGTAAAGAAAAACAAGATGCATTCCACACAAAACGTACATCTGCTTTGGACGCCATTTTGTTCTCGGTAGGTACTTCATATATGATTATTATTATGTACCTAAACATAGTTATTATATCTTACTATATATTATTATTATTACGCTATAAACACCTATACCCCTATACAACACCATATACCCCTATATACCCCTATTACACACCATATACCCCTATACAACACTATATGCCCCTATATACCCCTATACAATACCATATATCCCTATATACCCCTATACAACACCATATACCCCAATATACCCCTATACAACGCCATATACCCCTATATACCCCATACAACACCATATACCCCTATATACCCCATAAAACACCATATACCCCTATATACCCCTATACAACACCATATACCCCTATATACCCCATACAACACCATATGCCCTTATACCCCTTTATACAACACCATATACCCTTTATATACCCCTATTACACACCATATACCCCTTTATACAACACTATATGCCCCTATATACCCCTTATACATCACTATATATACCCTATATACCCCTATACAACACCATATGCCCCTTATATACCCCTATACAACACCATATACCCCTATATACCCCTATTACACCATTATATACCCCTTATACAACACTATATGTCCTATATATGCCCCTATACAACACCATATACCCCTATATACCCCTATACAACACCATATACCCCTATATACCCCATACAACACCATATACCCCTATATACCCCATACAACACCATATACCCCTATATACCCCATACAACACCATATACCCCTATATACCCCTATACAACACCATATACCCCTATACAACACTATATGCCCCTATATACCCCTATACAACACCATATACCCCCATATACCCCTATACATCACCATATACCCCTATATACCCCATACAACACCATATACCCCTATATACCCCTATACAATACCATATACCCCTATATACCCCTATACAACACCATATACCCCCATATACCCCTATACATCACCATAGACCCCTATACATCTCCATACACCTCCATACATAACCATACACCCTTATACATCACCATACATCCCTATACATTCCCATACACTACTATACATCACCATACACCCCAATACATCACCATACACCTCCATACATAACCATACACCCTTATTCATCACCATACATCCCTATACATTACCACACACTACTATACATCACCATACACGCCTACACATCACCATACATCCCTATACATCACCATACACCCCTATACATCACCATACATCCCTATACATTACCATACACCTCCATACATAACCATACAGCCCTATACATCACCATACATCCCTATACAACACCATATACCCATATAGAACACCATACACCCCAATAAATCACCATACACCCCTTTACATCGCCATATACCCCTATACAACACCATACACCACCCATACACAACCATACACTCCTATACATCACCATACACCCCTATACATCACCATACATCCCCATACATAACCATACACCCCTACAAATCACCAAACATCCCTAGATATCACCATACACCCCCATACATCACCATACTCCCCTATACATCACAATACATCCATATACCTCACCGTACACCCCCATACACCACTATACATCACCATACACCCCCATACATAACCATACACCCCTATACAGCACCGTACACCCACATACAACACCATATATTCCTATACATCTCCATACACCCCTATACATCACCATACACCTCCATACATAACCATACACCCTTATACACCCTTATACATCACCATACATCCCTATACATTCCCATACACTACTGTACATCATCATACACCCCGACACATCACCATACATCCCTATACATCACCATACACCCCTATACATCACCATACACCTCTATATATCACCATACACCCCTATACATCTCCATATACCTCCATACATAACCATACACCCTTATACATCACCATACATCCCTATACATCACCATACACCTCTATACATCACCATACATCCCTATACATCACCATACACCCCTATAAATCACCATACACCTCCATACACAACCATACACCCCTATACATCACCATACAGCTCCATACGTAACCATACACCCCTATACAACACCATATATTCCTATACATCCCCATACACCCCTATAGATCACCATACTCCCCTGCATATTCCCATACACTCCTATACATCACTATACACCACTATACATTACCATACACCCCTATACATCACCATACACCTCCATACATAACCATACACCCCAATACATCACCATACTCCCCTATACATAACCATACACTCCATACATAACCATACACCCCGATACATCACCATACACCTCTGTACGCGAAGTTCTTGGAAGGATTAACGTATGGGTTTTGAATAACAGTATCTATTCCCCGGGGGGGGGGGTACTCCCATATATGGGCTATATAGGTACGTGCCGCGCAATAGAGTATGGTTTTTGAAGTTCTCGGTCCTTAAATAGGGTATCTTTCTTGACCCTTTTGTTTCTGTGTCCCTGGTGTGGTCCTTAGATAGGGTAGGTTAATTGCATTATCTAATACTGGAGTGGGAAAATGCGCGCCTAAACGAACGGTTTTGATTTTGCAACAGAGGTTTAATAGACGTTAAGCGGGTAAATACACGTAACGCCTATTCAAGCCACATGTTTGTTTTTTCCTTGAATAGGGTGTCATTTTTCGGCTTTGGGCCTTAAAAAGGGTACCAGTTTTCTTAGCTTTTTATTGGATAATACCCGACCCGCGATGCCAAACAAAAACAAAAATGAACAAAAAAAATGCTCACACTTTATTAAGGTATATTGAATGTACTTCCTGACTTTCATGGACATGCATTAAACGGCTTAATTTGGTAGGTCACATGAACTATGGCTCGTGGAGTAATATAACTAAGTAAAACGTTGCGAAATAAATTGCACAAGCTTTGTAGCACTTTGATCCCGGCTGAACCGTATATTACCAAGATCGATGCCACCCAGCGACAGTTAGATGTTCGACATCAAGGGGACATAATGAGAAATTTAATCATTGTTTCTTGCTTATTCTTTGTTTTGGGATTTAAAACAATCATCTGTGTTCTTCTTGGAAAAGAAGAAGGACATTATCTGCGGGATGTCTTAAGAGAGTTTGAGTGTACACCGCAAAATGGAAGGTTTGATCAAATTGTTGAAGGGCCACACGCTATGTCAAAATTAATACCAAAATTATTTATCTGGTGTCCAATAAGACATTACGGTTTGATTATTTTATGTCCTATTCATGGCTGTCCTCTGAAAGTCGGACAGTGGACCGATCTTCCTGACTCCTCCAACACAAGTCCAAGAAACCCAAGATTGATTTACGACTTGAACGGAAATGTTATTCTGGTGCAGGCGTTCTATGAATGCAGTGAAAGTTTGCCAGAAAACGTGATGCATAGGACATCGCTATTTGTCCGCATCAAACGATGTGTTAGGCGCTCTCCCTGAAAGTGTTGTTAAGGGATTTCCTCTTATAATGCAGCAGAGAAGCCGTTTTACGCTGCGTCTTTATGATTATTTAATAACTGGTATTTATCAAGGACAAAACTTCATGGAATTATCTGAAGGCATTGCATCAATGAATTACAGACAGTACATGCGTAATAAACCGGACAGCAAAGAGTTATCTGTAAAGGAGTTTGAGAGTATTCCTTTCATTGCCTATCCAAGCAACGATAAACTAATGGATTTGTTTCTCATGCAGTTTGAGCGGAACAAAAAACATTATGAGAATAACATGCAGAAACACACAGGGGAGATTCTGTCCTGTGACTACACCTTTAGAACGAATAAACATATCGGGGTAACCCGCGAGGACGGCAAGTTTGTAGGCCAGTTTAAAAACGTCTTCTTGGGGGTGAACGAAAACGGAGAAGTTATGATATGGAAGTTTACGAAGACGACTTCTTCGTCCGAAATTATCGACTCACTTAAAGAACTGAAAGAGAGGCTTGATAAGGCAAGCACTAACTTAAAAATGATAATAGTGGATGACTGTTGCCACGTGATGCACCTATATGGACAAATATTCCCGGGGATAAAGGTTCGGCTAGACTTATTTCACGCGTGTATGAGAGTTGTACAAACGGTACGCAAAAGCGAAGATTACAGTAAACAATTTGCTAATGAATTTTCTTTAATTTTCCGTCAAAATGGAGACCTTGGTAACGAGAGAACAATGAGCCGCACCTTGTCCTGATGAAATAGAATCAAATCTTGAACGTCTTCTATTTGTTTGGAGAGAAAAGCTGAAAACGGAAACCCTTCTTCAAATTGAAAATTTGCGCAAGCATATAAAAAAAGGATGTCTCTCGGAAATACCAGTTGGATGTGGGACTGAAATAAATGAGCGACTTCACAGACATCTTAACCGATCATTACTGTGCGGAGTATCCAAAATTGGACCTGAGTTGGCGGTAGCGGTAATGGCGTGTGCTTTGTATGCATGGAATTGCGAACGAAGATTAAAAGCAACCCTCAATAAGAGAACAATTCCGATCACGCCAATTGAATTAGAGCCTTTAGAGTCTTTAAACCAAGCGACCCCTTATCTTCAGTCTCACATGACGGCTGTGGATTCTACGTCAACGTCATTACCGGGTTCAATATCTGGAGCTGTCTCTGAAAATAGCAGTAAGGCTAGTAAAATGCCACGGACATCATCCGTTTTCGTCACAGTTAAGACTGTGGAAGAACTGGAAAACGATTCCGTCTTGAACTACATTTTGGAACGAGCGCTGCACATACAAGAATTTATCACCAGTTGGACAACAAAATGTAACAACAAAACAATAGATTTGATTGGTCTTCTCTGGAAGATAAACTTACCGGCAGCTAACCTTTATGAACAGGAGTCAAAGTTAAACGTTATGGAATTAAATTTGACCCCACAGCACAAAGATAACCTGTTAAGAAATCTCACAGGATTTGATCTTCAGTTGGACCCAATTAACAAAGACGGAAACTGCTTCTTCAGAGCAACAGCCCGGCAGCTACAAAAACACTTGCAACGTTCGGATTTGCAAAATCTACAGCATATTTCCTCACTGGGGTTTGGAATCAACGAGGAACGTGACACGGAAAACCTCAGGCTACTTTTCGTGCGTGAAGTCACTGAAAATCTCGATGAATACAGGGAGTGGATGTCCTGTTCGTCAAATGTACGAACAGGGTTACAAATTTAACCTCGGGTCAAAGATCATAGGCGAATTGAGGGAAAGGTGCACTGCATGTTTAAAAAAATGTGCATGAGTGTATAATCAGGTTTAAAAAATTTGTGAAGCCGAGAGGTTTTACACCTGGTAATACACAATTGCGAGTTGCGAGTTGTTTTGAATGGCTTCAAATTCTCCGCTAATTTTATAGATGAACTCATTTTTGCACAAATATATTTAGATTTGTGGTTATTATGGCCTAACAATTGAACGTAAAGGTTAGCCGTTTTTTTTTTTATCAGACATAAAGACACTCATTTTACAAACAAAAATTTCTTTGTTTAGTTTTGTTTTTAATGAATTATTAATGAATGTCTGAAGTTTATTTATGCTTTTGTTGATTATATACTGTGAAAGAGCTTGGCCTAGGAGATAACTATCAACCAATCAGACTGCCCAAAAACACCAAGCCTGAGTGGATATATACTAAATAAATTTTAGTTACCGACAATAATTGCAATGTATTTAGCAAATATACCTATCTGCTATTTGTGAATTAGATTTTCAGTGAAAAGCTCAACAGAGTATGATATCTCCATCCAGTACATATAATAATTCAATATCGTTTTTTATTGATGAACTTGAAATTTGAAGGTCATATACCAATAATGAAAATAAATGAATAGACGAATTAAATAAATAATGTTTTCTCTACTGACCTTGGAGCTAGTAGCCGAATTGCGGAGGAAATGCGGAAATCAGACGCATTTGCAGTCACTTCAGTCCATGTTTAATCTCACCGCCCCCTCCCCCCCCCCTCCACCCCCCAGTCCCATAACGGCACAAGTCGGCCGGCTTACTCTTCGAACCAAGAAACGACGAAAACGAAGCCAACGAGAACTCCCCCAAAACAATAAGAATATGCTGGGATTAGCAAAACACTACGACTTTACTTTGCCGTTGCGTGACTGCGACGTGATGTTAGATTGAGCTTTTTAAGCCACCATCTTTTTGGAATTTAAGCAATTAAAGGACTTTTTGCAGACAGCTATACCACCACGGGGGCAACCATGCTATGCAGGCACACCACTAGTGGCGAGCTTTGACAAGAATTAATGCTATATATGCTTTGCTGAATGTAAGACATCTAGAAATAAAATGGGACAATGACACACATAAAAGTACTATATAGGGTTGTATGGTGATGTATAAAGACGCATATGGGAATTTATAGGGGTGTATGGGGACGTAGAGGGGTGTATAGGGATGTATAGGGATGTATGGTGTTGTATAGGGGTGTATGGTGATATATAGGGGTGTATGGGAATATATTGGGTGTATGGGGATGTATAGGGATGTATGGTGTTGTATAGGGGTGTAGGGTGATGTATAGGGGTGTATGGGAATGTATAGGGGTGTATGGGGATGTATATGAGTATATAGTGTTGTATAGGGGTATATGGCGATGTAAAGGGGTGTATGGTGATTTATGGGGGTGTATGGTGTTGTATATGGGTATATGGGGATGTGCTGGGGTGTATGGTGATGTATAGGAGTACATGGTGTTGTATATGGGTATATGGTGTTGTATAGGGGTATATGGCGATGTACAGGGGTGTATGGTGATGTATAGGGGTGTATGGTGATGTATAGGAGTATATGGTGTTGTATATGGGTATATGGTGATGTGCTGGGGTGTATGGTGATGTATAGGAGTACATGGTGTTGTATATGGGTATATGGTGTTGTATAGGGGTATATGGTGTTGTATAGGGATATATGGTGATGTATAGGGATGTATGGTGATGTGCTGGGGTGTATGGTGATGTATAGGAGTACATGGTGTTGTATATGGGTATATGGTGTTGTATAGGGGTATATAGTGTTGTATAGGGGTATATGGCGATGTAAAGGGGTGTGTGGTTATGTATAGGGATATATGGTGATGTGCTGGGGTGTATGGTGATGTATAGGAGTACATGGTGTTGTATATGGGTATATGGTGTTGTATAGGGGTATATGGTGTTGTATAGGGATATATGGTGATGTATAGGGATGTATGGTGATGTGCTGGGGTGTATGGTGATGTATAGGAGTACATGGTGTTGTATATGGGTATATGGTGTTGTATAGGGGTATATAGTGTTGTATAGGGGTATATGGCGATGTAAAGGGGTGTGTGGTGATGTATAGGGATATATGGTGATGTGCTGGGGTGTATGGTGATGTATAGGAGTACATGGTGTTGTATATGGGTATATGGTGTTGTATAGGGGTATATGGCGATGTACAGGGGTGTATGGTGATGTATAGGGGTATATGGTGTTGTATATGGGTATATGGTGTTGTATAGGGGTATATGGCGATGTAAAGCGGTGTATGGTGATGTATGGGGGTATATGGTGTTGTATATGGGTACTTGTATGGCAATGCATAGGGGTGTATGGTGTTGTATATGGGTATATGGTGTTGTATAGGGGTATATGGTGTTGTATATGGGTATATGGTGTTGTATAGGGGTATATGGCGATGTAAAGGGGTGTATGGTGATGTATGGGGGTATATGGTGTTGTATATGGGTATATGGTGTTGTATAGGGGTATATGGTGTTGTATAGGGGTATATGGTGTTGTATAGGGGTGTATAGTGTTGTATATGGGTATATGGTGTTGTATATGGGTATATGGTGTTGTATAGGGGTATATGGCGATGTAAAGGGGTGTATGGTGATGTATGGGGGTATATGGTGTTGTATATGGGTATATGGTGTTGTATAGGGGTATATGGTGTTGTATATGGGTATATGGTGTTGTATAGGGGTATATGGTGTTGTATAGGGGTGTATAGTGTTGTATATGGGTATATGGTGTTGTATAGGGGTATATGGTGTTGTATATGGGTATATGGTGTTGTATATGGGTATATGGCGATGTAAAGGGGTGTATGGTGATGTATGGGGGTATATGGTGTTGTATATGGGTATATGGTGTTGTATATGGGTATATGGTGTTGTATAGGGGTATATGGTGTTGTATATGGGTATATGGCGATGTAAAGGGGTGTATGGTGATGTATGGGGGTATATGGTGTTGTATAGGGGTATATGGCGATGTAAAGGGGTGTATGGTGATGTATTGGGGTGTATGGTGTTCTATATGGGTATATGGTGTTGTATAGGGGTATATGGCGATGTAAAGGGGTGTATGGTGATGTATATGGGTATATGGTGTTGTATAGGGGTATATGGCAATGTATAGGGGTGTATTGTGTTGTATATGGGTATATGGTGTTGTATAGGAGTATATGGTGTTGTATATGGGTATATGGTGTGGGATATATGGCGATGTAAAGGGGTGTATCGTGATGTATTGGGGTGTATGGTGTTCTATATGGGTATATGGTGTTGTATAGGGGTATATGGCGATGTAAAGGGGTGTATGGTCATGTATGGGGGTGTATGGTGTTGTTTATGGGTATATGGTGTTGTATAGGGGTATATGGTGTGTAATAGGGGTATATAGGGGTATATGGTGTTGTATAGGGGTATATGGTGTTGTATATGGGTATATGGTGTTGTATAGGGATATATGGCGATGTAAAGGGGTATATAGGGGTATATGGTGTTGTATAGGGGTATATAGGGGTATATGGTGTTGTATAGGGGTATATAGGGGTATATGGTGTTGTATAGGGATATATAGGGATATATGGTATTGTATAGGGGTATATAGGGGCATATAGTGTTGTATAGGGGTATATAGGGGTATATGGTGTTGTATGGGGTATATAGGGGTATATGGTGTTGTATGGGGTATATAGGGGTATATGGCGTTGTATAGGGGTATATAGGGGCATATAGTGTTGTATAGGGGTATATGGTGTGTAATAGGGGTATATAGGGGTATATGGTATTGTATAGGGGTATATAGGGGTATATGGTGTTGTATGGGGTATATAGGGGTATATGGTGTTGTATAGGGGTATAGGTGTTTATAGTGTAATAATAATAATATATAGTAAGATATAATAACTATGTTTAGGTACATAATAATAATCATATATGAAGTACCTACCTTGTTCTCTTACCATGCCGCTGGATCAACAAACGACGGCTCGTTTGTAAGGGGCGGTTACCAACCTCGTCCCCAGGGTCTTCTCGTTATCCAATATGGCGGCGGAGGAGAGAAAGCATTGTGCAACGTGATCAAAACAAACAAAGTTGAACGGTGCTAAGTCTTGCTGTCGCTGATCTGTTTTGCATTGCCTTATTATTTGCAAGGTCTTGTTAACCCGTTACAATGTGGAAAGAGATTGTAATCGGGCTTTATCTTACTACACAAATAGTGTTTACCCTTCAAGACACTTGCCTAAGATTTGAATATGGACGGGATTTTGGAGGGAGTTTGTTGAGTTCAAAATCTGGAATTTTTACGGAAAAAAATCAAGGTTGTGGATGTTCGGCGTTAAAGCGAAATGGCCCCTTAAGAGGAGAAGCAGTTTCCCTTAATAAGGACAACAAAGATGATGGAATAGAGTTTAAACCTGCTTATAAACGAACGAACCAAATGGTTTTTATCAAGGGTGGGAAATTTACGATGGGCACCGACAAGCCCTTCCTACCCATGGATGGCGAGGGGCCAGCTAGAGAAGTGAAAGTGGATTCCTTTTACATGGATATTTACGAAGTCAGCAATGCAGAGTTTGAACTTTTTGTTAATAATACTGGCTATGTAACAGAGGTAATAAGTTAGTAAGCTGTTAGTACTGTGAAATGAAGCAGCGATCTGAAAAGTCATAAATTTTTGCAGTAGTCATTGCTGGGCCCCCTCTCCCCTAATGATGGTTTTTTGCACTTGTGTCTGAGTATCAAACACCATATTAATAGAGTGTTTTATCGTCCCTGTTTTTTTGTGTGTGTGTGTGGGGGGGGGGGGGAACTCCCTGAAAATTGTGCCTTTGAAAGGTAAAACGGACACAAACAGAAATTTTTTGGCCCTTTGGGCCTCAGCCTGGTCCAAAAATAAGAGGGGGGCCCGGGCCCCTCCCCTAGTTCTGTCACTGAGTAATACTCCTCTATCAGTGATAAAGTGTGATTTTATACCCTATTCTAGAGTCAGAGAGGCAAAAATCATGTCCTGTTGAGTGCCAGGCACATACCCATATAGCCCATCTATGGGACAGGTTACGATCTTCAACTTATTTTCTAGTAACATTGTTTTACTCTTTGAGGAAATTTTATGAAAATAAAATGTTGGCCACTGAGATATAAAGATTGTAACAGTCTGCTATCCTTGACTAGTAAGTGTTACACTATTACATTGTAATAGTGAAATCCTTTCAGATCCTTTGTTTGAATTCATATTGGTTGATCGATCACTTTGAACGGCTTTTCATAATATTATTATGATTCTAACCTCTATGTTCCAATGTAGGCTGAAAAGTTTGGGGATTCCTTTGTTCTAGAAGGAAAAATCAGTGAAGAGATCAAGAAGGACATACACCAAGCAGTGAGTTGAATTTCTTCTGATAGAAGTGTTTACTTCCTAGCTAGTGGGGATAACCAATAAGATGGGCTTTTCTTGTTTTCTATTACCAGGTTGCTGCAGCACCATGGTGGCTTCCAGTCAAAGGAGCTTACTGGAGAAATCCAGAAGGACCTGATTCTGTCATTAAGGACAGGTGAAAATTACACTTGGCACATGAACTTATATACCTGCCAACTCTCACGCCTTAGGCATGAGTCTCACGCCTGCGGGTTGAAAACTTTGATCTCACGCCAGCTCACACTTGCGGGCCAATTTCTCATGCCTGATTGAAAAATGTGAGTTGTTGCCATCTTGCTTGACACAATTTCCAAAAATATGTTAACTCAGACCCATGTAAGGAACGAAAACCATGTGTAAAATCTCTGATTTTTGAAGTGAAAAGCAAGTGAAAACTTCGCCTTCGGAAGACTTCGGATTTCTTCGGGAATCTTCAGACATGATCATGTCGTCTTCAAACATCCCAGCACTCCCAGCATAAAAATCTCACGCTTATATCTCAGAAAAAGTTGGCAGGTATAAACTTAATACAGTATTGGCAGTGTGCATGTACATGTATGGTCGCTGTGACAGATCTACATGTATTTATATGTACAGGGCAATGGGAGACCTCTCCAGCCAGTAAAGATACCAAACTTTGCACAATCTACACCTAATTTTTTTTCTGCAAAAAATAATGACATAGGGAAGCTATGAGACAATAACTGTCATGCATGCATGTTAGCCATGTGGCCTGCGTTGATGGTAGTAACATGGCAAATCCAGTATGCCATGTACATCCCCAGCATCACTACATCAGCTTTCTCCATCAGGGGTAAGCTAAGATGACCTTTTCTGGACTTAAGACTTCATGTGAAAATGGTGCAACAGTTGTGGGCATGTACTATTAATTCTGCAGTCTCTACCAGCGTTTCTTGATCATGTCAATAGTCTAAACAGATCTAGCAATAAAACAACACGACAATAATGCAAGTGGTTTGGGCAGAACTAGAAATCCACTTATTTGACCAATAGGACACCAGCAAATACACCAGATGTCACAATTATTTGGTACCTTCAATAGGTTTTCATATTCCCACTTGACATTATTGTCATTGCTAAATCTGCTACTATTTTTAACTGTGATGCAAAACTTGCAAAATAATAATAAATTATGTTTTTGCCATGCACACTTAATTATCTTGGTCAAGCACACAAGCCAATGTCTTCATAAATTAATTTTAGAATGGACCACCCAGTACTTCATGTCTCATGGAACGATGCTGTTGCATTTTGTAAGTGGGCTGGTAAAAGACTCCCAACTGAAGCTGAGTGGGAATATGCCTGCAAAGCAGGACTCAAAAACAAGTAAGATAGAGTAGCAGACTGGTTGAATAATATTATAAATAACTTATAAAAGCATCATTAAACTTCCTCATTGTGTTTTTACCTTATGCTTTTTCTACCTTTAATATTCCTTATCAAAACACCTTCTCATATACTCCACATTCTTGCTACTGCCTAGTAACCACAGTTCTTCACATATGCAAAGTGTTTCAGCAATGTTTTTAGTATTGATTTTAATTTTACGAAAAAATAATAGAGATTTTGAATGACTACTTAAATATAATGGAAACTATAATGTTTGGTATTAAGGACTTACTTCTAATCCCTTTTTGTGTTCCTATTTTGGCCGGAGCTTTGCCAAGGTGCACCTCTTTATAAATTAAATATGAATATTTTGGATTGACTATAGTTTCAGTTTACTAGGAAAGAGAAATATTGGAATGAATTGAATTGTCTGTAATCTTAAATGATTCTCATTTTAACTGCCTTGAGGTAACCTTTAAAATAAATTGATGTATTGAATAATTAAGCTGGTTTGAAATAATTTATGGTTAACTCTAATTGGTAATATGTGGACAGCAAAACACTAACCCACCATAAGCCGTAAACTGCTCAAAGGAATTAAGGGAAAACAGCATATAATATCTAAAATAGTGCATGTAAAGATTGTATTGATTTGTTTTCAACATCTCTTAAACATTTTTATTTCCGCAGAAAATACTCGTGGGGTAACAAGTTCAAGAAAGATGGTCACCACATGGCAAACACATGGCAAGGAAAATTCCCAGTTTATGACACGGGAGAGGATGGGTATGCTGGCACAAGTCCTGTCACAGCATTCCCATCAAATAACTATGGCCTATATAATATTCTGGGGAATGTGTGGGAGTGGACTCAGGATTGGTGGACCATACGACACTCTTCTCACTTCCAGGAAAACCCAGTAAGTTTAAACTGATCCATGCAACGTAATGGGTAGATTTCATATTATATTCAGCAATTGCAGGTACTGTAGCTGTAGTAATGCAGTGTAGCACAGTGTTAGTTAGCAACAATTTTACTTGGATCATTGGGTTCTGTCTGTAGTGTTCTTTCTTGAGGGTATTACGTACTCATCATGTGGAAGTTTAAGATAATTGTTGGTTCATACAATTCATGTATTTATGTATGTAAATCACAGCCCAAAGTAGCATATTTGTAACAATATTACTTATACCTGTTTATTACCCTCCAGTAATATATTAAGAACAAGGTATGCAGAGAAAAAAAGAGCGACAGCTTGCACAGATATCTTTGTCACCTTTTTTTAGGAAACATTAATTTTGCAATGAGAATGGCCAAGAATAAGAGTGCTAAGCGACTGGGAATAAGGACTGAAAATTAAAAAAAAAAAATTAAGAGAAGTGTCAAGCTGTGGTTAACGATTGCTTTATTCAGCTGTATTAAAAAGAGGCTCGGTTGTCTTGTTTTCATTTTCATTAACAATCCAGGAATCAATGAAGCGGAAGAAACTATCGAGAGCTTTGTTTTTGTTCGCTTGTTTGTTTGTTTTGTATCATCGCACATACAGGTTTTGTCTGTAATAAAAAACGGATTAATGAAGATGTTTCCAAGGGCTGTTTAACTCAGCATAGAAGCGTTAAAACAAAGTCATTACCGCATGCATTATTTAACAGATTTTTGTTGTATAGGAAGGGCCTTTGTCGGGAAGGGATAAAGTGAAGAAAGGTGGATCTTACATGTGTCATAAAGTAAGTTAATCTTCAATTTCTAATAATTATGAAGCTAATCACCGAAATATTATAATATTGGGGAGTGGATGATTCCAAAACTGAACAATAATTTTTATCCTGCAGACAGTCCTGCAACTATATATTTCACTGAGTGAAAAGTCTTGTATTAGGATTAAAGTAGAGGCTTAGCTAAACGAAAAAAATATAAAAAAGGTTGAGTTTGATTTTCTCTCGTAGTTAGTTTTGCTTGCATATGTACTATACATGTATTGCCGTCCAAGCCAATTCTTCTTCGCACCCCGCCCCCTTCCTCGAAAGTTAAATTCTTGGCCCCTTTTGTGATGTTCTTGATTCTTTGCGGCTGATACCTAAACTGCTAAACTGCAAAAAGAGAAACTATAGAGAGCTTGAGAGAATTAAGGCCTGCTCCTCGAACTACGGGCTTTTACATCGAGTCGAGTCGAACATAAAAGATGACGGTCGTAAGTCAAAGATGGAAAAGATTTAAGATCGTTATTCAGAGATATTGAAGAATAATACACAGGGGCACCCAACGAGTGTTTCTGTGAATTATCTAGCGAGGGGGACAAGCGGGGGGGGGGGGAGGGAGCGCTCCCTCCACAAAATTATGGCAAAAATTGGAAAAACTTGTCCCGAAAAAATCGAGTTCGCAATCGTGGCTCGTTTGCCTCAGAGTAATACGTTTTGGCAATTCCAAAACAATCTCAAAGCTGAATTCAACATGACTGACTTACTTCAACTTCCCTGAGACTAAGATTACAAGATACAACTTAAGGAATAAATCTCCCGCAATGCCCGCCATTCACACGGACCGTTTTAAGAATACATTCTTTAATAGAATTGTCTTCAAGTATAATGTAGCTTTGTAAATAGTGTACTTTCTGTATTCGATTTTTGTATTTCTTTCTATGTATATACTAATCTTATTTAGAGACATACTTTAGCCCATTAACATTGTTATATGTTACATTTAAAAATGTAACATAAGATATGTAATTTTATCTTTTGAACAATAAAGACACTTTATTTATTTATTTATTTAATGAGATCATTCTCTCTTGCTTACTTGTTGTGGACTTCACCTCGAACGATTTTTTGAACTGTTTTAATTTTTTATCGTTTTTCTTTCTTGTTTCAGTCTTACTGCTATAGATACCGTTGTGCAGCGAGAAGTCAGAATTCCGCCGACACCACTGCCTCAAATCTTGGATTTCGCTGTGTTAGCAACAAGCTCCCTAATGGAGTCAGTTTAGTCACATAGGCGTAGAGATCTTTGAAATTTCTATTTTTCCTATTAAATGATTTCGATTCTGGATAAAATCCAAAGCTATACATCATAAGCTTATTTCCGACGGTTTCTTTTTTCTTTTGCGTTAACCATTGTACTACTAGCCTAACAGTGGCTTGAGTAGAAAATTCACAAAAAATTCTCCTTGAGATTAAATCATTGTTGAGGCCCCGTTTGTTCAAACGTTGGATAGCGCTGTCGACCGGAAAAAATTACTATCCAGCCGGTAAGTCTTGGGGAAAATACATGTAATTACACTATCCGCTGGATAGTGATTTATCCGGTGGATAGCGCTATCCATCTTTTAAACAACCGGGGCCAGGACCGTAACAAAGTTCAGAAAGAGAAAGGAAAATGCTTTATCAATAAAGTAATTGTATTCTAACGTCCTCTTTAGAGAACGTCGATAAGAAAATTTCACGTTGTAATCGCAGAATGGCGGTAAAGAAAGTTACCAAATTGCCATAGGTTTATGTGGGTGTTCCACCTTCGATGATGAATTTTACCGCATGCAGGGGTCCAGGGTCCACCTACTTAAAACTTTACTGAAAAACCTGTTAACGTGGGAGGTAAAACGCGCAACATAGCTCTTCAACTCGTTTTGCAGCAAATTGAACGATTCTGTTGCCCGTTTTACCATTTCCTTTAGTCAGTACTTCATACAATGATGAGCAACAAGCGACTGAGTACTTTAAGCCATGATTATTAGTGTCGGGTGCTTCTTATAAACTTGCAACTATTGCTGCTGCCCCAGTCTAGTTGCCAAGGTTGAATTGGAAATCGAAGCCTTAAATTTACAGTCGAACCCCGCTATTTCGAAGTCCCGAGGGAAATAAAAAAAAAGTTCGACATAGCGGGGCTTCGAAATAACCGGGGAAGCGTAAAAGGGGAAGGGTAAATCCAATGGCATTCGATCTTCCTTCGAAATAGCGGGGACTTCGAATTAACCGAGTTCGAAATAGCGAGGTTCGACTGTATTTACAAATAATCATCACAGACTCAACAACTTTATGTTTGTTGGAGAATAAGTTATGGACAATTTTATTCAATTTTATTGCGAACACAGAGAACACAGAGAAATCGAGACAAAGAAGTACAGCAACAACTAACTTAATAGGACATAAGTAATTAATTAAATGGATAAATAAATGAATAAATAATTAATTACACTGTAGATATGTAAGCAGAACAGATAACTATATGTCCTGCTACTGGTCAAAGTAGCCCGCCGCAGTGGCTTCTGAATTGAATAAAGTAGTTACCTACAAATAATCTTTAAAATTAATTACATTTCATCCGAGATGTGACAGAAGTACAAAATGATTTAGGATAATATATAATTTAACATTTGTTTTGTTTGAAGGCTTCTTCAGGGCACTGGCAATATAACGGTGTCTCGTCAAGGTGATAACGGCTAGTTCACCATTTATCTTTGCTGTAAGAAAGGGAAATTTTCGTTAATGGATAGTTTTAGTGTTGATGATGAACACGATTTCCTCATTTGGCTCATTCGACCGTTCGTCGAGATTTCAAGACGTATCCTTATTTGAAATGTTTACTTCAACGACAGACATTCAGTGTTCGCATGAAAACTGGGTTAGTTTGTTAAAGTAGAAGTGGTATTGTTGATAACAATAACGCAATTATTCAATGCAGTTCAGTACAGTGTGCTTTTTTACTGTATATACAACGTCTAATGTGATTGGGCGGTGAGGTGCACTGACCCTCCAGTAAGCGTGACCTCATATCTCCATATTGCTGGACTGGCGAGGATTCATCCTCGTCGGCGGCAAGCTCTGGTTAAAAAGTCTGGCACACGTAGCTGTGACTGTAGGGTACCTTTATCGTTAAGTGATTTTCTTCACAAGTGAAGCTAAACGACAAACCTAAACGTCATCATCGGGCAGGCCGCTTGATTTCCATTGTCTTCATATATCTGCGTTATAACCTGCAAGATTCTTCATACCCCCGTTCGTTACGCTGTTTAAACAGGTAAACACAAAAATTAGTGCTATAATCCATTCTTTTATTCTCCTATTTTACGTAACTTGGACTTTGAATTACTCTTAAGGAAGTTTTCTAGGAAAGCTTGGGAGTGTTTTTATCCATGAACGGTTGCTACAGCCTTATCTCTTGAAAGCTGTGAGTTTTCTTTTAATACACAGTGTATTATACTAATCAAACTGCATGACTCGACACTAAGCAGGAACATGATGGCGGGTTCCAACGACAACTTTTCATTCCTCATAGCATTGTGGGTAATGACAGCTTTCTCAGAGGGTACTGAATATATTACACACAGCACATTATTCCCCACTCACTGGGGAGAGTTGTGTGATGTATGAATGATTAGAGCATCAGTTTAGAATAGACCATACATAGAGGCTGGTAACTCGAGCTACATCCTCATGCATCATGACCAGCACTTTTCTTATCCCCCCGCCTCCCGGCAATCTAAAGGCGAGTGCACTGATCCACAGTGACTAGCCAGGTCTATTACACTGAACAGCTGAACTGGTAGCGTGCAAAGCCGGGCGTGTATTTTGTAGTGCGAACGATTTGGACTTTGAGACCAGAGAGTTTGGGCGAGTCAAAAAACTGATTTCAAGGGAGAGATTGACGGTTCAGAATAGGGGAAGGGAGGGGGAAGAGAGGCCCCCTTGTCCTCCCCTCTTCAATTGTTTAATTGCAGCCAGTTCATGATGGTGGCCGCGATCAATATGTAGCTCTGGGTCGCACTTTCGTTAAAAAATAAATAAATAAATAAATAAAAACACCTGGCTAGATTTCAAAAATAACATTGCAGTTATGGAAACCGAAATAACTTAAATATATTTTAACAGTACTACAAGCTTTTGGATGATGGTGTACGGGTGGTATAGGTGCCGATTATTATAACAGACTGAACCTAGTACTGACTGAAAAGACACAGTGTATTTGTATGAATTAGTTCAAACAAAAAGATATGGATCAGGTCAATTCGAGGTTGTGGTGGTACACTGTCTTCAATCCATCCCAGACTTCTAACTTCCTACAACTTACTTGTTATTGCTTTCAAGGGGAACATCACTATCTGAAATTATAAAAAGTGTAAGTAGAACAAAATTTAATTTTTCCCATACTATGTTAAGGTTACCGAATAAACTAATATTGAAACTCACCCTCATGATGATATCTAACCTTCCGTTGTACATTACATCATGATCATTTAATGAGCACATTGCTATTGAAATTTTTTTGAGGAAAAATTCATTAGCTTATTTCCGAGCCTAGCTGTTTCAAAGCGAGGCTAAGAGCGAAGCTATTGATACCAAAATGATGTTTTTATTGTCATACACTGATTAAATTCATTTTCACAAGAAAGATTTTGCACTTAGCCTCATTTTCAGATCAGAGAGAAAGATTGGAAGTCGGAAATGGCCAAAGAGACACTATTACTTAAGAGTCAAAAGAATACCATATAATTAAACAATAATGATGACCCATGACTATATAAGGTAATTGTGATATCATAGTAATTATGGCAACGTTGATAATGTCCCTTCCGTGTGTCTTGACGCTTTTATAACGATTCGTGTTTCAGTAAATCAAATGCTAAAACTGACGTCAGAGTAAGCTGAAAAAGAAAGCTTGTTTATCTTTTTCAACTTCAGAAGTCAATATAGTGTATGAAATGACTTCCCTGCCAGCCCCACCCATCCGGCCCTCTCTTGTGTAACGTGGCGGGGGGAGGGTAACTCCCGAAAAAAAACTGATTTAAGAATATTATTTTAATTTATCAAAATCACGTTCAGAATGCCGACTAACCTCCGCTTCTTCTATTGTGCAATACATAGGAGATCAAAGCCAGTACAACAGCTAAAAAGACCACAAAGCTTAGCACGCAGACAGCGAAGAAAACAGGTTTAACTAGAAGTAAGAAAAAACACATTACAATCATAGACATCAATCAACGCGTAGCATTCTCAAACGGCCTGTCGACGGATTAGTGGAAGCTGTTAACGGCGGCTAGAGAGTCACATTATTAAATCATTAAAATATATTCTTTTCCAATCGTTCACTTCAAATAATCTACTTATCGTTAAAACATCCGTGCATCGTCTTTTGGTTCAAATTATCACTTAGCACTAATTAAATAATTTCTTGTTGTTGTTTTATTTTATTTTGTTGGCATTTTTTTCCTAATAATCGGCTCCCTGTCTTAGTATAATCTTTGGCTTGTCAAAATTGGCGTATCTTGAGAAGGGAAAAATGTTTGAAAGACCATGCCCTTAAAGCCTGGTTTTCACTAGCGCTTAAGCATAAGCATAAGCATAAGCACACGCACATGTGTAAGCGAGTGAAAACTGGGTCGACATAAGCATAAGCACTAGAGCACAAGAAAAATGGACAAGTTAGTTCTTCTACTGCTTGTGGTTATGTCTTAGCTTTGACAAGTGAAAACTGGGTCGACATTAGCAGGAGCAGAAGCACAAGGCCGTGGACCAATCATACGTCACTTTGTCCCAGACCATGCGAACTTATGAAAAGCAATAAGCGTCCGCCATCTTATTTATCATTGGGTTGAGGAGGGATGGTATCGAAAATTGAGTCAAATATGCCATTCTGCGCGTGCGTTTGTCCTTATGCATATGGTTATGAATTAATGGTTATGGACGCATGCTCTGTATCGCGGTTCGAACAACATAAGTCGTACATATATACAGCTTCATTTACTGAACAGTTTCCAAAGTTGCATTCGGAAAGCAATAGAAATTCCAGCTACTGTATATCCACCTTTTGGATGAAATCACTGAAGACTAAAAAACCTGAATTATAAGTACCTTTTTCGCAGTCATTTCCCTCGAAAAAGGCATTGCATCCGCCGTCTTTAAGTGCTAAAGACAAAGGAAGGAATAAGTATATTTTAAAAATGCACATAAGGGTTTTTCCAAAGCCACCTCGGATAAAGTGGTTGAAGTTCATGGCCAGACCACAATCTTGAAGTAATGGCCGGACTAGAAGGTCTGCTCTTTGGCTGAAACCGGGAAACATTTATTTAAGCAGAGCCTCAGTCCAACGGGACCCATATTTGGTCTCTGAGCCTAACGGCCGGGACAAGCCCCCGTCCCAAAATCTGCGACTGAACTTAAGGGCCTGTGATTTAGTGCTACATGGTTAGTTTATTTTTTTTATAATGTCAATTACACGTCCTTAGAGCAAAGTTCGTATGACCTTGAAAACGATGGTTTCGGTAAGTGTTCGTTACTTGTTTTATCAGCCAATGGATGAAAACATCAAAACACATTGGACTCTTCGTTTTCCCGCCAAAGAAAACCCTAATTTTTGAGAAGGTATTGTTCGATCGGCCAATCGTGTTGCAGTACTGTATGACGTCAAAGCGAAGTATCGATTGATTTCTAAAAAGTTCTCGGGCATAAAGTTTTTTCACCCTTGCGTTTGCTTAACCAACCAACGTGACTAAGCGCGTTTATCAGATCCGTTCGATAAACCAATCAAATTGCACTATTTCCGTTCGCTTGTTGTTTCTGTTCTGTTCGCGCGTTTTCATTTCAAGGTCATACGAAAATCGCTCTATTTGCTATGGAACTTCAGACTGAATTAGTTGTGACTGACAACATCACAGCTTCGAATTCGTGTCAGAAAAATGTGTTTCCAAGGCATTATTTCAAACGTCACAAACAAACAAGCTTTGAAAAACTGTTAAAAAAATTTGTCCATCCTTGCCTCCTTTTGTACTTCCTGTGTTATTTATAACTTTATTTTGACATTTTGAGAGGTTATGTTCATGTTTTAATCATTTTTTTGGCAGTTCCCAAGGTTTGAATTTTCGTGACACAGCTCATTTAGATAAACCATGAGTAAGTTATAGCATCCAACAACGCCCGGCTGGGACAGGTCTGACCGGTAAAACGCACACAGTTACTCACATTAAGATAATTCATATTCCATAAAAATCCAACATACATCTCATCTCTGTCTTTCTTCCAGATGAAGTTAAGTTAAAGGTTTGTTTTCATGTTAGGAGACGATCTTAATCAGTTACGAATGCACAAGTGCGTACTTGCCGACCCATGGCACTGTGACCTCACCCTTGAAAAAGATAATTCTTAAACATACCAACTGCGCAGTGACTTCCTTTGAAGCCAGAAACACAACTGCAAACATATCCATTCACACGGTCAATGCATTTCCCACCATTTTCGCAAGGTTGATCAGTGCAGTCGTCAATATCTTAAAAACAAGATGTGAAAACGGATTTAGAGTATTTTAATAATCTCATAATTTATATAAAATCATCAAAAATACAACTCTTGAGAATTATTAAGTTTCTAAGCCGTGCGTTACATGTACAATTTGAAGATGTTTGCTTCAGAAGAAAAACTTATCAGCTAATTTTTTTTAACTGAATTGTACCAGGAACTGGCGTAGAACTTGCTTACCAATACTGCAATTCTTCCCCGTGAATCCAGGTAAGCAGCTGCAGTTGAAATCATTCACAACATCTGTGCAGCTTCCTCCATTTTCGCACGGTCCACCAGCACATTCGTCGATATCTTTAATCAGACAAAAACGAAAATAATAGTGATTATTTTCTACCACTGATGCTCGATTTAAAAATATAACTAACACGATGTTTGTCTAAAGAGTTTTTTTATGGTTGAATGTTTAAAACGAAACCCTCTTTCCTCCTGTCAGTCGCTCGGTGTTAAAACAGAAATGTAGCGAGATGTCCCATGACTGTGCAGGTTTTCATTCCGAGCGGAGCAAGGTCTCGAAGTGCCCTCGCGAAAACCATTAATAATCTTGTCACGCGCAAAGCGCGCGTGGGTCATAGCGAGCTGCAAACTCGCAGCGCCCATGTTTGTATATATCCGATGGTGTCTGCCATGACGTCATACAGTAATTTTTACGTCACGGCGCATTTTTTTGTTTCTAGGAAGCAAGACCAGGGCACAATTCATGTTGAATTCATGAAGGGTAAGAGAAGTGCTGATGTGTTTATTCATCGTCTGTGAAACAGTGTTTACGATCGGTGAATCACGAGCAGTTTCCATGCAAATGACACAGGACAGCAAGCTCAACAAGTGGCTGGAAATCGTCGCTGGCGAAGATTTTCCACCGAAACTCCTTTGGAGAACGTCGACTAAAATTCATCGCGAGCGGAGAACACGACGACAACATTGTTAAGCTCTTATGCTATAATTATCTGGTTGGCACCCTATTGCAGTCTTTTATAATATTGTTTGATTTTTCTTTATGCATGTTATGAAACTCTTACTGATAGCATTCACTAAAACTATGAAGAGGGCGGATTGGCTTACCAATACTACAGTTCTTGCCCTTATATCCAGGGACACAGCTACAGTTATAATCATTCACAGCATCTGTGCAACTTCCCCCATTTTTGCATGGTCCTTCAGCACATTCGTCGATATCTTAAGCGGAATTTAAAATACATATTATACTTTCAAATTGGATTAAGATTCAGGATGCCACTTGATACGGGTTGGGTTACTAAACTGCTCCATAACCTTTTTTTTTCAGACTCATGCTTACACCCTTGTTATAACGCCGGCGAGAAAATCACGACTTCACATGAAAAGCGTACAAGGACACATCCAATCCTCGATCGCTTCGATTCAAAGGCCGGGATACTGAGCACAGCCAATAAAGCTATGGCTTCTTAAACAAAAAACACCAAGGTTAAGACCGTAAGTTGAGAGTGAATGTTCTAGCAACTGATAACACAGGGCTTTTTGCTTTAGCAAGAGCCTCTCTGGGCCTTAGCCAACATTTCCTCCGATTTTATCTCTAAAAAGCACTGTAAACTGACGTCAATGGACAGTCAACATATGAATATAATAGATCTAAAGGAGCGAGGTACTATTCCATAACATGGAGAATTGGCTTACCAATACTGCAATTCTTTCCCGTGTATCCAGGAACACAGCTACAATTAAAATCATTCACAGCATCTGTGCAACTTCCTCCATTTTCGCACGGTCCATCAGCACAATCGTCGATATCTTGACGGAAATTTAAAATTCGGAAAATATTTTGACAGATATTAAGAAATAGTTGTAATACTAAGTTTTATTATCCATCCATAAAAGACTGTAATCGCTTTGGTTGCTCTCTCCGGTTGCATTGACTTCTTCCGAATACCCCATATAATCACATTCGGTTCGGCCTCTAAAATGATTTTCAAATTAATGCTCTAAGGAATGCGTCCTCCCATGCTACTTCGTTTCAATTAATCCACCGACTGATTCTTAGATAACCAGCTAGCGTTGACCAAATTTAGAAGTCTTTTGCAAGATCAGTCTGATAAAATGTCGTCATCATAGTTAGGATAATTCGCCGCCTTCTAGCCTGGATCTGCATTTTGCTGCATTTTACTGTATACATATATATACTTTATTTTTGCACAGTCACCTCCTTTTTCCATCTTTGCCCTCAAATAGCAAGTTAACAGCTAGACGAGGCGGGCAGAGTGGAAAGATTATGGCGGTCATAAATATTAAATTAAAAAAAGCTATGAAGATTATATTAAAGAACTAAATAAATTATGTGGACGGATGAGAATTCCCAAAAAACAAGACAAACAAAAAAAAACAAGCTAGAGTTGCAAAAATAGTCTTACAGAAATTTACTAAAGAACTATCAATTATTAATGCAGTAAGTCGTGGATGCAGATTTTGCAATTTTTTGTAGCAGATGGCTGGGCACTTCAACATAATCATCCTCTGTTTCCATTATCGAGAGCAATAAGTCATGAAAATGTTTTTTATAAAAGCTCATGTAGTTATTAAATCAGTAATTAATTGCTGCGTAAATAGCATAATTCTATTACATGTAGAATTGGCTTACCAATACTGCAATTCTTTCCCGTGTATCCAGGAACACAGCTACAATTAAAATCATTCACAGCATCTGTGCAACTTCCTCCATTTTCGCACGGTCCATCAGCACAATCGTCGATATCTTGAAGGAAATTTAAAATTCGGAAAATATTTTGACATATATTAAGAAATAGCTAGCTGTAATACTAAGTTTTATTATCTATCCAAAAAAGACTAGTCGCTTTGGTTGCCCTTTTCGGATGCATTGACTTCTTCCGAATACCCCATATAATCACATTCGGTTTGGCCTCTAAAATGATTTTCAAATTAATGCTCTAGGAATGCGTGTTCCAAGGCTACCCCGTTTCAATTAATCTACCAACTGATTGGGCTTAAATAACCAGCTAGCGTTGACCAAATTTAGAAGGCTTTTGCGAGATCAGTGTGATAATCAAAATTGTCGTCATCATAGTTTGGATAATTCCCAGCCTTCTCACCTCGATCTGTATTTTGGTGCATTTCATAGTCATGCAGTTATTAGTTCTGTAATTAATTGCTGTAAATAACATGATTCTATCACATAGAGAATTGGCTTACCAATACTGCAATTCTTCCCCGTGTATCCAGGAACACAGCTACAATTAAAATCATTCACAGCATCTGTGCAACTTCCTCCATTTTCGCACGGTCCATTGGCACAATCGTCGATATCTTGAAGGAAATTTAAAATTCGGAAAATATTTTGAAATATATTAAGAAATAGCTGTAATACTAAGTTTTATTATCCATCCATAAAAGACTGTTGTCGCTTTGGTTGCCCTCTCCGGTTGTATTGACTTCTTCCGAATACCTGATATAATCACATTCGGTGCGGCCTCTAAAATGATTGTCAAATTAAAATTAAATTAAGGCTACTCCGTTTCAATTAATCCACCGACTGATTATTAAAGAATCAGCTAGCGGTGACCAAATTTAAAAGGCTTTTGCGAGGTCAGTCTGATAAAATGTCGTCATCAAAGTTCAGGATAATTCCCCGCCTTCTGGCCTCGATCTACATTTTGCTGCATTTCATAGTCATGCAGTTTTCAAATCAGTAATTAATTGCTGTAAATAAAATGATTCTGTTACATGGAAAACGTGGCTTACCAATACTGCAATTCTTCCCCGTGTATCCAGCAACACAGCTACAATTAAAATCATTCACAGCATCTGTGCAACTTCCTCCATTTTCGCACGGTCCATTGGCACAATCGTCGATATCTTAGGCGGAATTTAAAATACATAATTTGAAATCGTATAAAGATTCAGGATGCCACTTAATACGGGTTGGGTCACTAAACTGCTCCATAACCTTTTTTTTTTCACTCATGTTCACAGGCTTGTTATAACGCCGGCGAGAAAATCACGACTTCACACTTATGAAAAGTGGAAAGATATGTAGCATAACGAGGACACATGCAATCCTCGATCGCTTCGATTCAAAGGCCGGGATACTGAGCACAGTCAATAAAGCTGTGGCTTCTTAAACAAAAAACACCAAAGTTAGGAACGTTGAGAGTGAATGTTGTTGCAACTGATAACAGACGGCTTTTTGCTTTACCAAGAGCCTCTCTTGGCTTTAGATTTAAACGTTTCCTCAGATTTTCTCTCTAAAAAGCATTGTAAACTGACGACAATGGATAGTCAGCATATGAATATAATAGATCTAAAGAAGTGAGGTGACTATTCCATAACATGGAGAATTGGCTTACCAATACTGCAATTTTTTCCCGTGTATCCAGGAACACAGCTACACTTAAAATCATTCACAGCATCTGTGCAACTTCCTCCATTATCGCATGGTCCATCAGCACAATCGTCGATATCTTGAAGGCAATTTAAAACTTTGAAAATATATATTTTGATATAAATTAAGAAATAGCTGTAATGCTAAGTTTTATTATCAATCCATGAAAGACTTTAGTGCTGTCGCTTTGTTTGCCCTTTCCGGTTGCATTGACTTCTTCCGAATCGCCCATATAATCACATTCGGTTCGGCCTCTATAATGATTTTTAAGTTAATGCTCTAAGGAATGCGTCCTCCCAGGCTACTATGTCTCAATTAATCCACCGACTGATTCTTAAATAACTAGCTAGCGTTGACCAAATTTAGAAGCTTAAGGTTCGCAAGATTAGCCTGATAAAATGTTGTCATCATAGTTCAGGATAATTCCCCGCCTTCTGACCTCGATCTGCATTTTGCTGCATTTCATATTCATGCAGTTATTTAATCAGTAATAATTATTAATTGCTGCAAATAAAATTACTCTATTACATGGAGAACGTGGCTTACCAATACTGCAATTTTTTCCCGTGTATCCAGGAGCACAGCTACAATTAAAATCATTCACAGCATCTCTGCAACTTCCTCCATTTTCGCACGGTCCATCGGCACAGTCATCGATATCTTAAGCGGAATTTATACATAATATACTTTGAAATCGTATAAAGATTCAGGATGCCACTTGATACGGGTTGGGTCACTAAACTGCTCCATAACCTTTGTTTTTTTTTTTTCACTTATTTTCAAAGGCTTATTAACGCCTGCGAGAAAATCACGACTTCACATGAAAAGTGGAAGATTTGTAGCATAACAAGGACACATGCAATCCTCGATCGCTTCGATTCAAAGGCCGGGATAATGAGCACAGTCAATAAAGCTGTGGCTTCTTAAACAAAAAAGACGAAAGTTAAGAAACGTAAGTTGAGAGTGAATGTTGTTGCAACTGGTAACACACGGCTTTTTGCTTTAGCAAGAGCCTCTCTTGGCTTTAGCTTTAAACGTTTGCTCAGATTTTTTCTCTAAAAAATAATGTAAACTTACGACAATGGATAGTCAACATATGAATATAATAGATCTAAAGGCTAGGAGCGAGGTGACTATTTTATAGCATGGAGAATTGGCTTACCAATACTGCAATTTTTTTCCGTGTATCCAGGAACACAACTACAATTAAAATCATTCACAGCATCTGTGCAACTTCCTCCATTTTGGCATGGTCCATCAGCACAATCGTCGATATCTTGAAGGAAATTTAAAATTCGGAAAATATTTTGAAATATATTAAGAAATAGCTGTAATACTAAGTTTTATTATTAATCCATAAAAGACAGTAGTCGTTATGTTTGCTCTCTCAGGTTGCACCGACTTATTCCGAATACCCCTTATAATCACATTCGGTTCGGCCTCTAAAATGATTTTCAAATCAATGCTCTAAGGAATGCGTCCTCCCAAGCTACTCCGTTTCAATTTATCCACCGACTGATTCTTAAATAACCAGCTAGCGGGTTCGGGAGATCAGTCTGATAAAATGTCGTCATCATAGTTGAGGATCGATAATTCCCCGCATTCTGGCCTCGATCTGCATTTTGCTGCATTTCACTGTATACATATATATACTTTATTTTTGCACAGTCACATCCTTTGGCCATCTTCGCCCTCAAATAGCAAGTTAAGAGTTAGACGAGGCGGACAGAGTGGAAAGGTTATAGTAGTCATAAATATTAAATATAAATTAGAAGAGGCTATGAAGATTGTATTAAAGAACTAAATAAATTATGCGGACGGATGAGAATTCCAAAAAAAAGTCAAACAAACAAACAAACAAAAAAACAAGCTAGGGATACAAAAATAGTCTTACAGAAATTTACTAAAAAACTATCAATTATTAGTGCATTAAGTCGTAGCTGCAGATTTTGCAATTTTTTGTAGCAGACTGGGCACTTCAACATAATCATCCGCTGTTTCCGCATTATCGAGAGCAATAAGTCATGAAAATGGTTTTGAAAAGCCCATGTATACGTAGTTATTAGGTCAGCAATTAATTGCTGTAAATAACATGATTCTATTACATGGCAAATTGGCTTACCAATACTGCAATTCTTTCCCGTGTATCCAGGAACACAGCTACAATTAAAATCATTCACAGCATCTGTGCAACTTCCTCCATTTTTGCACGGTCCATCAGCACAATCGTCGATATCTTGAAAGAAATTTAAAACTCGGAAAATATATATTTTGAAATATGTTAAGAGATAGCTCTCATACTAAGTTTTATTATCAATCCATGAAAGACTCTAATCGCTTTGGTTCCCCTCTCTGGTACTCTGGTAACCTGAGATCAGGCCCAATTTGAGTGGTTCTCATACATTCTCCCCGCCGGAATGTAATTTTCAAAGCCAAACGAAAATAGAGCCTGATCTCAGGTTACTCTCTGGTTGCATTGACTTTTTCCGAATACCCCATATAATCACATTCGGTTCAGCCTCTTAAATGATTTTCAAATTAATGCTCTAAAGAAATGCGTCCTCCCAAGCTACTCCGTTTCAATTAATCTACCAACTGGTTCTTAAATAACCAGCTCGCGCTGACCAAATTTAGAAGGCTTTTGCGAGATCAGTCAGATAAATGTCGTCATCATAGCTAGGATAATTCCCCGCCTCCTGATCTCGATCTGCATTTTGCTGCATTTCAGTAGTGTATCATGTATATACGTTATTTTTGCACACATCCTTTGGCCATCTTCGCCCGCAAGGAGAAAGTTAAGAGCTAGAGTTACAAAAATAGTCTTACAGAAATTTACTAAAGAACTGTCAATTATTAGTGCAGGAAGTCGTGGCTACAGATTTTGCAATTTTTTTGTAGCAGAATGGGCACTTCAACATAATCATCCTCTGTTTCCATTATCGAGAGCAAGTTGTTAAATCAGTAATTAATTACTGTAAATAACATAATTCTATTACGTGGAGAACTGGCTTACCAATACTGCAATTCTTTCCCGTGTATCCAGGAACACAGCTACAATTAAAATCATTCACAGCATCTGTGCAACTTCCTCCATTTTTGCACGGTCCATCGGCACAGTCATCGATATCTTAGGCGGAGTTTAAAATACATAATATACTTTGAAATCGTGTATTAAAGATTCAGGATCCCACTTGATACAGGGTCGGTCACTAAACTGCTGCTTAAACTTCTTTTTTTCACTCATGTTCACAGGCTTGTCATAACGCCGGCGACTATTCTATAACATGGAGAATTGGCTTACCAACACTGCAATTCTTTCCCGTATATCTGGCTTTTGGAAGATCAGTTTGACAAAATGTTGTCACCATAGCTCAAGATAATTACCCGCCTTCTGGCCTCGATCTGCATTTTTTTTGCTGCATTTCATACTCATGCAGTTATTAAATCGGTTATTAATTGCTGTAAATAACATGATTCTATTACATGGAGAATTGGCTTACCAATACTGCAATTCTTTCCCGTGTATCCAGGAACACAGCTACAATTAAAATCATTCACAGCATCTGTGCAGCTTCCTCCATTTTCGCACGGTCCATCGGCACAGTCGTCGATATCTTAAGCAGAATTTAAAATACGGAAGTTATTTTGACTTAAATTTAAAAAATTTTACATTGTTTGTCAGAACGTGAGAAACGTGTTAGCGCGAGAAAACCAAGACTTAACATGAAAAGAAGGGTTGCATTGAAACTTGGCTTACCAATACTGCAATTTTTTCCAGTGTATCCAGGAACACAGCTGCAATTATAATCGTTTACAGCGTCTGTGCAATTTCCTCCATTTTCGCATGGTCCATCAGCACATTCGTCAATATCTTAAACGGAATTCAGTGTGGATAATAGCAATAAGTTTTTCAGAAACTCATGGCAAAATTCTTCGATCACCGCGTTCCCATGCAGACACAGTGACTGATCGTTCTAACCCTTTAAAAGCCTCAATAGTGATCAGCATCAAATTTTTCCTTGGAATATCAATGCTTTGTAAAACACAGTGGTCATGAGATTTCCGGACATGATCACACAAGATCAATAGACCTTTTTACCGATACGGCAGCCATAGTCAATTTATTAGATTTAAGGAGTATTATGGGATGCCCAGGGGGCACTTGCTGTCGCTCAGCATTTACGTGCGCTTTTCGGTCAAAAAGAGAACTTCACTGTATATTTCTCGGGAAAAAGGCGATCATAATTAAATCCAAACACGGCACAACGATTTTTTTCTAGGAAAACTAAAAGAAAAACTGGCCCAAAAAGCGCGTTAAAACCTGATTGAGCAATTATCGGATCGTGCTTATATGCCCCCTGTGCTTCCCATAATACTCTTTAAATCTACTTAATGTCAATATGGCCGCCGTATCGGTAAAAAGGTCTATTTGCTTGATATTTTATCAACTTCTCACCGCTTCTTCTGTATGAAATGAATAGGGATAACAAATGAGAATTTAAATTTTGATCTTAGGGCTTTAAGTGTCAATTGCTCCTTCCGCTGGATTAAGGGGCGACTAAGCTATGTTCATACTACATCGCGGATAGCTTTTTGCGCAGGCACGAAAACCATACCAGTTAGTTGGACGATAGGGCTATTGTTAAACATAAGAACTGTGATTTCAGCGCGATTTCTGTAATCGAAGCTTGACTGTGTACGCAACGCCGATTTCTAATTAAAATGGAGAGTCACATATCGGATAGCGTTTGGTGTTGGCACGAAAAGTTATCCGACCAGTACAGTGTGAATACAGCTTTAGAATCTGAGCCTACGCCTATGAGCACAGAACGGTAGAATGGCGGCCTACATTCATCAGTGTCAATCTATTAAAAAGTTTTAATTGCTGTAAATTTCGTTACAATGCTTATAATTTATAGCAAACGGCTTTAGTTTCCTTTCCTGGAATCTGGTTTCTGGGATATAGTTGCTCGTGGAATCCGGAATCCTGGGATTTGGAATCCGGAATACAGCTTAAGGAATCCGGAATCCCACAAACGACGGGAATCCAGAATGCAAGTTCCACTGATGAAGATTTGGAATCCAGTACCTGGAATCAAGAATCCAAGACTGTCTTGGATTCACGTACATCATTTATATGGGGCGAAACAATGGATAATTCGAAAAATCAAGGGAAATAAGTGTTAACTGATTATAAAACACGGGGAGCTTTTAACAAATATCATACATTCTGTAAAATATACTATTAAATAAAATGGGCGGAAATGGCTTACCAATACTACAATTCTTCCCCTTGAAGCCAGGAACACAGCTACAGTTATAATCATTCACAGCATCTGTGCAATTTCCTCCATTTTCGCATGGTCCTTCCGCACAATCGTCGATATCTTAAGCGGGAAATTTAAATTAAGGCCGAAGATATGTCAACGATATTTATATATATTATTATACCTTTTACACACTATCTGTCTTCCTGACCATTGCCTACCATTGCCGGAAAATCAACGCAACCTACAGATTAGTTTGATGATTATGCGCCAACAGATAACTAACTAATCTGTAAGTTCCGCGCGTATGCATGATTTTCGAAGGGCAATATGGTCAATATGTCAAATTGGTTCCGTGGCGACGGTGTAATATTTGTCGCGACTAATTTCAAAACAATGTAAAATAAAACAATTATTAGATTCGGTTCCTGCGATTTCCGGAATAATCAAGGTCTTTGTAAGTGTTACCAGCCTCGACCTTCTGCACGGCTCATCTTGATAACATTAGCACAATGTCTAGTCCTATCCTACGACTACAACATCAAAGTTGAATTTTATTTTTATAGGATTTTTACTTTTAGGTTCAGTTTTTGGGCACTTTTCGATACGCAGCTAATAATTTATTTGAAATTATGTTTTTCTAATTATTCAAGATTTGTGCTCTAAGTTAACTACACAGAGGGTGTCACTAATGTATCGTTTTAACTTTGAAAATTCGCACGGTCGCTAAGAGCTAGAAACGTAACACTGATAGTTCAGTTGGATTGATGACATTGAAGGAGCAGTAATCAATCTTCACAGGTCTGCAGAATTCCATCTCGCAAATATCCACAAGGGTTTTCTAAAAATCCATGAATTTTCTGCTGTTCACAACATCATGATTCAACAAAAAGAAACACACGCATGCGCATTCTACTTTTGTCGCCAATTCTCGCCTCGGATACGTCACCAAAGTGAAGTGACCGAGAGGGATTGGGAAAACGCCGTACAAGGACTAGACATTAGACTAGACAGGTATGTACATAAGGTATGTACAAGTTACAATTTGTCGATGGTTCTTCTTTTGCTTTGTAAAACAGGAAAGTAGACACGCGCTTAGGAGAAATGACACAGCCCTAAATACTAACTCATGTTATACAATGATGTGAATGCCAGCCACGCGCGCTGTGATTGGTCGTTGCCCATGATCTACCAGAGTACAGATAAATACAGACGTCATTGAAAACTTGTTTTCTCTGTTTTGCTCAAAATGGAGCGCGGTTTTGAAGACGTTTGCGAGACTATTTCAGATTAAAGTTAGTGAAAGCAGGAGCTATTTACAAAGACGAAAAATAGAGAAACGGATACAAAAAGGGCTCTTGACTACTTGAAAATGCCTAAACTACAGAAATATTCACAACAGCTGCCATCGTGAGTCATCCCTACGAGAGACTCGTAAAAAAACAATAAGTGACACACTCGCTTGCTGCTCAGGTGCCACTTCCTTGTTTTTACCATATATATTTTAACGTCATCTGTGATCTAAATTCAGTATGTAAGCAAAAGATGATTACCAAGGAAAGCATACCTATTGAGCAATTCTTCCCAGTGTATCCTGTAACGCAGCTGCAGTTGTAACCAAGTCCACCAGCCGTGCAATTTGCTCCATTTTCACAGGGTGTGTTGGCACAATAATCTGTACAGAAACAAAACAAAAATTAAATTATCGTAATTGATATTTATTGAATGCCTCCGAGGCATAACACTTTTCCAGGAATTTTCTTCTTTGGATAATGATGCATGCTTTGGGGAAATGATGAATTGAGTAGGACTGTCTACAAGCACATTCCTAGATATATTTTTTGCGACTTGTTGAAAGCACAATTAGAGAGCTTAAGCAACAACGACGGAGACGGTTACGAAAACGTCACTGAAACAGTGAATTCGCACTACTTCAAACTTTATCACGCTTAATCCATCTCCTTTAATTCGTCAAATTTTGGCAAATTTTGTCGAAGTTGAATTCCAAACGACTGCATAACACTGCCAGGAAAAGAAAAAGAAACTTGTTGTCTTGTGTTCTTGTGTTATATAAATGTGTCGGATCCCGCGGGGAGGTGTTTGGGTTTTCAAAAGGTGGTTGATTTGATGTGTAATATTTGGTGCAGATTCGGAGTATAGGAGTGTTGGCCATTGTTGGGGGAGTGCTAGATACAACTTCGTTATCACCACTACGCCACGTGACTGTCAATTTAATAAGACCCTTTTCCCTAGAACTTCCGCTAGCGTGCCCTGTATAAAGTTGATCGCACCCTATTAAACACGAATTCGAAGATACTTTTCAGAAGAATGCCTGCTGTTTTGTGAGTGAAAATCCAACGTAAACGCATTCATCGCATGTAAAGAACAGATGCCTGACTAAGCCGACAGGGTATAAACTCATCCTCGGAGACCTAGGGGCAGCTAGTCGGGTCGATAAAATGTTCGTGGTGAAAAGCTTACAGTAAACTTTAGTCACCAAGAACATTTTACCGACCCTTCTAGCTGCCCCTAGCTGGGCCTCTGAGGATGGTATAAACTTCATCTGCGAGCAAAACGTATTTTTTGTTTGTTACCTCTATTTTCGCTTTCGAAAATAAACTTAACATCGATGGAGGTAAGCATGTTTTAGCTGTGTTTTTAAATTAGGAATTATTTTGAGTGAATAATAAAGCAATTAATGAATTCGGCCTTCGTAGGATATGAAGAATAAAGCAGATCTCAGAGGGTGTTATCCAACTAGGCCTTCAGCCTCGGTGGATAACACCCTCCTCGATCTGCTTAATTCTTCATATCCTACTCAGCCCTAATTATATTTTGTTTAGCTGCCACGTGCCATCCATATAGAACTGATAAGATGGAAGCCAGATCCACGATCTTGAGAGTTACTCAGGCTGACGAAAATTAACAAAAAGACAGACTATTAAAACGTACAAGCTAAGAGAGCGACATTCAGTAACAGTTTCAAAAGAGTTTCAGGAGTTCTAACTGGAGCCTGACTCTTTTCAGATCGAATTGAAAGTTGAAAATGCTGTTTTTTTTAATGGAAGGGAAAACCGGAGTACCCGCAGTAATCCACATAATTATGGTATATGGTGTTGGCGCCGGGACTCGAATCCAAATCCAGGCCACATTAAATAAAATCACATTCATAGTATAGAGTGTTGCATGTCTTCTACGCTTTCCAGCAAACTTGGACACAAAGTCAGGATTTCCCAATTTGATGACAACTGTGGCTTAAACCATATTGCCCGGCGTGAAACGCAATCTACCGAACACTAAAAAACAACCCTTCTAAACTTCCATCATTCCACAATGTCTCTGTAAAACTTTATCTAAATTGCCTCTAAAACGACCGAGATATAAGCGTTTATAAAGATGTAGCACAAGCAAAATTTTGCCTTATGAATTTATTCAAAGATAGCCCTCCCCCGCGGCCTTGATAAAATGAACTTGACAGTGGCTACGCAGCCCCTTGTTTTGTCGTTAACACTTTAAACATAATGCATCCTCACGAAATTTGTAGCCTCCTACGTACAAAGACACCCAGGAACGCGTGACAAACCACGACGAGTCTGCGTGAGAGGCTATGAAATTTGAAACGAATTATAGAAAAAAAAGACCTACCATTGGTTGCCTTTGTCTGAATAGCGACAAATATGAATACCAACAGCAAATAAGCAACTTTGAATGTCAGCATGGCTTGTCTTGTCCTCCCGGCAAAGAAAATTAAACTACAACCAAAATGCAAATAGAGATGTTGTTATTTAGGAGGACTTGATCGAGCTAACATAAACCTTCGCTATATATCTAGCGGGCAATCCCAAAGGCTGTGACTCTTTTAATTACTTTGTGTAAAAAGTACCGGTAAACTTGCAAGTTAAGTTAACATTAAACTGGAGAAAAAAATTATAATAAAATGAATAATAACATTAAAAAAACGTTGAATCGAGCTTGTTATCTTAAAGAAAAAGAAAAAATGAAAAGGAAAAAAACTCTGAGAAAAACTCGCTTGACTTCAAAGATATATTGCACCTTAACCGTGGTAACGAGTCTGTTGATTAGTCCCTCATTTTTCTTAGGGATCATAGTAGAGCGAGCGAATACTCAAGCGCGCGCGTCTCGCTTCTCATCGTGCGTGACAATTTTCACGAAGTTTGAACAGAACGCTAGTATCTTTTAGAAGTGATGTGTTTTGTAACCATCCCTGATTTGCGATGTCATTTAGTGGTTCAAACTCACGCCAAAGTCGGTTCACGTACGACTATTGAGGTTTGAAGGTATCAGAGGCGCCGGCTCCCGGCTTATGAACACGAGCCAGTAACTGTAAGAACAGTAACCATAATCTTCAGACATGAGAAGCCTCAGTAATTACATGTGCATACACTACTTTTTTAAATTTATACTCGACTTTTGAAACAAACTAAAGTGCACAAAAGGAGTAAAATCGGAAAATGTAAGCGTGCATGCAAAGTTAAACTCTTTCGGAAAATTTGACACCAAATTGCTTTCGAGAAAACTTCGTAAACTCATTTATAACTACTTTCGTTTCACCCGGCGCTATCATGCAATCTCCATTTCTTTGTCGTCGGAAAAAGGTTGAAAAAATGTATGCATGCGTACGTGATAAATGTCTTCATTTGCTTTCGAGAGAAATTAGTACACCGGATCAATGCAAACTCAGTTCAATATAACTTTTTAAAGTACATAAGAATAAATAAAAGTATAATTAAGTTGTGCCGCCATTATGCAATCTTTGCAGTCCTCTTTTACGCAGTTGTTCCTTAGCCTCAATCAGTTTTTTAAAGTTTGTAAAGTTAACCAGGATTAGGGAGACTTGAGTCATAAAATGGGTATTCAGGTTCACGACTATATTTTAAACTAGTTTAGCATCCTTGGTCTTGTCCCTCTTGTCTGACTTGTCTACAGATGAAATCGTTGTAACATGGGTTTATCAGGGTGAAGTTAGCTTAAAAAGCAACTTCCTTGAAAATCTTTCGCCAAAGATTGTAACATAAAACTGACCCATATGCATCTAGTGCGTACATCTGCATTTAAGTTCACAAACCTTTTCCTAACGTGGGAAGTATGCACCTCTACCTAACGATTTCTTCGTCGCCGTTACTTTAGGATGTATGTGACTTTTAGAGGCAGCAATTTAAGGTCATATGTAATATTACCCATTCAATCAATACTCATCAAACGGGTCCATTGAATAAGCGTTTTCTTTTCTCTTTTAGACTGAGTTGAATACACTCTAATTAATGGTGTTCATGCATGCAATTGTTAACACTTATAATACGTTTAGGAGAAAAACAGTTTACAATTCATTATTGTGTTGGAAGATCGATCATTTGAGCTTTGTTCTATTTTTTTGGATACCGAGCCTCTGCGGAGGTGTTCTAATTGCAATGCGAGGTTTTTAAGATTCCAGGGTTTCAGCCAGGGTCTATTCTAAGCCTTTTCATAGCGAATCTCAAGAGAACCTCGAGCTGTTTGTAATTATATTCGTCTTGGGATTGTCATTTTGAAAGCCAAAAGGTCGATCTTTTCATGACACGAACCAAATTGTACATGGTACACGGTACACGTAATTTAGGTCGACTCAACATATTTAAGTAAAGTTCGTCTTCTAGCCGAGACGAAGAACAAATGAAGCGTCGAGCTGATCAGAAAACAAATATAATTCCATGTTTATCTTTTGGCCTTTTTTGGGCAGAACTGACTCAAAAATGAAAATTTCGCTCAAACAAAGGGCAGAAGAGTTATCAAAATGTTATTCTTGGATTGCCATTTTAGACTAAGAAAAAGTAACGATAAAATTATTTTTAAAGCAGTTGTTTTTCGTTTGCTTGCGCAAAATCACGCCATTACTATGTACGGTCAATCACGCAATGAGGATTTTGGACAAAAAAAAAAGGTTTTTGAGCAGACGAAACTTTAAAAATCTTCATAAGCCTATAATATGTTCCATGATTTTTTTTAAATTGCAATTTTAGCTTAAAATTCCGTATTTAGGTGAGGTTACACTGAAGCCATTTTGCCCTTATAGCCAAGGCGTCAGTTTCTTACCCACGGACTGAGAAGACTTTTTGTGTATGACCGCCCATGACTTTTACAATATGAAATTGTATCGTGGATACGTAAAAAAGAACAAAAAATTCCCCATGACGGCAATAACGGCTCCCGAGGTAAGTTACATGGGATAAAATAAGAACCGAAAGGGGCTCAACCAATCACGAGAAAGCGAAATGTAGTCTACTAAGTTACTTCAAGTGTTATGTATTCATCTCGGCGCCAAATTCTGCGTACAGCTGGACTAAAAGTTCAACATCACAACAGGTTTTCGAGCGCTACTGTGAACGTTTTTACGTTGAAACAACCTTGAGCCTTTACTCGATAAGCCCTCACAAAACAGAAATAATACCATTCCTCCTCCTAGACGCCCTCGACTGACTATAAAGCAGCAAAAATATATCTTACGCAGAAACCCTCTTGGAAAATTCAGGCCAAGCCTACCGATATTACTACCTTTGTGTTATTAACCCGTTCCTCCCCTCTCACGGGAAAGTTTAACATGAGAATACATTAAATGCGTTCTTTCCATCATCATGAATATAAAAAATTAATCAAATAACAAGTTTAGTAGGTTCAAACATTGCCCATTGTTCTTTTGAACCAGTTAGTTCTAACAGCTAATTGCCAGTAAATTGGTTTATGTGGAGAGAAACTCTGCTGCCTTCGCCTCCATACATGCTCGATAGCCTTCACGATGATAAGCCGAAAACAAGGAAGGTGTGAAAAACTGATTCGCATTGCTGTGACCTGGGAAGGAGCCACAACACCATTGTGAGGCTGAGCGGCAGGGTGAACCATGGCAGCACTCACAGCAACAAAAAGTTAAGCGGTCAACTTCTTCTGCCTTTAGCGTAGGCCCGGTTCCCCACTGACCAGCTTCAAGATCAACATCAATGTCACGCAACGCTATTTTCCATGAAACGCGTTCTTTAGTTCGCACTCCCTTACTAGGATGCCGAGGAGCGAGTAATAGAATTTGCCCTACTCCAACCATCCTTTCGATACCGTCATCATTGTCTGCTGAGTAGTAACTAACTTTAAACCTGTTGATAGAAATTACACCGGCGTCAAACGTATATAATGGACAGAGCATAACTTTTTTCATTTATAACTGGAAACTCACGAGCCTGATTTAGCTAAAAATGTTCGGATAAAGTTTGTTTGAAAACACTCGACAAACATTTACAAAGAATTAATGTATCTGCTCATTAAAGTTTTTGCCACCCAGCAACTTCGCAGTATTTGATTGCTTATATTTTCTTAGTATTGCTTGCAAAGAGTTGGAAATTGCACAAACTGCTGAAATTAACCAGCTCTTTCAACTTTTGGCGACGTTTTCTATAGGTTAACTTGTATGCTAATTACCAAAAAGGTAAACAATGAATTCAGCAGGGATTCACTCGCCTACAATTCAAGGAACTTGATCTGGGTTTTACAGACAGCTTAGTTTATGAAAGTGAATGTACTTACGTGTAGCTTCTTGGCTGCTCGCCTTGTTTCTTGTCCACAAAGTTTGCCCGGATATCTTCCATAACGTCACGGCCGTCTAAAGAAGTAAAAGAGCATTGAAGCTTTTTTCTGGCCAGTTCTAATGAGTGAAGTAACTCAATACCATAATTTTTGTCTGATTTGCATTCTGTTCCGTTGGCGATAACGATTTTTTCTAATCGTAGCTTGAGCAGAGGTAACAAGCCGAGATTTTCAGTGTGACCGCCATCACTGATGCGCATAACTGGAGGGGGTGATGGGCCAACGTTGACGATCCCCGTCATGTCTCGTATAAAGCGTACGTAGGGTACATTAATTAAAAACCACCTGATAGAAGAGAATGAAAAAGAATACAACGATTAATAAGTCAGGCTTTCATCAGCCTGAGAAAACAGACGACATTTTGCGACACCACCAACAGTTTCCCTGCAAAATGACGTCAAGAAACCAGCGCAGAAATTCCAAACTGATGACGCATCACCACCTAGATCTTAGCAGTGACGCGTCATCAGTATGGAATTTCTGGGCTCGTTATAATTCTCACTCGTCTTTTTGCGGGGACATCATTTGTTGGTGTCACGAAATGTCGTCTGTTTTCTTAGGCTAGGCTTTCATTGATTTGTTACTTAATTTTGGTGAAAAATCGTATATTTTGAAAATAAGCGCTGTATATAGCCCCACCCAAATACAAAACGCAATGAACCTTTTATAAAATTACTGTTATGCCTCTGAGTGTTTGCTCATAAGGGGCACTGTTGAGGTCCAAGGAATACTGGATTCATTTGCTCGCAGGTGTGGGCTCCTCAAGCTGTTCATGTTATCCTTGACATCGAAAGAATTCAGCGGCGGCAACAAAATTCATTCTGTCTTTGGCGTATCGGTCTGAAGTTAGTTACAAGCAGAGGCTTTTGAAAATTGGGCTACTACTATTATGTTATTGGCACGAATTTTTATATTTGGTGTACGTATTCAATTTTTAGTTTGTCTATCGGATCCTTTTATTTCAGTCATGAATTCCACTAGACCCAGGCACACTGTCTCCTCCAAGGGTACGCTGTTGAATACAATTAGGGCCAACACCGTCACCTTTGAGAACAGTTTTTACTGTAGAGCCCCAAGAATCTGGAATACTTTACCAACCCACCTCCGGAACACTGACTGTTCAGTAGTTATTACTTGTATCTCACTAAGCCTGTTTATGATGTCGACACCCCGCAGACCTTTGAGAGTGTGTGTATTAAGTGCCACACTAGTCGGCCATTGAACAACTTGCTCGATCGTATGTGTTGTTGATTTTTTTATCGGTGTCCTCCCCAATTCTGTTTTTGCATTGGCATTTCCTTTTTTGTCGTTACTAAGGTATTGTAATTCTTGTTAGTTGTATTACTAATTGTCTTTTTTTTGATGGATCTCGTAGTGGAGCTTGCTCTGTGAGTGATTCAGGCCCCTTGGCGAAGTTTATAAATAAATAAATTAAGGTGTCTACTCCTATTGCTTATGGTATTCTTGGCTTAGTAAGATAATGAAAAAAAGAACACCAGACCATTCAAAACTGATATATGACATACACTGTACCTTGTAAGCTTTTCTAGTGGCCCTGGTTTTTCTTTTCCAGTGGGAATCATCGCAATAAACGATAACGTAAAGATTATTCCCAAGTAAAAGAAAACTGCTATGGTCATCCATTTCTCGTCTCCATCGACAAAGTATAGGATGGGGAATACGATCAAGGGAAGCGCACGCAAAGTCTCCATTAAAAGTGGTAAAATCTGAAAAAAATAAGAGTAAATCTGATAAAAATTTAATTTCCATCTGCGGACATTGACTAAAACACCCAGGTTGGACCGCAACCGATAATATCAAGCTTTCAAGGGTACCTATTTCGTTTTAGTTTTGCTGATCCCAATTTGTGCTGAGAGGTCCCTCTCACCCATGAAAAAAGAATTGTGCACTGCAGCCCGAAGATAACCTTTAGGCCCTAACAGTATAGCATTTCCTAATAAGTTCTCTGCAACAGATACTGCGCCTGCGCCAAAATGTATTTTGTTTTTTTAAATTTTAACAGAAACCGTTAGCAAGAAGTAACACACTTATTGTAAATTAAAGTTAGTTGGAAATCTCTGCCAGACGTAATCTATCTTACTTTGTAGAGCATATTTTTTCTTCCTTCTGTTTGCAGATCTGACAAAATAGATGTCCCCATGGCGGCCCCTACAATTATCATCAAATCTGTGCCCAAATGTTTCACTTGACTGGTGTCTCCCACCACCAGCCTCAAGTGAGGTGACAGGGAAGCTGCTGACAAAGCCATTGCCTCAGACAGTCTGATATCTTCAGGCTCTAGTTTGTCCATGAAGTTGTCCTCTTCGTACGGGCTGTCCAGCCGTTGTATTTCTCGTGGAGTGAGTGTGAGCAGCTCGTACGATTCTTCATCGTATGGTGTCCTTTTCCAGTTATTCACAGTTGTGTTGCAGATGTAATACGGAGATATATTTTCAAAGTCTGCCACGTTTAAGATCTTTCGTTCCTTTGATATAAACCTGGGGTAAGTGAGAATCAAGTCGTGCCATCCAATCCCAGAGCAACCAGTCTCACCCACACTCTGAGGTGTATAGAATGCCTTTTGCAGACGCCACCTGACGCATAGCAAACATACATCAATTTACAGTCTATAATCATTTATTTCTAGGGCCGTTACTAGAAAGTAAACGCATATAATATTATAAATATCCACGTAAATAAATACTAAAACAACCACCCCCCGCAGGGTCGGTGAACAGTGCTAGATAAATACCTCGACCCTTCGCGTCGCGGTACACTCACCACTATTCACCTCCCCTTCAGGGGACAGTTAAGTATTACTGATAGGAAATTTGCCCAATTAATTTGACCTCTGTTATGCCAGCAATGCCTATGTTCTTTTTTGGCCAGTGTAGTACACTGATCCCTTCTGATCGAGGGAAGGGGGAGGGGGTCCAGGAAGAAACCATCTATTTACCGTGGAGGAGAGTGGTCCACTGCTATAAGTTGATGACATCCCCTGAATTTATTTTTAGTATTCAATGCATTATTTTTCAGTTTCATGAAAAAGAAACACTCGTTCCTTCAAACGTCAATAGATCATAACAACTTTGGAAAATTGGAATCAAAATGTCACGTAATGTAAAAACATATTTGCCCTATTCAAATTATACACTTTCTCCTCTCCATTCCATTCTCCTTTCTCCTCTCCATTCAGAGCCTTTTCCTTACGTTTCCAAAGCTTTTCAGTTTTTAGATGAACCCATACGCGGGTCTCACCACCCCGACCTCTCCTTTCATTGATATTACCTGCTAACCTACCGGTTAAAAACGTTCATGAGTCTCTGCTGAATTGCCCCAAGAAAAGGTAGTATCCAAAGTAGTATACCAGAAACCCAGATAAGGACATCAAAGGTGTAGTCAGAATACTCCAAACCGCCAAAGAGATGCTTGTAGACACGGAAGTGAATGACAAACGCGTAGGCAAACAGCACCATAACTATTTCAGCTCGTCGGCGGAATGCTGGAAAACCAAGCCAAACAATAGCAGCGAGGATAAGCACCAGAAATTGTATCAATGTAGGTGCGTTCTCTAGAATGGCGTGAATTGCCCAAGGAAAGACACAAAGAGCAAGAATAACCAGCGCTGAAGTTGAGATGAGCCTAAAAATGTATGCCCACGGAATAATGCTCCCAACTATGAAACTAAGAACGCTCGTCACCAAAAGGCTGGCGAACAGAACGTTTCTTTGGTAAACAAGGTCCGGAGCGTTGCGTTTATGCGCATGCGAAGTGGCTCGTAACAGATCTCCAACTAAGAAATCGACCAGGTATGCAAGAGGAAATGCATAGGTCATCCAGATAAGAGCAGGTAGAATCACGGACACGAGTGCTATTATCGTAGTAACTAGCACTGTATCGACCAAACCTGTAACAAGGCTTTGCCAATTACAGAAATAGCCAGTTCTCTCTCTCATTTGATTAAAGAATTCCTGATGCCATTTAGGATTGTCCTTTTGCCCATTCCGATATTTCCAATCCAGGTAGGCTGTACCTGTGAAACCGCCCCCTGACACGCAGCTCATGTTTTCAATTTTCACTTTGAGTTGCAGTAATCTGCGCAGGACTCCGGAACAGAAAGCTGCTGACCTGATACCGCCGCCAGAAAACGCCAAACCAATTCTCGACATGGTTGTCAAAAAATTGCTGTCAAAAAAAGTAGAAGAATAAATCACGAGAGAGCGTAATAAAAATCAACAAATAAATTGAAGGAAAGAAGGAAGGGGTTTTGTGTGAGATAGGTAAAAAAGCGAATGGCTGTATGCATGGATAAACTAAAAATAGCCTGCACCACAGACGAAACTAGACTCTAGCTACGTAAGTCCGTCTACTAAGGTTAAATTACGCCTTCACGCAGACTAGGATAAAAAGGGAAGAGGACGAAAAAAAACAGTTACCATTAGACATTTTAGATACTGGTATTGCCATGGTAACGTGGACATTTATGATTCTTATTCATTTCTTCTAAACCTCATTATTTCTTCCCTTAGCGTTCGCCATAGAACAAACTGGTCCATCTGGATCACATCAAAAATGGTAAAAACACTTTCAATTATGCTGATAATAAAGGTGTTTTAGTGTTATTACATTGCCTGATTTAAAAATGGTTTTTACCAAAATATAAATAACTCTCTTGTCAAGAAAGGAATGTCCTGTCATATGTACAATCCACACATATCTCCCCACCAGGGTGGGAACATGGTGTCCTTACACCATGGCTTTAGAATGATTTTAAAAGAGTTAAAACCATTAATGCCAAATAGCTGCAAGTAAATAGAAGAGTACAATGAAATTAGTGTATATATAGCAGTGTGTAGCCAGATAGTAGTAGTCAACATGTTCTATCTATTTCACGTTTTAAGTAAAGCGCTCCGGAGAGGATATATAGACAAAAGTTGATTTAAAATACGAGGCCCTAAAAAATCACGGCAAAAGTTCGATCATTCTAAAAACTTTTTTATTTGGAAATCTAGCCGTTTACCTAACCTTATCCCATACATTTTAGGCATGTACAGTAACGACTTATGGATATTTCGAACAACAACAATTTGCCGTCTTGAATAGGTAATAGAGATGTGCACAGCACTACGTTTTAATCCAGGGCTTTTCAACTACTACTAATAGATTAACGTTTTACATACCTGAGTGTACGTCAAATATAGACGGCTTCAATATTTTTTGCTTTGTTTTCTTAACCAACAAGATTTAAAGCATATAAACTAGCGCAACTCAGAATATTTTATCCCCGAAAAATCCGCTCTCCTTTAAATTTCGATTATCACTGCATTATTCCGTGAACTGCATTTAACCCATGGTAACGGATCGGGAAGCGCTGTTTGCACTTTTTTAAAATTTTAATCTGCTTTCTTATCATGATAATCACTGCATATTAATTTGCAAGTACAAGAGGAGTTGTCATAGGTAACCTTCCTAGCTTATCTAATTTTTTTGGTTGCTGTTTCGATTCGGTTGTTGCTGGATTACATTTTTGGTAATTCTTACTTTTCACATACATTAAAACCGGACTGCATCTCTTATATGTAATGGGCTTTAAGAATTGTGACACTTTCGATACTAAACATAAGAAGCAATATGAAATGGGTTCAACAGGTTGGGCAAGCCGAACAAACTTGTCAGTGGTTGAACTATAAGGCTGATTGGATTTTACCCCGAATCGCCCTCTGTCATTTCCAATCAATGGCCCTATCCAGTAAAAGAAAAAGTTTAAATAGATGAAGCCCGAACAATGTGTCTTCAGAACGCACTCGGCTTACTTTTGTATTCTATGCCCAGACACTCGAACTGAGCATTACAACTAGGAAACCGGATCAAGCAAGTCACGTGGTTACTCGATCCGCATATGTTTTTTGACTTTATCCTCATATGTTTTTTGATTCGATTTTAATGTATTAGCGAAAAACGCGTAGGAACCATAGTTTTAAGGTAAGACCTAAGAAGACACGTACAAATTACTTTAAATTTTCATTTTTCAATTGCTACATAACAGACTGGAATATAGTATTCCATGGAACATTATGCATGCACCTTCATTAAGCAGTTTTTAAGTCCTATCTATTAGGTCATTTGTGTCAATTTTAAATCAGGTGTAACTCGTGCGTGACAAGTATGGAATTTAATTAGGTTAGCTTTCGGCCGTATTTATATCTTACTTCTTAATTTTTAATGTCAATTTTAGTATGCAATTTAATCAGGTTTGTTTTGGGCCGCATTTAAATTTTACCTCTTAATTTTTAGTATGTTTAGTATTGGAGAATATTCTTTGTATGGGAATTTAGTTTCCCCCGATTATTCTCCGGTCATGCACTTTTTGTATTTTCTGTAATTTCTTTACTTGTATTAGCATTACAAAATATCATTAAACTTTAACTTAAACTTTACTCGTTGTATCCTTTACGCTATCTGAGCTATTTTCTTTGGAAGCTCTTCGGGATTTGATTTGTCATGAGCATTTTCTTATCGGTATATGGCTAAATATTGTTGTGACATTTACAGCTATTTCGAGAAAGGTTGTCGGAAAAAATGTGCACGCGACAATCCCGAAAGGTAATATGGGATATGATCGATACAATGTTCCTGACGACTGTAATAGCTGTCGAACCTACTTTTGTTCCTTTCCATTAGCACTCGCAAACACATTTCATGGCCTTTCGTGCCAATTCTTTCAAATTTCTCGGAAGAACGGTGAACTCAAAACCACCCACAATGCCTTTCAGGATTGTCGCGTGCACTTTTTCCGACAACCTTTCTCGAAATAGCTGTATAATTCAGACGTATTCAAAAACATATACAAGCAGGGCTCAGGGAGACCTTTATCTGTACGGTTATATGAATAGCTATAAGGAACACTGAGACGCCTTACATGAAGAGGGCTTTCAAAAACTACGACATGAGAACATTGAAATGCAATTATGGCCACGTCACGAGAATCCCCTTTAGTCTCTGGCTGGCTTCTCCAGCAAGAAAGCATGTGATTATGTTGGTGAATTATGAAGTACCCACTTCTTCTTATGCTAGTGAAAGTGAAGACATTTCACGTGAAATTGGGGCACTAAGGCGTGCTTGTAGATCAGTCTAGCAAGCATACCCCCAAAACAAGCACAAAGAGTCCCTTCTCCCTTTATTCGTGTAATAATACCCATTATTTTTTTACGATGTCGGCTGGGGTAATTAGGTAATTACAAACTGGGTGATATGATGTAGCGAGTTGTCGTCGTTGTGTTTCTTTGAAATTTTGCACGATTTTAGCCATGCAAAATAAAAGGTTTTGTCGCAGCTTTTACTGGGAAAATCCTTGCAACATGCTGTAGAAGGCCTAAATGTAACATCCAAAGCAAACATTTTCAAGTTAATGATCGAAGCATCAGAAAAAGAACCGAAAGACATGAGTAAGAGCACAAAAATATGATTTTATTGCTCCAAATTGAATTTCCATCTAACAGGCTGTTACACCTGCCCACTAATCGTATAATACCCCCCCCCCCATATTACTTCGCTCAATGTCTCGGTCACTTTTTGCAACATTCATCGACAGCAGCTAGATAGTGATATGGGTCTGTACAAGGCAAGAACTTCCGTCTGTCTTGAACTGGACGGTGCCATTGCAAAGACTTTGTGGAGACTGGCTTTCCTGTGCACTGTCTTACGCAGGACAATCAAATTTACTTATCAAAACAGGATGATCACAACCATATTCGGCCTCATAGGCTATTGACTTAGAGCCCAATCGGCCTCGTTGAATAATTGTTAATTAGCTGCAAAAGAATGACACGGAAAATACCTTCTGTAACTCATTGTTATTCCTAATATAATCCTGTTTTTGTTTTCGTTTTTAGGGGGTGGGGGTTGTTTGTTTGTCTGTTTTTATCTAAAGGAAAAGATATTGTTTCATGGGAATCATTAAACTCATGTCTGGAATTCATTAAAAATGTTTCCTTTATCTGTGGAATTCAAGAAGTCAGCAGCGTTAGCCTCCATACATGCGTTGTAGCCTTCACAATGATACGCCCTGAACATGCGAGGTGTGAAAAATTGGTTCGCCGTGATGTGCTGTGGGAATGCCCCGCACATCGCATTTGAAACACTTTTTAAAGAGTACGAGCCATGACAACTTTCACAGCAGCAAAAGGTTAAACTGTCAACTTCCTCTGCGTCTTGTTGAGGGCCAATTCCCCATTTCCCGGCTTCCAGATCAGCGTTTATGTCATGCAATGCTTCCTTCCAAGTCACAGGTGTCTGATCTTGCTTGATGCCTCTGTCGGGATGCCTTGGGCAAAGAAGTAGAATTTCTCCTTCACCAGCTTTAATTCCTTGTTCGAAAATGGACTTCTTTTTGTAGTAATGAACCTTAAATCTAAAAAAATACAAATTATGCAAATATAATAATGTTCATCACATCAATGAGTATTTCATATTCGTTCTTTTCACCTATGATAATATATTGTTTATTGAATGCAATAAACGTTACTTTCCCGATTAATACTGAATAAAATCCATGCAAAGAATAACACTTCAAAAGCTACAGACCTGTAACTTCTTGGTTGGTGACGTCGTGGCGTGTTAACAAATTTTTCTTTGACGTCCTCTATGACGTCACGGCCGTCTAGACCAATGAAAGAGCAGTGTAGCTTTTCTCGAGCCAATGACAACGCCTTCAGCAAATCTTTTGCCCAATGACCGTCCTCACTTTTGTGACCACCATCTGCGACAACAATCTTCCTCAATCGCTTTTTCAAAAGTGGCAAAATGCCCAAATTTTCAATATGGCCACCATCGCTTAGCCTCAAAATAGGAGGAGGTGCTGGACCCATATTGCTTACATACAGCAACTGTCGCATAAAACGAACGAATGGCACGTGAACAATGAACCACCTGAAGAGGGGAATGCATCGTGAGGACCTCATAATGGTATCATATTTACGTCAACGTACCATTTTTTTATTCACGATTAAACTATAAAAATGGTGTGAATGCGACGCTATGAAAGGTATACTTTTGCGATATTAGCAAAGAGAAGCTAAGGACACATCGCATTTTAATTAACCGAATGAAATATGACGGTCTCATTCACAGCAGTCTACAGATGTTTTGTCCATTTCTTATTTTTTTCTCATTTTCAAGAATTGATCAAGACCAGCGAATTAAAAACTGCTAGGGTGAACGCTATTCCCTTGATCACAATAGCTAGAATACTGATGCATTTTTCTGTTTAAGCTAAGAGGCCAAGTTTAACTAGAATGATTTCGAAAAATCCACATAGCTTCCAGAGGGTAAGGCGAAAATTTCATGGCTAATTCTGATTAATAATTGAATTGTTGGTGGACTTTGGCTGTTCGTTTAATTTGGAAAGCGTCGAAGTCTGTACGTACCCATAAATTTATACAATTTAATACAAGGTAAAAAAAGTACTCCCATTTTCTCACCTCGTTACTTTCTCCAGTTCTGTGGGGTTTTCCCTTCCAGTCTTCAGCGTAGAGATGATGATCAGTACAAACAGCATGGCAAAAAATATGAGTACTCCTATGGCCACCCACTTTTCGTCTTCCGTTTGTTCTCCTCCTACAAAGTACACTAGTGGAAAGCTAACTAATGGGAGGACACGAATTGCCTCTATAACATAAGGAAGTGCCTGAAAAGGAAAATGGACATTTTGTGAGCCCTTTGGGATGTTGAAAGAAAGAGTATGTACTGACCTAATTAAAATGAGCTATATGATGACGCTTGCGGCTTTAGGTATATAGAAGGGCAGTGATTTCCCGTGTTAAAGTTAATCAATGGGTGTACATGAATCACCTTTATGACATAAGGGAGTGCCCGTTTTTTATCCGGCTTTCATGGGTTTGGCTTAAGCAATTTTTTTTTATGAAGGTGTTAGTCTTCAGGGAACAGTAATCTTTAGTCATGGGCAAAATAAATTTCTCAGGACAAATCAGTTCGATTTCTATCAACGAGGACCTTTCGCACCACTTACGAGTTATAACTAATTGAAACGTCACCCGGTCAGATTTTCCACACTGTTAAAAAAAGGGAAATGTCCACCCCCGGTGGGAGTCGAACCCACAACCTTTGAATTAGAAGTCCAACGCGCTAGTCCATTGCGCCACGGGGGCTTCGCGTACTAAAGGTGCTAATTTACAATTGAAAAGAGTTAACAAAAGATAAGTCTTCTGGAAATTAATCTAACGAGGCCAGTATTTCTTTTACCAGTGTTAAAAATTGTTAACAAAATATTAAGTTTAATGATAACGATAATGATGATGATGATGACGATGACAACAATGGTCTGATACTGCCGGGATCAAAATATGCAAAAATACAAACAAAGCTTCAAGTCTTTTAAAGTGAAAGCACTTACCCTAAGAGCACCATTCTCTCTTTTCAGCGCCTCGTTGTCAGATACCGTGGAAGAGCCCATGCCCAGTCCTAACACGGTCTGTAACTGCTTGAAGCCTTCAGCTGACTGATTGTAAGCGCCCATGTGACGTGCAACAGCTGCGGCAGACGTTGCCATGGCAGCTGATAGGTCTATATCTCCCGGATCGAGTTTGTTCTCAAACTGTTCCTGTCCTTCAGGCCGATCAAGACGTTCTATTTTAGTCGGGGACATAATAAGAAGCTCGTATTTTTCTTGATTGTCGCCAGTCTCGTTTATGATCCATTCATTGACCACTATGTTTGATAAATACTCCGGCTTAATTCCCTTCAAGTCTCGGAGGGTCAAGGGTCCAAAGTCATTATCATTCAGCCTGTTGCGATGCGATGTTGACCAGTTTGTCACGAGGAAAATATCTTCTATGCCTATTCCTCTAAACCCTGACCTACCAACACTGGCATGTGTGTAAAATGCTGATTGTAATCTCCATCTTGAAAAAACAAAAGAAAGTACAGTTTTAAAACGGACATATTGTATTAAAATTAAAAACCCTAAGTTGTCCTTGGTGTCTACAAAGTAGTAAATGTATAATTTACTTCAAACAATAAGCTTGTAACCATTGCAAAGAAATCAACTTGAAGTTGAGCCTGTGATCAGTGGAAAACTAGTAACGTCAGCGGTTAACTTCAAATTATACACGCATACTCGATCGGACCAAAAATGAGCCCGCGATACGGTCATGTGATGATGGTCAGCGGATACCCTGGTTTGACAGCTGTCTATTGACCACAACATGGATATACCTTATAAGGGTGCAGGCTCCCACACCGGCTAGAAAGTGTAATATTTCACAAAACTTCTCGGATGGATAGGTGACCAAATTTTCTTAGCTATGGGGCTCTAATATTTCATGTATCATTATTACCTGTTAAAGACATACACCAGTCGTTGCTGTATTGCTCCTAACGCAGGCACGATCCATAAAATGATGCCAGAGGCAAACAGGAGGCGAAAGAAGAGGTAATCAGAATAGGTTATGCCAAACAATGTTGATTGATACACCTTCCAATATACTGCATAGGAATACAAATACACAACTACGACAAAGGAGGACTTGCGTCTTAGCACTGGAAAAAAGAACCACGCCACAATGCTTAACATAAATACCAAAAGCCGTGTCCACAACGGTGTGCGATCGAAGAAGTAGAAAATGAAAAAAGGAATATAGGTGAAAGCAAAAAGGAGACCCCAAAAGGAGGACAAAAAGTACAAAACCGAACGGAACCGTTGCACTTTTTTGGAAAGCAAGTAGAGAGAGACAAATAATGTTATAAGAGTAGCGAACATGACAATGCGAGTGTAAGCTTCTGAGCCCATAGTAATCATACAGCGGTCACCTTGCCGTTCAGTGCCGGTAACATTCTCTTTAACATTTTCCGTGTTGTTATCTGGTAAGCTAAAAATGACGCGGGGTTGCCTTTGATCATGTGGAACTGAATCGCATTCATCATCAGCTTTCAGGATATCTCCAAACAGATAATCAACCATGTATACAAGCGGAAAAAGATAGGAGCCCCACACGATTATTGGCATTATAGCAGAGACGAGCAGCATTAGAGAGAGAAGAATCACGGTATCAAAGATTCCTCTGAAAGGCCTCTGCCAGTTGCACATCAACCCTGCATTTTCTCTCATGTGGTCGAAGAATTCCTGATGCCACTTTGGATCGTCCTTCTTGCCATTCCTATATTTCCAATCCAGGTAGGCTGTGCCAGTGTAACCGCCCCCTGACACGCAGCTCAGGTAGTCAATCTTGCAGTTGCGTTGTAAGAGCCTGCGCAGAACGCCTGAGCAGAATGCTGCTGACCGGATACCTCCCCCGGAAAACGAAAGGCCTGTTTCAGACATGCTGAAAAGAGAATATGTCTGAAAAGTAAATAACACTAAAATATTCCTTTGAATAGCAAGTCTTTTGTACACTCTGTGTCGATTTTTCCAACACAAATAACCGTACCCACTCAATCCCTCGGTATTTACAGTTTTCTGTCTCTCCCGCTGGTTAGGTTCTCTTTGTTGCGAATGGTTTTTCATATTTTCACGTACGACCATGGTTAACTATGGCAATGATATGATAATATCATGAGTAAACATACATGGCAAACCATTGACCGCAGGATTAAAACGGGTTGATTTTTGCCACTTTAAGTTACAACCGTTAAAAATAATAAAACACTACTGACAGTAAAGTTACGTTGAGCACCCATTTATTCGCCTAAAAAACACACACAGGCTGCAACGATGTGACACGGTTAATTAACCTTGACTGGCCATAGTTAACTTAAGTGACTGATGTAAAGCATCAATCAAAGCTTAAACAGGCTTGGGTTTAAATATTAAGTTAAGAAAAAAGGAGTATACAGTTCAAAGTCATACAGCGACTGCAAAATTGAATGGCTTCGTATTGCGGGCAGAATTTGAAGCTTTAAATGAATATCAGTCAGTACAGTAGCAATGCCACAACTCATCTTGACGGACACTTCGTGTCACTAGATAACTAGAAATGTAATGAAACATCAAGAAAGATAGTATTTTGGTTTACGACTCTGAGACAAAATATTGTTCATAGTAACGAATGGCGTACTGAGCTTTAAACGTAGCATATCGAGTCATTTCCTCATATTTCCCAGCCCCGTCAAAGCTACTGGCCTATTGGTACCTGAGTACTACATTGACTTAATGGCAATTTTTTTGGTTTCAATAAAAATTTAACACAGTAAATGTAAGTCAAGCTCACCTTTCCGAACCAAAGGCTTAAGGGTACTTTCTATAACGTAGCTGTGACTTCGTTACAGGTACACGATAAACCTGGCTATATGACAGGCCTGGGATATCCAGCAATCTCCAGGTATAGCAAGAAAGTCAAACGTGAGTGTCAATTAAGACTGTTTCTTAAGATATGATATGTTACGCTATGATGAGTTTCCAGCACAAAGCAAAATAATAGCCGTCAAATTCTTTGCACGACAACTGATCACCCAGGCTACCCAAGACTAATCACCGTAGCCGTGTCGAGGCAACGTCCAAAGATGCCAGGAAAATGTACGTGCACTGTCTAAACAATGTGATTTATATTCTGACGACATAATGATAATCGTAGTAAAGCTAAGGGAAATATCATATACACAAACGAGATTAAGTAAAAAAAAAAAAGGCTTCACATAGTGTGTGATCTTTGACAGAGCCTTGACAAATGTGTAGTCTACGTACTTTATATCTTAATGGAGAGGATTTAATTGCATAGAAAGTGAATTTGTTTAAATATAATAAGTATCCGCTAAGATATGATAAATTCTCAAACTCATTAATAACTCATAAAGAAAATACAAAGGAAATTGATGTTTAATGAGTGTTTGGAAATCGGTTGAAAAACTGCTCATTTTTGCATCCTTAAATTTAGCATTCGACACCTCGACGTTCGTCAAAAATACTCTGCTGCGCGTCGTATTTTCAACTCTTTTCTCAGTGTTGCATCTCATGCTTGATATATTATCTGAATGCTCGTTAGCTATAAATGTATTCAGTTTTGATTATTTCCTAACACAGCACTTGCCAGGCTGATTAGGTGTTAATTTAAGCTTAAACAATATTTGCAATGACTTGAGCAAAAACTAGCGAGATAATAGGAGATCTTGATCAACTATTAAGTCTGCCTTCCCGGTATAAAGGCTTTGTTTAAAGAAAAGTACTCTTATTCTGCATGACACGGTTCTTTCTAATTCTTTCTTTTTTTCCCTTTTCCCTTTTTCACATTTTCGTGCACCGCACTGATTTATCGCTATCCAGTTCCTGTTTTATGTTGTCAGCTCAGTTGTGATTGTCAACTCTACTTCTTGAACTGCACCTAAAAACTCAGCGGCATCAGCTTCCAGGCATGCGTTGTATCCTTCAGAATGGTATGCTTTGAATAAGCGTGGTGTAAAAAACTGGTTCGCCGTGATGTGTTGTGGAAAGGCCCCGCACATCGCCTCCGACAGCCCTTGTAATGAACTGCCATGGCAACGCTCACAGCAGCAAAAGGTTAAGCTGTCAACGTCCTCAGCGTCTTGCTGCGGACCAATTCCCCATTTGCCTTCTTCGAGATCAACATCGATGTCACGCAACGCTTCTTTCCATGTCACGCGTTCCTGCTGTTTTACTCCCTTTTTCGGATGTCTTGGAGAGATTAGAAGAACTTCTCCTTCGCCTACTTTGACTGCTTCTTCAAAAATGGACTTCTTTTCGTAGTAGTGAACCTTGAATCTACAAAAACGTAGCAGTGGGTTAAAAGTAGTCGATACATGTATTTATATTTGCAAGCAAGAGCTAGCTCGAAGCTAGCAAAGAATAAGAGATACGTTTATTTGTACTGACTGAGATACAGTCACTCTCACTCTCGTAAGCGGACAGCTCTGCTTACAGCCACCTTCACAAAACCCCGTTTTTCTCAACTCCCATACAAACTCTGTATTTTGACATTCCCATAAGCGGCCAGCTCCAGTTACAGACACCTTTTTCGCGACCCGAGGGTATCCGCCGTCCCGAGGGTGTCCGCTCACGACAGCTTCCACGAGTGACTAACGTTTCTGTTATGGCGCCTCAATAACAAGAGCTAGATTAGTAAGAGAGCAAACGGGTTTATTATTTGACGATTTTACAATACACGATGACAGTGGAGAAAGATTGATAAGCGGCCCAAGACAACCGTAACTGTCATAAATGAGTTCTTTGTAACAAAGCTAAGACATTTCTTGTTACCATAGTTTGAAACAACTCTTTGGGTTCCTCCAGCGTATGTCAGTGACAATCCACTATAAATCTTGTCATCTTTCTTTTTTCACTACCAAAGCGAATTAATACGGAACACAACAATTGAAAGACCATTGGTATTGTTTCGATAAAACACCCGGGACTCCGTATAAACGCTAAGTATGAAGGAAACTGTAATAATTAGGGAAAATACACGGCTGTCGTTGTTATGAGTAGAATTTCTCAGCCTTCAAAACTTCTGAGCTAATTTAGTCTGATAATACAACCACCGCTAGTGCGTCACGGGAGATTCGCCTCAAAAATTCCACGCCGACGCGGATGTAAATCAGTCCAAATTTAGGTCACGGTATTAATTGCACTCTTTAGGCTATTGTTTATGAATGAGAAACAAAACACAAACATCAAAACGATTACTTGCACAGCGTGCTGAATATTAAAACAAAAATCATTCCCTTGTAAACATTTGAGTTTTGCTGGCCCCTCATTATACAACAAGTATAAACGTTGACTTGCGTCATCAGTATGGAACTTTTGTGACGAAAACGGAGAAGTTTATCTCGCGAAACGTCCCCAGCGACGGAGAGCGGCCCGTGTACAGTTGACTCTCTCTTAACGGACACCTCTATAAGACGGACACATCTGTAAAACGGACACCTAGAGTTGGTGCCTGCCTTTGTTTACTCCTTTTATTTGACTCTCTATAAGACGGACACCTATCTAAGACGGACACTTAATTAGTGCCGGTCCCAAAGGTGTCCGTCGTAGAAAGAGTTGACTGTATTCACAGTTAACAGCTAATGCAGCTTACAAAAATCTTACTGACCTGTAGTTTCTTGGCTGGTGACCCTGTGGCTGATAAACAAATTTTTCTTTGACATCCTCTATGACGTCACGGCCGTCGATACCGATAAAAGAGCAATGAAGTTTCTCGCGAGCCAGTGTTAAGGCTTTAAGCAGACTTTCCCCCCATTCACCATCTTTGTTTTTGTGACCACCATCTGCGACAACAATCTTCTTCAATCGCTTCTTCAACAGAGGCAAAATGGCAAGATTTTCAATATGGCCGCCATCACTGAGCCTCAATACGGGAGGGGGCATGGGACCTTCGTTACTAACATAGAAAAGTTGCCTCATAAATCGAACAAACGGTACATGAACAATGAGCCAACTAAAAAGGAAAGGAAAAAGATGACATGTGTTGATATCTAAATGGAAATTTCTTTCCAATAGAGCGCGCTCTCCATAGTCACTTTGACGTCACATGACGTCTAACAATAAAATTGTTTCCCGCAAAAATCTCCGAGAGGGCAACATTGCAAAATCTATTTACGTCAGAGGGTAACAGTCATTAAGTGTTTACTGGGGAGCTTATAGTTAAGCAACGACGTTTTTGAGCAACGCAAGTCGACCGGAAGTGGACTTGTTTCATTCTTGGGCAAGTTTCAAGCTTTCAAGTTGATTCGCTTTTAGCTAGAACCTGGCTATCACCAATTACACCTACGTTCGACTCCGCCATTGATTAAAATTAGTCGAAGGGACGGTTGAGAATTTGCCAAGACAATGTTTCCAACCTCTCCTGTTGGATACGAGATTGGTTATAGCCAACTCGTTTCCGTCAGGGACGAATGGGATATTAATTCTTAAAAACACTGTGTTCGTTTATTGGGAGAATTCATAGTGACACCATTAGCTCATTACAGAGTAAAAATATGCCCACAAAAGGCGTCTTAATTAATCTAGGCTATGAGTTATATGATTGTCAGACGGCTGAGACGGGAACTACCGTTTAAGGCACGGCAAAAAGACTAGGAAGTCTAGCCGTTTGCAACACTAACATAATTACTGCAAAGACAGCACCTTATTTCTTCTAAGTTTACGTTAGCCCGCTAGGGTTTCGGCCGCGGCCTTCCCAACTTCTCATCCAGTATAGATGTAATTGTCTATTATCAGATTCGCTAGAGTCATATATGGTTTGAACACGTAGTGAACACTCATTTAAATCAGCCACACTCATTAGCTTACACGAGTCAAATACTCACCTCGTGAGCTTTTCCACAGTTCCAGGGTTTTCGCTTCCCGTCTTGAGCGTAGAAATAAGAATCATAATCAGCAAAAGGACAAAAAACACCAACACCCCGATGGCGATCCACTTTTCGTCTTCCTCCTTCTCCCCCCTGACAAAGTATACCAATGGAAAGGTCACCAGAGGGAGGACTCGAATTGCTTCTATTACATATGGAAGCAGCTGTAAAACATAAAGGCAAATAATGACTGTGTAAACAATTAAATATTTTTATTTTGTTCCGCTTTGTTTTGCTTTGCTTGTTTGTTTGGTCGTTTTTTTTACCGTCCAAAACAATAAAAACTTTCTGGTAACCTAAGTGTTAATACATAGCACGAAAAGAAATATGCCAGTTGTGAGAAGCTTACCCTAAGAAAGCAGCTCTCTCTTTTTAGAGCCCCGTTGTCAGACACCAAACTACTTCCCATGCCCAGTCCTAACACGGTTTGTAGCTGTTTTAAACCTACGGTTGCATCATCATAGGACCCCATGTTCCTTGCAACAGCAGCGGCTGACGTTGCCATGGCAGCTGAGAGGTCGATATCTCCCGGATCGAGCTTGTTTTCAAACTGCTCCTGTCCTTCAGGCCGATCTAAACGTTCTATTTCAGTTGGGGACATAATGAGAAGCTCGTATTTGCGTTCATCGCCTTCATTCTCGTTTATTATCCACTCGTTGACCACGATATTTGACAAATACTGCGGCTTAATTCCCTCTAAATCTCGTAAGCTCAGCGGTCCAAACTCATTTTCGCTCAGCGCCTCGTGATCTGATGCTGACCTACACGTGATAAGGAAGATATCCTCGATGCCGATTCCTCTGCAGCCTGTTTTACCAACACTTGCGTGAGTGTAAAATGCTGACTGAAGTCTCCACCTGAAATTAAAACATTTATAGGTTTATAAGCTAACGCAGAGGCTCTCCTAGCAAATGGACACTCTCGTCTGAAGCGGGCAGCTCTACTTAAGCCCGGACTCACAAAGGCCTCATTTTTTCTAAATTTTCATACAAACTCTGCATTTTGACATTTCCTAAAAAGACCAGCTCCAGTTACAAACACCTTTTTCGCGACCCGAGGGTATCCGCCGTCCCGAGGGTGTCCGCTCACGAGAAGCTTCAACTGTAGCTTTCATTGCCGCCTGAAAACAGGCTCGGCATTGGGGGAGGAAGGAGAAAAAAATTGGCGTGAGAGGTAGTCTGGGCAGGGGGAAGCTCTCGGCAATGTTTTTCCTATTTGACCCCGTTTTTCTGCCTCTTTCCTCCACGGCGGAGCCTGGTCCCAGGCTTCTTCTATTGGGTAAACAAAAAAATCAATAACATTTGCCCCTTTCATTGAATAGTAACAATCAGAAATCAGTGGATCCGGATTTTGTGTATGATTATATGAAGAATAATACCATCTTCGATCTGCATAATTCTTCACTGATCGCGCGAAAGCCGAACCCAATTATCACTATTTTTAAAATTCATTCAAACTTTAAAACTAAACTGAAAACCTACTTACTTCTCGAGTTCGGAAAGAATGTTTATTCTAGTGGGCTTTGTTCAAATAGCAGGTTTCAACCGTTGAGTGCTATTTTCGCTGTTCCTGCTATTCGTCTATTCCCTCTTCAAATACCGTATAATTTTTTCCGCCATTTTCTCTAGGTCTAGCAAAACAGCTGAGCTACAGCGCCTTCTTGTGCCCCTTTTTCTATCGGTATCTGTGAAAGTTGACGTCAATAGCCCACGTTCGATATGAATTTCGAGGCTTTGGAGACAAAACTGCATATTTTTCACGACTTTATTGTTTTGTAATTTCCATGAGAGACTTGAGCACAAAAAAAACCAAATCAAATATAGAAAAATGACTAGAAGCCTCGGAGTCATGTTAGAATTTTAATACATCGAACGTGGGCTATTGTACTGATATCAGCAAACTGTGACATCTTCCGAAGTTGGTCAAAGGTATCTGATTATGAAGAATTAGCCAGAGGCTTGAGATGATAAAAAACGGAGAAATATTTTGAAGAACTAATGACTATTGCTAAAGATCTCACGGAAAATGAAAAACCAGGTGTACAATTTTAAAAGACTGCCGTCTAACTAACCACACTGTGTTTACCTAACTAAATCGTCAATGATTACAGAACAAGTCATAGAGAATGACTCACTCAGTAAAATAGAAGGCAAGCTAGTCAGGTGGTTAGAGCAACCCGGAGGTCTCGAGGTTCAGTCCTGCCCTGATCGCCAACTGGATTTGTTCAAAGTATGGAAATTACTAGCAAGAATTACGCACCAATTACAAGCTATTTACCTGTTAAAGACGTATACAAGTCGCTGCTGAAGCGCTCCTAAAGCTGGCACGATCCATAAAACGAATCCTGAGCCAAACAGGAGGCGATAGTAAAGGGAATCGGAATAATCCACATCAAACACGCTTAATTCGTAAAC